AAAAATAATTTATGTAGACCTGGACATTAATTTCTGTAAATGTACCCTCGTTGTAACAGCTTTTCGTCATAAGTTATACCTGAGGGAGACGAGGTAGATTAAGGAGAAATGTCAATGCCTCTCTAATGTCACAACTCCTTTTTAGAGGCAAAATTGTAATGTCACAAATAGGCTAGATCGATTTCTCGTGATCCAAAACATAAATGTACCAAAATCCGTGGGGGTAGGATAAGGTAAAATGGGGTTTAGGGATCCTGAAAGTTTTAAATGTTTGTGCACAAGTCTTTGAGAATGTCTCTCTGAGGTACTATTTTTGATAATATTAATTTGTACGTTAATCGTTTATATCCGAAGCGTTTGGTGTTTTGAAAACTTACCAAGTTGGTGGGAAGATAAAGTACAAAATGTGTATAATATCGTTGTGTGTTTGATTGTTTGCATTAGTCGCTTTTGGGTTCAAGGGTGTACAGGGTGTAGATACCCTTTTCATAAGGCAGCCTTGTTTGAGGTGTTTGTTACTAATTCTGTAACAATGAATGTATAAACTGTCCACTCTTGCTGTGCCTGTAGAAGAACGAAGAAAAACCTCAAAGATTGTTGCCATGAAATGGCTCTATTGCTTTGTATAAAATAATAAAAAGAAATTAAAACGGCCCTCCAATTTTTAACAATTTGTTCATAACACAGCTCGAAGTAGAGTTATTGTAGAATAAAACCCTGGTGCAATATGTATTATAAAAAAAAGGAGCAATTGCAAAGCTCCTTGAATAAAAGTGTTTTGCTTTGGATTCCCAAATTGCTCCTCATTGACCAAATAGGCGTCTACATGTATGTCCAAATGTTGTATTGGTGTCTCCATATATATAAGCTTGCATTTTATCAGTCCGTAACTCCTGTGTATGAAGTACACATAAGAGCTTTTCCGAACTTAAAAAAAATATCAATGACAAAAAAATACTCCTAAATCGGACATACACATATACTGAATAAAATCTGTTCTCAGGTGAAACATGGAAATGAAAAGTAAGAATCTCAAAGATCGCCATGGCCATTTTGAGAAGAAAGCCAACAATCAAGGAGTTATCCTCGGTTTTGTTGTCTCCAGCCACAGATAACGTCCTATTCTAGCATTATTTCAAAGCCCTCAATATCCATAACAAACAGAAATACAAAATGTACTACAAATTATACTTGCCTCCTGATTTCAAGATTTGTTCTAAAAGCAGAAAATGGACCTAGATATTAAGCCGACGTCCTGACTCCTAATATACATGCACGCTGAAGACAAGCGTTTGGGAAACTGCACACCGAAAACAGCACCAGTCTAGACATACCCGTATGCCTACCCATGATGTAATCGCTAAATACAAATCAGGAACACACTAGTGTCGGGAAAACACCATCATGGAATTTCGTGTGAAAATAATTCTGAAACCAAAGTTTGGGAATGCATTTTTAAACATTGTGAATGAAATTTATTTTCATGATTTCGAAACACGTCAGTTACCACGTTGCTAAACTGAGTACAGAGTCTCGGATTGATAAGTGCCATCGGGAGCCTGTATGAAACTTCCACACGGAGTACTAGGGCCAGCATTTTTTTCATTCAAATCAAATACATTTGTGAATTTATTTGTCATCCTGCAAGATATTAATATTTTGCGGGGTCTTTGTACAATGTAAAACGTACCACTTACAGCGATTTAATCACAATATTTAAAACATTTCTACGGACAAAACATGAATCTAGTATATTACTATTATGGAACGATTTGGGGTTCTGTGATAGTACATTCTTTGTCAAGGAAACTGAAAATTTATCTTAAGCACCTACTAAGGCCAAAAAAATAAGCTCCGGTTTCTGGTATGCGCGCGCGTCGCCGTAGCCATGCGCGTCGGCAAAATGAAAAAGTGTTTTTTTCAATGAAAGATGATGTCTCAAAACCGCCAAACTCAATGGTTTGACTGGAATCCTGCTGCTGCACAATTTTAACGTGTTTTTAGATGGGGATAGTTTAGTCGGGCACCATTTGCAGTCATCAGCCGACATTTGAAGCAAAAAAAATCAGGTAAAAAAAAAAAAAGCCGCGTCGCCGCACCACTTTTTGGGCAATCTCCATACCAGAAACCGGAGACTTTTTTTTTGGCCTTAGCCTGAGTGTGTTCCTAGCTCCAGGGCCTGAGGGAGAGTTTTCCCATACAGTGTTATGACTTTTATGCTATTGTCTCATCGATCACAAACTCTCCTGGTCCAACCACATCTCTTATTACTAAAACCATTTCTCGCCACTCTGGCGTCGATCATCTCTAGGATTCGTCATTTTCTCCCAACGTCCTCTATGCCCCTCCTTTATTTACCCGATTTGAACTATTGCAATTTTGTCTGGGGTCGTGCCAGTAATACCAATTACATCCTTTAAATATTGCACAAAAAGGGCTGTCTCGGATCTGTACTTTCTTACCGCCAAGAGAACACTGTTCACACCTATTTGCACAGTTGAGCACCCTTACTCCTACTGATATAAATAGTTTTCACGCTGCGATGTTCACGTACAAATTCACCAACAATCTTCCCAGCACATTTTCGTCTTTCTTTTCTTCAGTACAAAACACCCCTAGGCCTAGTCGCTTTACTAGATCAAGCAGTCACTCGCACTGTACTCTTTCTTCCCTTAACACTCAGTCTTCGGTACCATGGTCCCCCTACTATTGATCCCAGCATAGAACACTGTCTCCCGTGGGGCGATTTTAATCATTGTACAATAAATTCTTCCTGTCCTCGTACGTAGCATAGCTTCCCAACCTTATTTCCATGCATTTTCATCATTTGTATTATAGCTCCTTCTCTCTAATAATCATTGCTCTTTCAAGAAATTTGGACCGATCCAGTAAGCTCCGCCCAGTGCGCACGTGGGCAAATTGACACGTGCTCCTCTGCATTTTCCTTCCGCGCGCATCATACGCGCGTGCACGCATGGTCGGACTTTAGTGCACGCACGTCGGACATAAATCACGGCTGCTGTGATTGGTCAGAACACCATGGATCGGGCCATTAATTATTCATTTTGTACTTTTATATCATTTTGTACTTTTATATACATTGTATTTTTGCATTCCTGTATTTTTTTTTGCCGTCAGCTTTCGTCGTGTCACTTTTGTCTAGTCTGCCTCGTTCGAGTTTCGTTATTATGTTGTTTTTCTGTTGTTATTGTTGTCTGTAAGGGCTGTATCGTACAAGCCCACCATACTTTAACAAACCCATACTCCTTATTTTCTCTTGTATACAAAAAGTTAGTTTATCATTTGTTTTAAGCTAGTTTTACTTTTATTATATTTTTGTGTGACATATTTATCGAATTTATTAACTTGCTATGTACCAGATTTCTTTTATTTATTGATGTATTTCTCTAAAGGTGTATGAAATAAACGTCTTCTTGAATTGAATTGAATTGAATTGAATTGAATTGAATTGAATTGAATTGAGTTTTACAAACATTGATATAACCTTGTCTGGTCTCACTCGACGTAACGGTCGTAATGTCTTGTGTATCATGTAGGTACAATTCTCCTACTCGTATTTGTTAGTTTTTACAGTATTTTTGTCTGTGATAATTACAGGGAGAAGTTTAAAAGCTGCTGCTGCTTCACTTTTATCCCTACATGTTGGTAACTAGCATAATCAAGTATTTACGCAAAACATGTAACTTGGTGCATTCAACTATTATGAGTTTTGTTGTCGGTGTAAATGTATCTTTTCCGACAATTATGTTCAAATACTCAGTGAATCAAAATGAGATGTGCCACACTTACGACAACAAATTCGAGTGCTGAATTTTTCCCAAGGTGTTTTGTTTTCTACAATTTGGTATGTGAAATAATCAGTGCAGGTTTTTCCATAAATAACAAAAACAAGGTCACCTTTTCTCCTTGATCTTTGTTTTCAAATTCTTTAAAAAATGGGATTTTCCTCCTACAAACAACGACTTTGCAATTTGTATGTTTTCTTTTCTCAAAAAAATTACTTATTCCGTCTTGAGCGTCTGCAACCCTTTAAAAAAAGGAGGGTTTCTTTCTGCGCACGAATACCCGCCCTGCAAGAGCCGAGTTATTGTCTGGCAGCCAATAATTCAAATTTTGTGAAGAAATAATTCAATAACTAAACGTCGGTGGATTTTACCGTTCGATGACTCATTCAAAAGTGAATAACTTTTATATTGCTAGCAAAATAGCAAGCAAAATTTTTTTTATCTTTTTTGTTAGAGGTGGTACTTGAAAACAGCACGGGGAGCCATCTTTAAACAAGACCGAGGCCCCTTTTCTTTCTTTTTTATTTTAAATAAATAATGGACCCCAGCCCTAACCTAATTTTATCAGAACCCATGTACATCTTCATTTTGTAATCTTCGGCCAAATATAGTTCCAGTCGATAAACAACAATGACTACTATGCCTATTGGAATCCGAATATTACAAACTAAAATAAATGATGATTAGGGCCTAACTGACAAAAATAATCTGTGTAAAAAAAAAACATGAAGGCAAATTCCACGGTTAGTACGCATCTGCTCAACTTGCTTATATTCATCATTCTAAACATTCAATGGGAGCAATGGACCTATTTTAACTTAAAACATGCATGCATGTAATTGTAATATCAGACTTAAGTACTTCAAAACATTCAAGGTAAAAATGAACACGTGATTTTCATGTTTTGAATTGAAGGGGAAGCATCTATAGTCGACCAATGGCTATAGCAATTAATACATCTGAAGAATTTAGTTGCTTAACAGCAACTGGGGAAAGAATGTTGCTTCCTGACGCCACTTTTTCCTTCATAGTCGTCTCAATAAAGGTCAGTCATTTGCAAAAAGTCCGACGCCGCGTAGGTCCGACGCCTCATAGTTCCGACGCGTCGTAGGTCCAACAAATTAAACGCCTCGTTTTTCCGACGTCGGACTTATGAGGCGTCGGACTTATGAGGCGTCGGACCTATGCGGCGGAATAAATAAATTTTATGCCTCATAAGTCCGATGCTTCATAAGTCCGAAATTTCGGACTTATGAGGCGCGTCGGACCTATGAGGCGTCGGACTTATGGTATACGGCCCCCGGCCATGGTGATCTCGACCTCATATGTCAAACACCTCCCTATGGAGGTCCGGCATTCTCTGTGGCATTTCCAGAGACATGGCCAGCACCAGATTCCTGTGGTCACAGTTGATTTCTCTGACAGATGGCAGAAGGAGGATGGTCTTAGAGAAGACCTCACGGTGGTTCTCTTGATGGGTTCTCATGATGAGCTGCTGCAGGGCCTCTAGGGTCAAAGACCGCAGCCTCTCGATATCAGACACGTTCTTGAGCCCGATGCGATCTGAAATATTGACAACAAACTATTTCAAGCCTCTTTAATATATAAGGGTGTGTTTAACAATTATCTTTTAGACTTCGCTTGTCCTATAATATCCGTCTATCCACCACGGGTGTATATCTGACCCCTATATCGGTCCCTTAGTCGTTTCAGGAAACGCAATGCGCAAAGTACTGATGTATTTCTATAAAGCACAATGTTATATGTGTATACTTTTCGTACGCACGTGCTAGATAACTAAGAACAGAAAGTTAATGAAAGTATCAACCAACCTGTAGCAAGTATAGCAATGACGCCCAGCACGCATGCATGTTGCCCGTTGAGACCCAATCGCATCATCTGCCGGCCGACATCCGAAGTGGCTCTCAACATGTTCCAAAGAGCTAATTCAGTCACCGTTAGGCTCAAGGGGATCCTGACTGAGTGCGCGGAACTAAGCACATGTATGATCTCGGAGTTTCCCATCAGGAAAGCTTGATGCAGCGTGATCGCCTCGTACATGTTCTCCTTGATCAAGATAATCTGGTCCTGGACGTCCAGCCTACGGAACTCCGAAATGAGCTTCATGAACTTGATAAAGTCCCTGATAGACGGATCGAAGTTAGAAAGTAAGATGGACATAATCTGACGCCGATCCTCGACTGCTTCAAACTGAATATGTTCCAGGTCGGCCCGCTCCACCACGTTGATGTAAGTGCCCTCTTTTGACAGATACTTGTAAATGGAATTCCAATGATCGAATACCCTGTCAGCGAAGTCGATGCTGTTTGATGGGCTTTCTGCGGTTTTCTTCCTGATGCCACAGGACCCCTCGCCCGTGGCTGGAAGATGGGTTGCAGGCGTGCTGTTCCCGGCGAAGCATGACCCTTCAAATGGAACCAGAGGCTCACAATGCGGAGGTGTCTCGGTCCAAGTTGTTTTTGACATCCCTGGTGATGAAGCATACTGACTGCTCGTAGTCTGCCACGGATCCTGGCCAGCTTGATCGGATGCTGCTGAGGAGGAATACATGTAAGTACCACTACCGACGTCTGCACTTTTACCCGCCAATGCACTTGGCACAGAACGAGAGACTCGGCTCTTCCTTGGACGTCTGCCGAGTTTGCTTCCTGCGAGAAAACAGCAAATGAATTATTCAACTGAATTTTGCTTGTCCCATCAATTACCATTGGCCATTATCATGTTGCGGCCATCTTGATTTCCCCCTACTTAAATCAACGTAACCAAAGCGAGGCTGGAAGGAAAAATAGTGTGGTTCCTTTTTGCACAAGAAAAACATTATCATTCAGTTCTGTTATTGAATACAGGGAACATGACTGAAATGGTGGCAGCAAGATAAGGTCTAGTTCCTTGATTCTGTTGCAGTACATTGTTAACAAAATTAGTCACAAGTTGTCAGCGGTAGGCCTACGGTAGAGTATAAGTCCGTTTTATTTTATTGAGCAGATTACTTGAACAATTTGATACTCTCTGTTGCACGGGGTAATCTTACTATCTTTTGACATTCCCACAGCGATGCATTTCTTCCATCGGCAATACATGCATCGGTTCCTGGTAGCTTTGTTGATTCGGCAGGTCTTGGTCGGACAGGTGAAGGATTCGTGGTTGGCAATGGCTCGAGAGAAAAAACTCTGGCAGAAAAAAAGAGGAACAAGATCGATCTCAGGCCTTCCCCACGCACCCATTGTAATAACAAGGCGATTCCATCAGATCACTGATATCGAGAAAGTTGGAATTTCGCATGGTGAGAAACAGCAGAAAGCCTTGGTAAGCTTGTGGTGGCACTGTGGCATCATGTACATGCATGTAAACAATAACATCTCCTTTGCGAATTACTGCGGTTCTGAGAATTAGGTACTGTGGTTCAGGGTGCGTTATTAAATATTTTGAATGATCAACGTTTCATGTAACAAGTTATTCTGAGAGGAACCTGTGTAAACGTTTTAAACACTCGCCGTTTAACAATAAAATCACCTTTGTGAGAACACCAATTGTGAGTGGAAGATGTGTAATTAAACGTTTTGAAAATTCTACGTTCAGTAAAATCACATTTGCACGAATTCTGAGAGGAACCTGTACAAATGTTTTGAATGCTTAACGTTTCATGTAACTATAAATCTGCTTGTGTAAACGTTATAAATGCGCTAATTGTGATGATTTCACGACGAACAGGTCACACAGTTTGAAACGTTCAGTTTACGAATAACAGTGCATACTTTAAAAAAGAGTTCATTTAACACATGGTTCCTCAAAGAAAACTTCCACCGATACAAAAGTTTTAGACATTTTCCTGATGCAAATTCAAAACTTAAAGAGATCTCCTCTATTTCAACTGAAAAATAAAACAATAGGAATAGGCCTATAGACTGTGCTTCAATGTGTGACTTTGAAAATATAAAATCCTAAAGGGTCGGATCCATCCAAACAATTATCCAATTTATTAAGCCAATGCCTTGCCAAGTTGATGGTTTGCCAGCGTCGAAATTGTATTACTTTCTTATACCTTGCATCCTTCACAAGACGAAATGCCGTAGTGGATGGCGGTTGATGTGTCCCCGCACACCAGACAAGTTCCTCTCGTATTTGCTTGGAGAAAAAGAAGACAAAACGAAGGATATGATCTTCAATTATTATCAGCAAATCAAACTAACTTTTTGTTCGTCTTTCAGAAAGATTTTGTCATCTTCTTACTTTCTTTTATACAATTCAGTACCGAGCAGCTTTTCACTTAAACTGTAAAAGTCATTTTAACTTTTGAACACATTACAAGCGCTTTGTTACAACCGTTTAAAACGTTTTTAATAAGGGCAGAGCTAGGCGCCGCTATATACGTAGTAAAACTTTGCCTCAGTTAAATTTTGAGTCAGATTCCTTATGCATTATACAGATGCACGAAAACTAAGCCTCAAACACATGCTTAATTTTGTAACTAGAGACTTTCTGAAAACACATTCAACATTCCGTTTAAATTGTTTAGCGTTTGTAAGTTAAACAAGATATTTAGTGTTCATTTCGAGGTATGAAGGCCGTCCTCCGACCTCGATTTTTGTTTCCGAACTGATAGTCAGCCGTGTGGTTGCGACAGCCTTAGCGTCGCTGTTGTTGGACAAAGTTAATCCGATTACGTACTTGGACGCTACAGGCCAAGCAGTGAAATTCATGCACCCCCCCCCCCCCCCACACACACACACACACAAACCCATGGTTTTTGAATATTGTGTTTCTCAGAAAATATGCTCAGTATGATTGAAATGTTAAATTATAACAGAAGAAGAAATTCTAACTTCATGTCAGTAAAAAAATCGCCGTCATCGATGCCGAACGACCTCAATAGCCTGGTAAAGCTGACCTGAAAGTCGTGAATTAAGAAATCGTTCGAAAACGTCCCCAAATCTATGTATTTATCTCAATTTCTAGGAATCCACACAAGTTGTCATTTCACGAGTAGTTGAACACTAATCATCTAAATATATACCGAATTTCAGCTTAATCTGTTGTTGGAAACGCTTGTGTCAAACCTTGAAGTATCTCCAAGGAAAATTTCGTCGAGGATTTTTTCCGCTCAAACTCCGACGTGCATGGTTTTCAGGTTGGCCGATTTTGGGGCAACAGCGACGAAGCGTATGTTAGCATATTCATTAGCGTGACTCGGCGTGACTTCGCGTGGGTCTCGGTATCGACCAATGGAAGCCGGCCGTGGGTGATATTTATTAATTAATAACTCGTGAAGGGGGCGATAGTGCAAATGTTTACTGTGCACAAAATGGATATGAACCGTATTAACATTCGTGAGGCTTTAAAAAGATTGACAGATATTGCAAACACCAGTGTTACAACTGTTAAAAAATGCACGTAACCAGGCTATTCTTCCAATTTCAAGAAAAAGTGCTGAACATATTACAATGAGTTTAAGCACATAGTTGGATCATTATTAGAAAAACATACCCTGAAAGTTGCATAAAGATACGGTCTTCCAACTACGGGAGAAATTGATTTTCAAAGATTTCGCCCGCGAACATCAACATGTCTGTGTGCATGTTGTTTCATTCAAAATAAAGTATTACGTAACTTAGAAATCGGCCTTCGCAACCCCATATGGCTGTAGTAGCATATCTTGGTATGAACACCACTATAGTTTAGGCACATAATTATTCTACGTCCCGGGATAATACATGTGATCATTAGAACCTATTGACACAGAACCAGACTCTCACTTATAAGGGATCATCATTAGTCCTTAATGACCAGAAACCTTAAAAAAGTTATATGCGTCATTAGTGATTTGAATCAACTCGTTGCTATGTCAACCGTTCAATGATGAGGTTATATCGTCCTTCCAGAAAATCATTACTTTTCACGTAGGAACACATCAAGACGATCATTACATATTTTAATAAAAACAAACAAAGAGAAAACAAATTGTCGCCATGATGTATTTCACCAGAAAATCCGGTGTGGGCATTGTTTCTTCATAAAATAGCAGCTGTGTATCATCTCAAGTAGGGGCGTGGCTTTGGCACCCGTTTAGAGCTACATCCCCCTCCCCTTGAACAAACCCTAGATATCCAGCTCTGATCATGTATCAGTGTCTGTTCTGGTGTGGTTCTACGGGAGAAGGGGGCTATAATTGTTTTTAATCGTTCAGGCATCAGACTCCGTCCACCACAGACAAACTAGTCACTCCGTTTTCGACAATCTTTTGTCCCAAATTCAATCCATCTCTTCAAACACTTAACCAAGCGATAAAATGGCCAATGGTTTTAACGTAATAAATATGAGTATTTTAATCACATGTGCATGTATTGGCTTTTAGTAAGTGTATAATAAAATACATTTTTAAGTACTGGTAGTAAATTGTAAGTATAAATTGAAAACAATTTAATTTTGTCTTACTTTTGATACAATATTAGTGAGATTTGAAGGTTTGCCTGGTGGAAAGATACTAAGACAAGATAAGTTTGCGGCAGCACCATGTGAATAAATCATGTGAATAAATATTCACATGGTGCTACCGCTGACTTATCTTGTCTTTGCAATATTACTGTTTTAATGTAATTGTGTTGCCGATGGAATATGGTTATCCGTATTTCATTATCATTATCATAACCCCTCCCACATACCGTTCATTGAGTTAATTTAATAGTTGTTGTGGAGCAAAGTTTCTTATTCTGTCTGGATTTCCCTGACACCCCGCTCCCCCTCCCCCATCGTCACGTGGCCGGTCTTAAACGGTTGATAAAACACCGGCTGGCTGGTCTTAAACACTATTCCTGTGTCACATAATTTGGACTCACAAAACCGGTCCATTTTACCCTTTGACTGGTTGAACGTTACATTGATCGGTTAGGTGCGCGCAATACTTCCAATGAGTCCGTATTTCATACGCCTAAATTCACACTATACCGGCACAGCTGCGTTCTGCGTCACATCGCGCAGTACACGCAACGCGCGCGCCAATGATATAAGGAGTTGTTTACGACTATACCATAACATAGCTAGAGGGGTTTAAAAAAAAATGAAGTAACTTGTTGAACGAAATCGTTAGAAATTTATAATTTTTGAACTTGTTTGACTGTTGACCGAAAATTTATTTAAGAATGGGAATAAATAATTATGTGCTTGGCCGTATTAAGCACCGTGTTCAAGACCGGTTTGGAGTCTGGACACTGATAATCGGCTCGGGTCATTTTCAGTGTTCAGACTCCAAACTGGTATTTTTGTTTAAAACCGGCCAAGCACACATTTATTCCCTATAACCTTCGCCGGCTACATGTTCTCACCGGTTTTGGCTGTTGTAACATCGACTTGAACCCCTCCGTCGTTCTTCAAGTTTTCCGCCATATTGCCGAGATGACCAGAAGACGAAACCTCCTCGTTCTTCGCGGCGCACTCTGCCAGCAGCATCTTCATTCACTTCCTTCAATTTTTGAGGGGAAAAAAACAGGTGGATGTCTTCGCGAATCAGGGAGCATACGACTTGCGGACCAGTGTCATATAAAATCTGGACTCCTATGTATCTGATTTACCTTATACATTGTTATTTCGGTTGTGTGAAAATCAAACGGTTGTGTACTATTATGAACCTAGCAACCCGTTGTGTAAACTGTTGTTTACACAACTTGTGTAAAATATTACACAACTTGTGTAAAATATTACACAACTTGTTCAATTTTTTTTTACACAACTGGTTGCTATAGGTTCATATACATGTAGTACACAACCGAAATAACAGTGTATGGACTAACCTCGATACCGTACTTGTCCCTGTTCTTATTCTGTCCACCAAATCATGCGCAATACAACCAATGAGTCTACGAGTAGTCCTACTAACGTGAGACATGATATTATTGTATCTTGAATGATGTGATTTCATTGTTGTCACACTCAGAGAATGGAATTTGTAATTTTTTTGGGGAAACTACATTTCCAGCAGAACATTTTTAGTCGTCGTCGCAAAGATTTATCGTCATCTACCCCGTTTCGCATGTCAACCCACACGCGTATTGTTTCCTCCATGCATGCACAAGTAGTTGCGTTTGTAATCATAATTTCTTCTCTTTTTTCCTGACCATGCTTAATTAATTCTCAACGCAGTTGCCGCGGCTTCCGAATACAATCGCTTCTCGTATAGGTAATTTTCTTTTTAAAGATAAAAAAAACAAAGCTGAGCACATGTTAAAAAGCCATTTAGACAAATTTGGACGCTCTATATAAGCGCTACCAGAAGTTATTATTTTTTAATGCTATATAACGACAGGGTTCAAACTTCAAAAAATGACATTGAATAAATGAATTCCTCCTTGTTACCTCCTATTATTGGCAAATATATTACATAACAGTTATGTATGTAAAGTCTGCCTTCTTATCAGCGATTGACTCATATCACTGTACATAATAATAAGACGTTCGTCAATACACGCGTTATCAACGTTCCGTTAGGCCAAAAAAAAAATAAGTCGGTCTCTGGTCAGCGCGCGCGTCGATTTTAATCATGCGCGTCAACCTTTTTTTTTTTCCAAATTGTCCGCGGTAGCTACAGCAGCGCCCTCTATTGCCGCACCAAATTGTTGTACCAAGGAATGGGGAAATTGCACCAAGGCACCAATGATGGAGGGCACCAAGGCAAATTATGGAGGTCCCCAATGTATATGAGGACACAACAAAAGCAAAATAGTACCTACCTTGTCTGTACAATCCAAGCTTCAAACAAACAAAGAAAGGCAAAAAAAACAACAAAAAAAACCACCGCGTAGCCGCATCAATTCCGGAACTTTGGTCTGACCAGAGACCGAATATTTTTTTTTTTTTGCCTTATCTCCAAGAGTGTGAAATGAATCGTGCGATGGATTTTACACTAAAACATACGTTGTACAGGCAAATATATCCGTTCCTCTTTCATGAGCGAATAACACTTAAGTTTAAGACTTTCAACGTGTATAGATCGATTGCAAACAGTCTGCCAGTTTGAACTCGGAATGTATTCCATTAAAAAGTTTGTGCAAGTTTAGTGGCGGGTGCTGTGGTCCAATGGTTACGGTGTTTTGACTCGTCTGCCGTGGTAAATGGGTTCGAATCCTGACCGTGGGGGCATGCATGCTTGTGCTATTGGGCAAAGGCACTTTACCATTATTGCTTTGTCCTTCAGATGGTTAAAGCCGTAGGTCCCGTGTGTTGTGTTATGCACGTTAAAGAACCCAGTTACACTTAATTATCGTTAAAGGAAAGGGGTATATCCCCGTGTTTCTGGCAGTGGCTGCAATATGCGCTGCAGCACCTTGTATACCCTTATAAGGTGCTACATTATGGGTCTCATATTTCTCATAAAACGTCATTTACCTGTCGTTAATAATAGACATAATTTCCAGCGCCTTGAGTACCTAATTGTTGGTAGATACGTGCGCTACATAATTATAAGACTCCAGTATTCTAAGTTTGTCAGGTACAAAAACACACGAGCCCCCCCCCCCCACCCCCGATGCGCCACTGACGCCTCGCCGCTTGAGTGCCCCGTCAGTGGTTTGTCAGCAATGTCCGCGCCCACCTGTAACTTAAGGGCATGGACATCCGGGAATTATTTATGCTTATCATCTAGCCAAGACCTATGTTCTTTACTATGGTTCTTGAGTCAAAGCAACCGATGAAAACTGGTGTGCAAATAAATAGATGTTTTCATCGGATGACGTCAACTCGTCCCACCTCATGATACATGACATCCACTACATCCTTACCTGAGACAGTCGATCTTGGTTCGCTATATCCCGGGAAGAAACTCACCGGGCAAATAAACCACGGTGCAAGTTTGCTACTCGCTTTTCTATTACCGCTGTTTCCTTGCTCTATGCTGTAAAATTTAGCGCGGGTCACAATAATAATTCTCTCGCTTGAGTGCACCACGAAGTAAGATTCCTTCAATGCAAGTTGCAACCTTCTGTTGCGTAACACACTGTTGGCCAAGCAAACCAAACAATGTGTTTAAAATTCGATGATTTGGGTGGATATGTGTTTTTCTCAAAAGGACCACACAGCCAAACAAGAAAAACAATGGTATTTATCTCTTGAAACTGCTTGCTTATTTTCAAAAGGGAGTTCTGAACACAGAAGGACGTTTTGAATTGTTGACTATTATTCGCATCACGCAAACAATACGTACCACCAACACGATGAAGGCATACGTCATGATGGCCAAATGGTCTGCCAGGCACATGCGCGCTAGTGCATGCGTAGAATAATTGTGATCACCGCAATCCATGTGGAGCTACATGTAATAACTAGTCGCGAATTTTGTTGCGAATATATTTTTTGTTCAGTAGCTTGAAGGGTTTTATTTGTGGGTAGTAGCTAGAGTACTGTACACAAACAAGCGGGATCTTTTTATCGGTTTTACTTCGCTTTCACGGGATTCTCGCCTATTTTAGGAAGAAGGGCTAAATCTGCCTTGTTGTTACGGTATCCGCGTTCAAACAAGCCACGTGGAAAACAATGTTCGGTCCTAATGCCATCTCCAAACAGTTTCAACTGATCTGGTGACGAGCTTTTTTTTCGGAAGTTGCCGCTTTTTTTCGATAATGTTCAAGCGCACTGGTTCTGCAGCAACCCATGGCAAAAGATTGTACATTCTGTTATGTCGGCACGAGCTGCCGCGCGAGATCGCTTCATATACGGCGGTTGACAGCTAGAGCTATATAGCTGTACAACTTGAAACACAAACACGTGCAAACACGCAGGCAGTTACGAATTTAGGTGATTCTTGGTAACGATTCAAAATCATGGATCAAGCTAAACAGAGTCAAGCTACAGTTTTGGTGTGATTTATGTGATGTATTCTATCAACTTTAATGACCCACCCCCATTCTCCCTATTAAACTCAAGCACATTTCATTCAAAAGTCACGAAGAAAGTGGCCAGGAAATGCATTAGATTGCACCACAGAGCATCGAATCCAAAAATGTCCTGGGGCCCTCAAGCGGGCCCTGAACCCCATGCCTTCAGGGCTTCGCGCTCCGCGATCGCATATAGAAAGTTCAACTTTAGGATTTAAAGACCCCCCCCCCCCCTCCAGTCCGGGGATCAGGGATCGGGCCTGAAAAAGGTATGCACACACGTACTGAGCGTGTACACGCAGTTTTGCGACGAGCAAATGTCCAATACTTTTCAATATGATAGGGCAAAATTTTGACGATTTTGAAGTTGAACTTATCCCACTGAAAAATTTGATCCATTCAAACTATAATCAACATAATTCACCATTCATAATTATATTTGTAAAGGAAATTAGAAATGGAGTTGAAGGGATAATCTTGGGAGGAAATTACCAATTACACGCATTTTGCGTGACCGTCCGTCGGCCAAATTCCTGAGGGCACCCCCCCCCATTCAAAATGGTCTAGCGGAGCCCGTGGCGTGGTATGGAGGAACGACATACTACTGCTGCTAGCTTGTATTATTAATAGCAGACACAAGTACCAAGATACGTTGCGCATCACGCGGCCGCGGGTCAAAAATCAACTTGATGCACACTGTTGTTGAACCCTTCAAGTTACTGGAAACATATTCACGACAAAAAAATCACGAATAGTCGTGAATATTTTTCGCGACGTCGAGAATTTGTTGCACAACTAGTCGTGAAAAATGTTCACGGCGTCGCGAAAATATTCACGTTCACGACTAGTCGTGAATAAATTCACTACGTCGCAACAAATATTCACGACCGGTTATGTCCCTTCAGGGCCACCATACAGACTCCTGACGGCGGGAAGAGTATTATCCGATCGACCATGGAGCAATTGTCCGACAAAGTCCGAAACCTTGAGTTCCCCCGGGTCTGTTCAGATCCTTGATAACTCACAAAAGAACATTTGTCACATGGTGCAACCGTAATTCTTTATCTTATTAGGCCCGCTTACTCCATGTTCAAAAGAATTCCTGAGATTCAGGGAGCACAATTACCAACAGAAAATAAGTGGGGGGTGTCCCTCTGGCCCATATCATACGTGCTATTATGGTATATTGCGGGGGCGGCGGAACGGGGGGGGGGGGGGGGGGGGGGGGCCAGAGGGGCACCCCCCATATTTAGTCAATTGCCCCTCTTGCGGACATGAAAGTGCCCTCCTATTATTGTGTCTACCATTATCCTTAATGGTTCCAAAATTGCTATAGCAAGGTGATGATTGAAAACACAAAATTAATGTGACTACTGAAAGTTTGTAGCGGTAAATTGTCGTTGCGTCGTATTTGAGGGCGCTATTTCGTTTGAAAGCTCTGGCAGGAGCTTTTATACATGTCACTTTGGGTTGGTCTGTCTGTCTGTCTGTCTGTCTGTCTGTCGTCCGTCCTCGGAACATTCACCAAATGTATGGTGTTACATATGTACCATCGGCGTCGCATTTTTCAGATTCTGATCGATTTTAAGCTCTAGCAGGGATCATTTTGATCGATTTCAGGCACTGATACTGTCATGCAAGTCGTCTTTCAACACCGTCGGTCAGAACTCATGCATGCACTCGCACTTTTTCACATCGCTATCAACGGTAATGTTTACCTGCAACCAGCCTATTGCAAAATGGCAATAGCCTGGTCTCTAATTTGCAATAATTTTTTTGGGGTAATGAGTATCTCTGGCAAATTATGTCAATAAAGAGAGAGGTATTGCCATTCAATATTTACAACAAAATGCAGTTGAAATGCTTGAAATTTCTTTCATGGAGACACTGGTGATTTTGTGTACTTTTTGTGTATGGTACTTAAATACCTTAACTTAGCAAGGGTGGATCTGGGGGTGGGGGGGGGGTGGGGGCGCAACGGGGGCCACCCCCCCCCCCCCCAAGAAAAGAACCCATTTTTTATGAAGTGACGTCGCAATAAAGGCAGCCATGCATACACCACCATCTTTTCCTAAAAAAAAATCAGTCAAAGTGGTCAGAAATTGCCTCAGATCGCACCACAGAGCATCTAGAATGGATCCCAAAAACAAATCGGGGGCCTTAAGCGGGCCACGCCCAGAACCCCATGCCATTATTTTTGGCCCCACTTTTTTGTTAAATATAAGCGAGAGTTTCTAGAAATTCGTGTGTTGAATGACCCGGGCGTCCCCATGTGCACAATTGAACAGCGGCGATTCAAAAATAAACAATCATACTGCGCGCGTAGGCGATCCAATCAAAGGCTTTAAGCAGGGACGTAAATCCGGGGGGGGGGGGGTATATATCCCCCCCCCCCATTTTTTGACCAGGTGGGGTGGGCCGTTGGATCATTGCCCCCACACTTTTCGTGTTGAGCTATATGATAAACAAAAAAAAGGCGGATTATGAGGTAATTTTCGAACTTCTTAAAATGTATTTAATAGTACTGAAGAAGGGAAAATAAGATCAAAAGCTTTAAATGCGCTGTTTTGATGTAAGTTGAAGGGGCGTAAGTATACATGTACATCTGCATCAGAACAGCGCCCCCTGGTCTCAGTCTCGAAGTTTCACGGCCGGAGAATTTTGTTATTTTAGTCATCCCCCATCCCCCAGTCCCCGGCACAGATTTCAAGTTCGCTACAGTTTCAATGGGAGCTAGATATTTACGGGGGGGGGGGGGGGGGGGGACAGTCTATCCAACATTGACCAAAAGTATGGTGTTCCATAATGTGCCGCATTTTTCGTCAGAGCTTATTGTGCACTCGCACTTGTTTTCTTGTGCATGCACTGTTGTAATGTTTGTGTTAATAACTTTGCGTATTTCAGAAATACCTTTTTTGTTTAACTGTGTGGTCCCATTGTAAATGTTTGAAAATATTAAAGTCTGAGTTCCGAGTTTCCGAAAATGTAACTTTACTAACAAAAATCGTCACGGAGGTATAAGTATTATATCTTGTTATTTATTTGTTGCGCGTTGAAAAGCAATAGGCGGTGAATATTCTTCATGGATTTATACATAGGCCTACGTACTGAACGTAACTGCGTTGAGCAATGTGAATACAATTTTTGTGTTCCGTGATTGCTTTTTAGGTTAGTGAAATAAAATCACTTGACTCGAAACACCCCCCCCCCAAAAAAAGACGTTTTTGCTTTATGATGTTCTGTCTTCAAGTATGTAACGTTTGAAACACCCTAAAATTCATTGAAATACCTCTTTTAAAACAATGTTTACAATATTTAAATGCGACCGGATTTTTTTTAAAATTAATTGATGCATTATATCCTCCAATTTCTATACAGTGCACCCCATAACGTGTAAGTTGTCCCCATTAACTTCCGATCCCACTTTCCATATTTGGCATGGGTGTCGTGCGCATGCGCAGTGGGCCGTCAAGTACTCGGATGTGTCATGGCGGACCGATGAACATCGAAGATACACAGCGTGTGTGTGGCGGCCCGTCATCTACCGTTTTCTGTGTTTTTCCCACCCGGCATGGCTGCTCATAGGCCCATCGAATGGGTGTCACAGCTGATCACACGATTCGAGGAACAGGTGAGGGGGTTGTCGTGGCCCTTTTTGTGGCGAGACACGGTCGGGAAGAGTGTCGAATTTGGATGGAATTTTTGTGATCATTGCATTGGAATTGCGCGCTCTCCCTAGCCCTGCAGCGGCCGGCCTCGGCCATACTACTACGACGAGCTACAGTCATGACAGTTGTGCATTGAACCATGGTGTGCTGCCGCGGGTCACGAAAGCATTGTGCATGAAAATGGCAACTTTTTGTCTTACGCAGAATCACACAATGACACACCTTTGATTGGGATTCTGTGTGCACATTTTGAATGTTTGTTTTGTGTGTGTGCGTGTGTCCACTAGCAGTAGCTGTTCACAATATGTCATTAATGATTCAAGTTCATTCATTGTTGTCATATGATTGTTTCCTTTCCAGTCATGTCACTTTTCAGTCATATCCGTGTTTTTCATTTACGTCAGTGTTGGGTTTATTCTACAGAGTTCTAGGCCGAGGCCTACAGTCGTTTTCCTAGTTCCGGATAGCAAACATCATTCAGGCAGCTTTCACTAGTTTCAGCTGCTCAACTACGCCAGGAATTCAAGTGACATTGATTAAAAAGTTTACCTTGAGTGATGGAGATACTACACAATAATTTTTCAAATTTAAGCTCCTTTTAATTTGACTTTACGACGTCAAAAGTACCGATGCCCTTTTTCCTAGTTCCGGATCGCTTCAATCAGTTCCGAATCGATCAAACACTGCGCGCGAAAAAAAAAAAAATTTCAGCCAAAAAAACCCCGAATCAAGCACATTTCTGATAAAGTATTATTTAATTTTCCAAAAATAGTTAATTCAAGAGAATTCCAACAAATTTTAAAAAAGAGAAAAACGTAAATGATTTTGAAGCGTTTGTCTGCAGCGCAACGGCACGAACTCACGCAGAGACCGAAAAGATTTGACACAGCACACAGAATACGTCACACAAAATCGATTAACGCGTCTGTAGTTGGGTCGTAAGTACACACGCTATCCGGAACTAGGCAAAAAACATACGGTCATTTGTTGGCGAATTTTCAAAAGTTAGAGACTCTACAACTTATTTTGATTCAACAAACATTCGACGGAAGAGTTTATACGACTGTAGTGTATGAACAAAATATTCAAAATCACACGATACGAGTGATGTACCGAGGAGAAAATTTTTCGTCGATTCGCAACTCCTGCGATTTTCTACAAACGGTCCGAACATGTCAAAAAGCGAGTCGGAAATCCGGCCAAAATTCCTCTTCTAAAGATTTTATCGGTAAGACCTTTGTGTGTCAAGAAGCTTACATTTTCCTTTTCAAAATGCACTTTGTCTGAAAAAAAATTTTTTGGAGACTAATCCAAAAGAGGTAGGTTTTATTTGAAGCTATCCGGAACTAGGAAAAAAACGGAACTAGGAAAACGACAGTTTTAACTGGAGTCAAGAGTCTGATGAGTCTGACTCGAGTCACTATTTTTCGCGACTCGACTCGACTCGAGACTCGAGTCAAGTGGTATTTGCGATAAGATCTATTGGAAATGTTAAAAATACGTGAAATTATCGAAGGTCATTCATTGTAAAAATGATGATAAGACATGGATCTGGTACTGAGAAACATTTCCAATTTTGTTAGGAAATACTTACATATAGAACAACTGCCGTTGTAATTCACAGCTTTACCCTTTTACATAACAACTTACACAGCACCAACTGCCGATACATTTAAAGGGGCTTTAACTAAAAATTAAGACGTCTCTCGCATCACACCCCACCATATGTGCTGTAGTCTTCAATTGTGAAGTTAGCACTCAATTGAAAGAAGAAGAAGAGAAGAACATTTTCTGGACTCTCCATAGACTTTGAACACAACCGCTGAAGTGGCGTCAGGTTGCAACATTTTTCCCGAAATTAGGACCAGAAAATGTATCCAGTAATTACAAAAAAATATGAAGTTTCACGACTCCCCATACCATAGACTTTGTACACAGCCCTAAAAGTGGGGAAAGATTCTGCATTCCAGTCATGCTGTAATTTTAGCGTCAAAAAGCCCCAAGAAACATCAACATCAGGTCACATCAACAAGGTACTTGCATATTCCTCAGCTTCCAAAAAGTAACATAAAGCCCAATACAATCCCAAACTGCTTATTAAAAAAATTAACGAAATCATCATTTGTAATCTTGCATGAAAACAAAAATGTTTGGGCTACAACTTTGATTTTTTCAGAGAGTTGTCCATCTGTAATATTCTTTGACTCAGCGGCAGTGAGATATTAAGGAAGCTGCATGGCAGTTTTGAGGGATGTTTTTTTTCAGTGGGTGTGGCCATTATTTTAATTGGTTTAAAGGGAATATACATCATTTGCTTTTGCTGTAATTTTCAGAAATGGATGGAATTGGGGGGTTGGAAATATATAGCAAATATAGTTACACTGACTTTTTTGAGGTTTTGGGTTCGAAAATGCTATAAAAACCAAGAAAAACAATCATTTTCCTGTAGTCTGGTTCCCTGACTCCATATAAGAAGAAACAGAGCAGTTTACATACATTGGGGAATTGTAAGGCCAGGGAACCAGTCTAGCTGGCTCGTACCCGTTCATAGGTTTGTAATCGATTGCAAACAAGTGCGATGGTCAATTGGGGCCAGTATTTGGAAAAAAGCCAGTTTTTTCCAACGCTGATCGGCCGATCAGCGTTGGAAATTGATACAAAAATACCACTTTTCTTGAAAATGACAGTATACCAGGTGCCATGATTTTACAGGATGCTTTACACTGTCATTCACTAACAGTCCAGCAAGGTATTTCAAAATGATTTGGTAGTTTTATTTTTTGATGTTTGCAAATGTTGTATTTTCCCTTTAAATTAATAATAGGTTGTAGGACAATTAGTGGGAGTTATATGTCATAAGGTACATGAATACAAGTAAAAATATGACTATTTTTATCCAAGCATATGTTTTGTCATGTTTTGACTTGAAATTTTTTGTTGGCCTATGCGCTAAGATAGTTAAATGTAATATATATATACATTTGCTTTTGCTGTATTTTTGGGGGAAAGAATGGACTTGGGGGTCAGTAGTTTATAGCAAATATTTTCACACTGACCTTTTTAGAGTTTTGTGTCCGTAGATGCTGGAAAATAAAACAAGTAAAAAAAATGTTGTAGTCTGGTTCCCTGACACAACTTCAGACGGAAATGAGTAACTTATAGACATCAGGGAATTGTCAGTTACATGTAAAGGAACCAGACTAACTGGCTTGCGCCCATTCACGGATGTGTAACCGATTGCAAACAAACTGTGGACTAACTAAATTTGGTGAAATGGGGGGGGGGGGGGGCGGCAGTATCTGAAAAAGTCCGGGTTTTTTTCAGTCGGCTGACCGTCGTTGGAAATTGATTTTAAAAAAATGTACTTTTCTTGAAAATGACAGCACATCAGGTGCCATGATTTCACTGGATGCTTGAGACTATTATTGACTAACAGTCAAGTAAGGCATTTCATAATGATTTGGTAGTTTTGTTTTTTGATGATTGAAAATGTTGTAAATTATCTTTAGGGCAATTCCACGGTTACTCACGTTACATTTCTGATGTACTTTTGAGTTTCCTTGGGCTGTAATTACCTTACTGAAAAGGTTTAATGACTGTTATCCCCATGGTAGATAGAGAAGACCTAGACCTACCTAAGCACCAAAGATGACATCCAGAAAAATGTGTTATGTGTGATAAACAAGACGCACAAAATCGGTTACTCACGTTACGAAAATGTAACGTGAATAACTGTGGAATTACCCTTTAACTTTTACTTGTGAATAGTTTCCCTTCACGGTTTTACGATGATGTTTGCATACATCCAGGTCTTTACTTTTTTTTTTTTTTTTCCAGCTGCCATCTCGTCTGAGTGGTCAGTCTGGCCAGGCCCATGCCGATTTGGAGCGCAGCAAAACCTGCCTGATCAGCGTCAGCAAGCGTCTGTTCTCCCAGGTCATCAATGGGCTGGCCAAGATACTCAACAATCTCAACCCATCCTCCGTGGTAGGCCCGTCGCTTGATGTTTTTATTTTGTAAATGTTTAAACAGAACTATTGTTGACTACTCTTTTTTAAGATTTGAATTTTTTTTCTTCTAGCGAATTTTCAAACTTGTATGTTTTGTGTTTACAAAGAAAACTACTTTTTTTTATTGGGCATCTTCACATTTCAACAGGTTAGTTGTTAATTTATTCGCCCTACTTAGGATTTTCAGTAATTTCGTTGCTTCCAAAAAAAAAAAAAAAAAAAAGCATGCAAGCTGAATCATCCTATGTACAGATATCTTTAACAAACAAGAACAACCCTGATTAACCCTAACTCCCTCGGCATTTTTGCTAGGATGCAGCCTCAATCCTCCAAAATCCTCCGTTATTTCTTGAACGTGGTCCTCGGAGGGGTGACCACTGCCTCAATCCTGCAAAATCCTCCGGCAATCACTGTCAATATGATGAGGCAGAGCCAGTGACATCCTGGAGCAGTGCGGAGGACTTCAAGTATAATCTAGGCCTAAATGTATGCATAGCTGAGCATAAACAACACAAGGTCCAGCCCAAGATCCAGACACAGTACATCCTTCAAAATCAGCCACACAGTTTTGCCATATAGCCCCAATCCTGAAAAATCCTCAATTTTGCAAAGATGATTTTGGAGGATTTGGGAAGGTTAGGGTTAAAGCTGTACTTTGTATGTATGTATATAAAATAAACTTTGCTATTATTTTGGGTCATTTTGGCAGAGACCACTTGGTCAAGAGGAAGCCAAGATTCTCCATCAATCCCAGCTCATTGTCCTGGACACACTGGAAAAATGCCTATCAGCAGTAAGTACCTCCTGAGTTAAAGGGAACTTACATCATTTGCTTTTGCTGTAATTTTCAGAAATGGATGGAATTGGGGGGTTGGAAATATATAGCAAATATAGTTACACTGACTTTTTTGAGGTTTTGGGTTCGAAAATGCTATAAAAACCAAGAAAAACAATCATTTTCCTGTAGTCTGGTTCCCTGACTCCATTTAAGACGAAACAGAGCAGTTTACATACATTGGGGAATTGTAAGGTCAGGGAACCAGTCTAGCTGGCTTGTACCCGTTCATAGGTGTGTAATCGATTGCAAACAAGTGCGATGGTCAACTGGGGCCAGTATTTGAAAAAAAGCCAGTTTTTTCCAACGCTGGTCAGCCGATCAGCGTTGGAAATTGATACAAAAATACCACTTTTCTTGAAAATGACAGTATACCAGGTGCCATGATTTTACAGGATGCTTTACACTGTCATTCACTAACAGTCCAGCAAGGTATTTCAAAATGATTTGGTAGTTTTATTTTTTGATGTTTGCAAATGTTGTATTTTCCCTTTAACTTTACGAGTTGACGAGTAATCTCACAAGGATTTTTATTTCAGATAGAGAAATCTACAATGACTATTATTCTCCTTCCTTTTCTTTTCCTTTCAGCAACCTAAAGACACATCTCGCTCCAATGAGACCATGCTGGTCAAGTCCCTCCTACCGGAGGTCTGTCAACTTCTTAACGTTCCCGGCGAGCACCCACTGACCGCGCAACTCAAGATGGCTGCCTCCCAAGTCCTCTTTGCTCTCAGCCTCAACAACTTCAACGCGGTCTTCAGCCGGATATATGCAAGGTAGGCTTCTTCTTTCTGTTTCAAAGGCCTTCAAGGATTATGCAGTTTTTAAACAGATTAACCCTCCTATGCAAACATACATACATTCTGTGCCAAGTTGTCCTTTCAGTCAAAATCAATCAAGTGTCTGTTTTCAACAGTTAAGAGCTCCCAGCCTACATGAAGCAGGATTGACTGGCTGTGGCTGTTTATTCAACTTGATACAGCTATGCTTTTACTGTAGATGATTGATAAGCCAGCTGTGCCTACCACTTGCCTGCTTTTGTCCTTTGACTGAATTTGATTAGTCAGAGTGCTTGCTTGAAATATGATCTGACTGTTGGTGACTTCCCTGTGTAAAAGGCATGGCAGGGGAAGAGGATTGATTTTTTTGACTGTCTATGACTGTTCAGACAGCAGGAGGCTTAATCAATCATATTACCAACGATTTCTTTTGAATGCTTTTCAATTTCATATTTTTATGTATCTATTTTATTTGCTTGTATTTTGTGCAGACTTGACGCCCTTGCCAAAATCACCGATGAATCGGGCGACGAGTCAGACATTGAACTGATCCAACACATCAACATGGATTGTAGACGATTGACCAAGCTCTTAACTGGTATGAACACTAATTAATCCCTTGATCAAACTCTCATTTCACCTCATCAAAAATTACAGAGTTTTTGTTACTGTGTTATAATTACAACTCGACATATCTGACTCAGGTCACAAATTGACTTGACTTCCCTTGAGTCTCTGAGTAGAGTATTAAATTTTGGCTCCCCAATTTATCATATTTAGTTAGTCCGCATTTTGTTTGCAATCGATTACACATCTATGAACGGGAACAAGCCAGCTAGACTGGTTCCCTGACCTTACAATTCCCCGACATCTGTAAATTGCTCCGTTTCATCTTAAGTGGGGTCAGGGAACCAGACTACAGGAACATGATTGTTTCTCTTGGTTTTTCCAGCATCTACGAACACAAAACTTCAAACAAGTCAGTGTAACAATATTTGCTATAAAATACAAACTCCCAAATTCATCCATTTCTAAAAATTACAGCAAAAACCAAATGTTGTATATATTCCCTTTTTTGAGAGCAACTCGGGTTGACCCAAATAGAATTTGTGACAGTTGAATTATTTGTACAATCTTCAATTGACTACACTCTAGAAGTCATGCTGAACAACTACAAACATCGATCTAGTCAGAAGCTGGTGTAATTAAGAAGACATTTTCAATATTTTTCATCTTTATCTTATTACAGAAACAATTTGCAAGTTTCCCATGCTGAGAAAGAGTGTGATGGCAACTCTAGTGGTCAGTCTGGAGAAGGTAAAATAGATTTTTATTTTTTAAGGAATTTGTTCTAGTGAACATACATGTTGTTGAAACATTTCTGTACGTATGCTTGGGTGCCTTTGACTCATGTGAAGACACAATTACTTTGTAAATATTGACTTGAAAATTTGATGAATGCACTTGACATCACGAGAGCTAGCTTGCTGGGTACTCGCACGAAGGGATTAACCCTCCCTCTCTGGCTGGCGATTGCAACAAGGCCAGCCCAGCAGTCAAAATAAATCAAGTGACTGTTTTCAACAGTTGAGTGCTCCCTGCCTTCATAAAGCAGGATTGACGGGCTGTGATTGCTACGAAGCCTGATATAGCTATGCTTTGACTGTAGGAGATTGGTAAGCCAGCTGTGCCTACCAGTCACCTGCTTTTGTCTGTTGATGGAATTTGACCGTCACAGTGCCTACAAGAAATATGATCTGACTGTTGGTGACTAGCCTGTGTAAAAGGCATGGCAGGGGAACAGGATTGATTTTTAACTGTCCCTGAATGATCAAACAAAAGGAGGGTTAATGGTGCCCTGGAAGTTGTTTTTTGTCTAACGGTACCCCAGAAGGAAAATTCTAAAGAGGAGAACAATGCAAGTACCCCATAATCCTCATCTGTAAGGTTTTCTGCACACGAGAGTACGCAAATACATATCGTCACCGACACCACGAAGTAACACTCTACCGTGTTAAAGCATTTTTTTTTCGATTTTCAGTTTTTTGGATTTTTAAACATTATTCATCAAGGCCTACCATTGCACGAAGTTTCAAAGCTTCAAGAGCTTTACTTTAATAATTACGCTAAGTATCCATGACAACCTTTGCGTAAAAGTGACAATTTTCGTTTTCACGAAATAACACTCAAGTTCCATTTTCCATTGCAATGCATGGCGCGCACTCTGCTCATAAGTGAGCAAAAACGTTTTCACGAAGTAACACTCTTCTTGTAACAAGTTGTATGAGCGCGCGCGCGCGCTGACCTGAAGTTGCACTTTCCTCGTGTTAAATACATTGAAGAGTGTTACTTCGTGAAAACGAAAATTTACAGTTTCGCAGCTTTTTCGGTTTCACGAACTAACACTCATCTTTTTTCTCTTATTTCTTGTTTATTTAATACACAAACGAGTGAAAAACAGCAGATTTAATAAATTCAATTCATCAAGTGTCCACAACGAGAAACCCAACTGAAAATACTCTGTCGTTTTGACGCAAAGTGTTGTTTTAGAAGGCGTTCAACTTTAGTTGCCGTTTTCTTCGATTGCTAGTTTTTACTGGTATGTAGATGGGTGTTACTTCGTGGTGTCGGTGACGATATATCTGTCGTTTGCTTTCATAAGTAGGCCACACAGGGCAATTTACAGAACCCGCTTAACTTCAATTTGGTCATAGATATAAGTGTCCTCGTTGCTAATTTTTCTTTAAAATCTGTTTTCAGGCAATCTGGAACTGGATGGACAACTACCCTGAAGAGTTTATGATGCTGCACGACACTCGTGAATCAGAAATCCAAGGTACAGTTGACATTTACGTGTTCTTATCAAATTTTGCTCAACTACAACGAAAGAGTAGTATGTAAACTCCTGCTCATACAGGGTGAGTCAAAAAAAGTGGAACCCAAACCCCATAAAATATATTTCATATAAAAAAAAATATGTAGCACCAAAAATAATAATGACTGGAAAGCCAATTTCATAAGCTACTTTTAGATGAAAAAAAATACTGAAATTGCTCAATCCGTTCAAAGAATATCACCATTTAAACACCATGATCCTAAAACCCGTCTCGTCCAAAAAAAGCAATTCATTGTGTGTTTTGACTGGAACGACAAAGAAAATGACACAGAATACTTGTTTCAACAACTGTCACCAACTGTAGTACACAATATCTTTATTAACAACCCTGGTTAGGCAAACAATATGATTTATAAACTCTGCTTTTTTAAAGGACAGGCCTTCAAAGGGATTCTGCTGAAAAATTTTAACGTTTAAACTGAGATTGTATCGCTGGTGATGTTTGAAGACAATTGCGATGACGATTCTTGAAATCGCATTGTTTTGGATGAGACAGGTATTAGGGTCATTCTGTTTTAAACGGATTGACCAATTTCAGTCATTTTTTTCATCTAAAAGTACCTTATGAAATTGGCTTTCCAGTCATTATTATCTTTGGTGCTACATATTTTTTTAAATATGAAATACATTTTTGGGGTTTGGGTTCCGCTTTTTTTGACTCACCCTGTACTTGCATTTGAGAATGTACTGGATGGCAACACTGTCTCAGGCAAAGCACACAAATGATTTTGTCCGTTATTTCTCACCCGTCCTCAGACTGCTGCGAGAAGTTGTTTGACATGGCAGAGAGCCAACCAGAGATGCAGTCAGCGAAGAGGAAGAGCTCAGTCTGGCTCCTGCAGGTCATGCTGCTCATCCTCTGCCCGGTGAGTCAAGACTCCAGATCTGTCTATGATACCAAAACACATATGCAACCCTGCAGTGTTATCATTACTACTTGTGAATAACCCTAACCGCCCTGAATCCTTCAAAATCCTCTTTGCCAAAGTGGAGGAATTTGGAGGATTGAGGTAACATGGCAAAGGTGCGCTACTAATTTCGTAGGATGCACTTTGTCAAGGTCTTGGGCCGGACCTTGTGTTGTTTTTGCTTAGCCATGCATAAATATAGGCCTGGATTAGGCTTGACATCCTCTGTACTGCTCCAGGATGTCACTGGCCAAGCCTCAACATATTGACAGTCACCGCCGCAGGATTTTAGTGGATTCCGGCAGTGGTCACCCCTCCACCATTAGCATGTTGCGGCCATCTCAATTTTTCCCCATCCAAATCAACGTAACAAAAGCGAGCCAGGAAGAAAAAATAGTCTGGTTCCTTTTTGCACAAAAACATTATCATTTAGTACTGTTATTGGATACAGGGAACATGACTGAAATGGTGGCAGCAAGATAAAGGTCTATTTCCTTGACTCTGTCGCAGTGCATTGTACATAGACAGAGTCCGTTTGGGTGAAGAGCAAAACCTAATATTGAATTCACATCACCCTGACGCAGATTCCATCTTTATGAACACCTTCAGTCACTGAGTGCCTGAACCACCCTGCCTATTACTCACTGTAGCGCCCGAAACCACCATGCCTATTACTCCCTGTAGCACCTGAACCGCCCTGCCTATTACTCCCTGTAGCACCTGAAACTCCCTGCCTATTACTCACTGTAGCACCTGAACCGCCCTGCCTATTACTCACTGTAGCGACCGAAACCACCATGCCTATTACTCCCTGTAGCACCTGAACCGCCCTGCCTATTACTCCCTGTAGCACCCGAAACTCCCTGCCTATTACTCACTGTAGCACCTGAACTGCCCTGCCTATTACTCCCTGTAGCACCCGAAACCACCATGCCTATTACTCCCTGTAGCACCTGAACCGCCCTGCCTATTACTCACTGTAGCGCCCGAAACCACCATGCCTATTACTCCCTGTAGCACCTGAACTGCCCTGCCTATTACTCCCTGTAGCACCCGAAACTCCCTGCCTATTACTCACTGTAGCACCTGAACCGCCCTGCCTATTACTCCCTGTAGCACCCGCAACTCCCTGCCTATTACTCCCTGTAGCACCTGAACCGCCCTGCCTATTACTCACTGTAGCGCCCGAAACCACCATGCCTATTACTCCCTGTAGCACCTGAACCGCCCTGCCTATTACTCCCTGTAGCACCCGAAACTCCCTGCCTATTACTCACTGTAGCACCCGAAACCACCCTGCCTATTACTCCCTGTAGCACCTGAACCGCCCTGCCTATTACTCCCTGTAGCACCCGAAACTCCCTGCCTATTACTCACTGTAGCACCTGAACGGCCCTGCCTATTACTCACTGTAGCGCCCGAAACCACCATGCCTATTACTCCCTGTAGCACCTGAACCGCCCTGCCTATTACTCCCTGTAGCACCCGAAACTCCCTGCCTATTACTCACTGTAGCACCTGAACCGCCCTGCCTATTACTCCCTGTAGCACCTGAAACCACCATGCCTATTACTCCCTGTAGCACCTGAACCGCCCTGCCTATTACTCACTGTAGCGCCCGAAACCACCATGCCTATTACTCCCTGTAGCACCTGAACCGCCCTGCCTATTACTCCCTGTAGCACCCAAAACTCCCTGCCTATTACTCACTGTAGCACCTGAACCGCCCTGCCTATTACTCACTGTAGCGCCCGAAACCACCATGCCTATTACTCCCTGTAGCACCTGAACCGCCCTGCCTATTACTCCCTGTAGCACCCGAAACTCCCTGCCTATTACTCACTGAAGCACCTGAACCGCCCTGCCTATTACTCCCTGTAGCACCCGAAACTCCCTGCCTATTACTCACTGAAGCACCTGAACCGCCCTGCCTATTACTCCCTGTAGCACCCGAAACTCCCTGCCTATTACTCCCTGTAGCACCCGAAACTCCCTGCCTATTACTCACTGAAGCACCTGAACCACCCTGCCTATTACTCACTGTAGCACCTGAACCACCCTGCCTATTACTCACTGAAGCACCTGAACCGCCCTGCCTATTACTCCCTGTAGCACCCGAAACTCCCTGCCTATTACTCCCTGTAGCACCCGAAACTCCCTGCCTATTACTCACTGAAGCACCTGAACCACCCTGCCTATTACTCACTGAAGCACCTGAACCGCCCTGCCTATTACTCCCTGTAGCACCCAAAACCACCCGAGTACTCTATGGTTTTATTAATTCTTCATTGAATGAACACAATGTAACACAATGTAGAACAAGTATGGGTTAATGGGTTGGAACTCTAACATAGGAAGCCTTCATTTTTCACAAAGTTGTTTTGGATTGATTGAGCTGGAAAAAAGGTAACGGAACAGTGACATGAAAACCAAGTTATTGCTGCAGGCCCAATTTTCAATGAAATTTTGTGACTTGATTTGACAATGTGTCCCTTTCTCCAGGCGCTGATGAATGACATCGTCAACACCACCAGCTACCACCCCAACCCCTCCCCGCGACTCCTGCAGAAGAAACAGTTCCTGGACAACCTGCAGAAGTCGCTGTGCTCACCCGGCAGCAACAAGCAACTGACGGAGTGCGCGGTCGTCTCCAGCGTCAAGCTGTGCAAGGCAGCGTCCTACATCAGCAACCCGCAGAAGTCGGTACTCTGCAAGCTGGTCAACAAGCTCATGCTCGATCTCAAGGTAATGCTGAGTTTCTTCCTTTCCCCCCTCCCCTCCTTTTTTTTCCATTTTTTTTAAAATCGTTAGGAATATGTTTGCCTTAGCGTGGACAAATTCAGGTTTTTTGAGTATTGGGTTTGACACATTGGCAGGTTTCAGAGATGTAACATTGTCATTGAACAACAAACTTTTCAAATGAACTCGGACGCTTTATTCCTTTTTCATTGTTCATCCCTTGTCTCTTGTGATTTAACTTCAAAGTGACTAATACATTTTTGACTTGATGTTTAACTAGTAGTTTACATGCATGGACTAATATATTTTAAAGCCTGTTACGTTTACTAGGCACAATGCACCGTCTAATTTTGAAAACAACGTTCATGTGAAAAATAGCATGGGAGTACAATTTTGTTTCCATATGAAAAATCTGACTCTTGGTTCATGGGATTTTGATTAAATTTTGACAGAAAGGCTTCATATATATTCCTACAAATTCTAAGTGGTCAACCAACACTGCCTTTGTACTTAAATCTGAGTCCTGCTATTCCACTATTTTGATATACTAACCCTAACAATCCCCATCCAGTCAAACTCCAACACCAGGGTTTGTTGGAATCTGTCAGGATGACTACTGCACTAGTAAACTGATTATGCTTTACATGGGGTCAGGAATATCACCATAATCAGAGTCCAACAGTTTGGGTGTTGAGTTTACCATATGGTGTTGGAATTTGCAAGGATGAGGAAGGTTCCTAGTAGATCATCCTATGGGGTTAGGCTTATGGAGTAAAAGGACTCATCTTCAAAATAGATTTGATAGACGCTACCTTCCTTCAAAATCCCCCAAAACCTCCTGGTGGATTTTGAAGGGTTTAGGAGTGTGAGGGGAATGCAAAGTATTAGTTTGCTAACCCTAACTCCTTAGGCCTTTTTTACTAGGATGTAGCCTCAGTCCTGCAAAATCCTCCAATTGGCCTCATGGAAAAATAGCATATAGCCTCAATCCTGCAAATTCCTCCGCTATTTCTTGAATATGGTCCATGGAGGGGTGACCACTGCCTGAATCCTGCAAAATCCTCCGGCTATGACTGTCAATAGGCTGAGGCAGAGGCAGTGACATCCTGGAGCAGTGCGGAGGATGTCAAGTATAATCAAGGACTAAATTTATGCACGGCTGAGCATAAACAACATAAGGTCCGGCCCAAGACCTTGACACAGTGCGTACTCCGAAATCAGCAACCCACTTTTGCCATGTAACCTCAATCCTGCAAATTCCTCCAATTTGCAAAAAGGATTTTGGAGGATTCAGGGCGGTTAGGGCTAATAGTGTTAAAGTAGTGCAAATGGAAATGCGAATTACCATCTACTCAATTTGTGTGTTCCAAATTGTTTTTTTTTCGTCTCCAGATGCTTCTCTTCAACCCCAACAAGCCTTTCTCCCGGGGCGCAGGTAACTTCTCGGCGGACATTGAGCTGATGGTGGAGTGTGCTGTGGCCTGCTTCAGACTCCGCCCTGACAAGTGTGAACACTTCAACGCCTGTCTGTCGGTCAACGCCCCTCCACATTTCCACTTGGTGCTAGTACGTGCGTTGCACACCATCGTCACAAAGGTAAGTCAAATAAATAGGTTTCACTAAGGGGGATAAAATCTTCCATTTGAATTTAACTGAGCACATCTTTTTTTGTTGTTGACAAATTGTGTTGGAAAATGTCAGAAGTGAAAAAAATAAGAATGTTTTGGAATGCTGCAGGTTTTGCTGTAAAATTGCAAGACGTTGTATCTTCTGCCGTCATAGATTTATTTCAAACTCTCTTGTAAATCATTGTTTTTACTGATTGCAGTCCAACATGAAATGGTGGCCCAAGATCAGTGTGGTGTATGACACAATGCCGGGGCCGCTACGGATTCTCTTCAGTGAAACTCACTCCAAGGTCACCAGCCATTGCCAGACGACCATCAGAAGCAGTCAGGTAAGATGAAGTGACAAAGGGTAATCAATGAGGGCGCTATAACGACGCAGCCTGGACTCCATGGGCGCGTGCGCTTTCCTTCACTAATCCCTGCCCTTGAGGAATACGTAAACGGCGCTGACTGGCTATTCGGAGCGTACTGCGCGTGCATGCCCTACATGTATATCAGGCATGCAACTTTTCCTCGGATCAGCTGATTTCCTCTTTTTTTACTTGCCATGTGTGCCATTGAAAATAGAAAAACACTGTATAAAGTCTTGCAAAGATTTGAATTTCCTCTTTTTTTGTGTGATTTCCCGGTTGCATGCCTGGTATATGCGCTCTTGCGTTATCTCCTTTAAGTCACATCCGTCACGTACGAACATTATTTTCAAAACTGCGCGATGCCTGTATGATATGGATTCTGAATGCCTAGTTTTTTAGCCAAAAAAACCTGTATCTTGTGTTGTAAAGGAACGACAGAGGTACATTTCACATAAGTCCTTGCTAAATAAGGCGATGAGGAAGTCTTATGTTTGAAAGGATTGATTCAACAAACAGAAAACTTTGAAAATTTGAAGTACTGAGTTGCTCGTTAATTTACAATTAAATCTCCCAAATAGTGGGACATTTAATTACACAATTCCAGGGGTTCAGATCGCGCAAGGCATGATGGGAACCAACATGGCGCAGCAAGATCGTATCCATGGAAACAAGGTTGGGTATAAACAGACATTTAGCTAAGGTTATGGACACAAGTGTACATGTTACAGTTCATGAACTAAATTTTACATCCAGCCATACACACTTTGTAATATTCTGAATTTTTTTTATCTCTACAGAGTTTGACGACACTGAAAAATGTCTACAAGAAACCAGTCAGAAAGTTCAAGGAGAAATCCAGCGAGGAGGTGCCCAACACGTTGCTGCTGTGGCTGGTACGATTAGTCCATGGAGACCCGAAACTCATGCTGCATGTAAGTTCGGCCAGACGATTTACCACAGGCAATTTTTGCTGTACTTCAATTCCTAATATTATTCCTAATCTCATCCCTGGGCTTAACCACTCAATTCTACATCCAATTTTATCCTGATCTCCACCCTTACCCTTAATCTGTATTTCCAGTTTCAACTTTTTTTCATGTTGTGGTGTTTATAATGATCACTCCTTCCTGTCAATCAAACAGTGCGTATTGACCAATTAGATCATGACTTTTGGTAATGTGACCCCAGTAGCTCAGTTAACATTTTAGTCCCAGGCATTGTGAGAAATGTAGCCAAACCAAAAGTGGGCGGAGCTTATTGGCAAATCCTGAACGATCTATTTTCACATGTCGTCATCGTTCTGAATCGCAGAATCCTGACGGGGCCGGCCATGAGATTCAGAGCAGCACGAGCAACCTGATCCGAGGTCTGATCACCTTGATGTACATGTGCAGTACCATCCCCAACATTGCGCACGAGGCTATGAGGGCGCTGTTGACCCTGCACCAACCCGAGAACGTCGAGCTGTGGAACAGGGAGGCTCCGATCGCGACGTTCTGGGATATAAGGCAAGGAACACAAAAACTTCTTCTCTTAATTCTATAAACAGGCACACACTTTGTCAGGACTTTGGCTGGTAGAATGGTGAAAATAAACTTTAAAAAATCTTCAGAGGTTTAGATTTGACCTTAGCTGTCTTATTGATCTCTTGCAGCTCTCAGATGCTGTTCTCCGTCTCCCAGAAGCTTGTCTCCTGTCAGATACTGAATGGCACCGAGGTCCTCAAATGGCTGAGTGAGGTCCTGTCGCTGAGAAACTGCTTCCTGAACAAGTACAAAGACCATGCCACGGTCGACTGTAACATTCCACGCACCAGAGAAGCTCAGGATAAACTAGAGGTATGTTGGAGACGCATTCAAGTATACAAGTAAAACACGGTTTGAGGGTGGATAGTTGATATAAGATTCCTGAGGTATTGAATATGGTGGCAGCCATTTTCTGTGGTGGCGCAAGGCTTGCGCGAGTCGCTCTCAGGTATGGCGCAAACACTCCGGGCTCCTTAAACTAGTAGGAATACCAAAATAAGCGCGCCTTGTCTTTAAGAACACATGCAGCATGTGCTTGAGTGTTACACCATCGCAGTAAAAGCTTCTATTTCTGGTCGCCCGATTCCACTATACCGAGGAAAGCTGATATGTGAGGTGTTCTGGCAAAATGAGACAGAACTGGGCAGAGGTTGAAATGAGGGTTTGTGGGTATTAGGAAAGAGAATTAAATTCTCCCTACAATACTGTTTGTTGCACTTCAATCAGACATTCCTTTCATAAGTTATGGCTGTTTAAAGTTTGCATTTATTGTCATGTCAAAAAAGTAAACTACCTAGAAAAATGCCTTTAAAGTTTTGAGGTCTGTAAGTCATTAAAATATGCCAATTGTTTTTTACCTAAAAATCCCTCTTATTCCACGATTTGTTATACTGTTTTTATAAATGTGTAGCAAGCATATCAAAGATTAGACCAAAAAAATAGTTCTGCTTCTGATTACATGGCATTCGAAAATAAGGTGGGTAGGTGGGGAACTTTTTTGTGTATGATCATATGGAGGCGTCTGCGTGTAGTCGGGGTAAACGATAGTAATTGATGGTTTGGGGTGCTTTTTTTTCTCATTTTTCCCATAAAAAAATAGGGTAGGGGCTGTCAGAATAGGATAGGTAGGGAATCAGAAGCAGAACTATATTTTTGTTTTTGGCCTTCCAAATATTAACGACTCTTAATTAACGAATCTGAAAAAAAAAAAAAATATCACCCTCATTTTGTTTTTTGAATTTTTTTCAACTATATAACCAAAATACTCACCAAAATTTTGCTGAGTTACGCATCATTTATCTCATACGAAATGTTCCTGTGGACTCAAAATGGCACCAGTTATTATTTCCTCTCTGATTGTTTGTTTGTTTTTATTTTGTAGTGTGTATTCTTCATGAATCTGTGGAGTTGTGACCAGGAAGCAGTTCTGACTGCTCTCTCCTGCTTTGGTCAGCTCTGTGAGGAAGCTGAGATATGCTGCGGCGCCGACGATTTCACCCTCACCCAGGTGTTGCCCAATCACAACGTCTACTCAGATCTGGCCACTGCCGTGGGAATAGGACCCCAAGGTAATGTCAAAGGATCCAGTTGTTTATGAGTGGAGTCAACAATTCCAGTTGTTAGGGTGCCAGACTAAGCAGGCCCTATATATAAAAAATCCTTTCAAGTAATTAACTACCGTAATTTTCGGAATATAAGCCGCGGCTTATATGTTGATTTTGCCCATGAAAATGTTTACTGCGGCTTATACACAGGGCGGCTTATACGCCGAGCCTTGAAGAATAAAAATGAAATTCACATGTGTATTTAATGTACTGGTATAAGAAGAGATATGTTGCTGAAATGAATTATCAATTAAGAAAGTCATTAACGAACCGAAACCACGTGCCACGTAAAGGTGCCGAGCGGTAAAAAGTACGGTGAAAGCTGTCTTCGATATTGACGCTTGCAACAAGCCGTACGTGATTCTAGTGCTGCTGCATGCAGCATGCTTTCCCCAGCGGACCACACCATTTGAGGTAACATAGGGGTGTACTATCTTAGAAACAATAATTACCAACATTTCCGCTGTTTAAAAAAAGAAAAAAGGCGACTCATACTTTTATGGTGTCTGAAACATTTCTTTAGTTGATAATCAGTTGTTCAACTTCACAATATAGTTTTTGTACTTGAAATGTATTCAAGAAACGATGTAAACCTCAAAACAGGGACTATATCACCCTTTACAAAATTAATGGGTTCGTCCATGAAAATGGCAGCATCGTTTTGACTATTTTCGAAGAAAGTTATGATCGAAACTTGAATACTGCTCGTTAGTAATCACAAAAATTTGATAAGTTTTGAGATAAAAACGGACCTGTATATTTTTAGGACAAAACAAATCAGCATCTGTTGCCACAAAGCAAGATTTGTACGTAGCGCTCCAGTCAGACAACACACGCAATGGGGGAAAATCACGGTGGGTTGCATACTCTCTCACGTGCTGCAGGAAAATGTTGTCCTAGGCCGGCCACATTTTCCACATTTGTTTGTGAGAGTATCGATTGTAAATGATTTGATACAACTTTTGTGGCCCTTTTTATAGCTTCTGTAGTGTAAATGGAACTGGTTCGGAGCATTTTGGCTAGAATTTGGAGGCCTTACAAAATTGAAACCACTGCCGTCGGTGCGGCTTATACGCCGGTGCGGCTTATACGCCGACTTCAAATCTTAATTTGCAGATTTTTGCGTGCTGCGGCTTATACGCCGCGCGGCTTATATTCCGAAAATTACGGTACCAATAAAGTCAAGATAAGCGGTTGTCCTTGGCCGCTTTGACTTTTTTTTCAACAACCACCACAACAAATTTTATCAGTTGATAAAGATTTTTTTATATAGTTTAATAAAAGTAGAAAAAGCAGATTTAGCAGCCATTTTATCAAAATCTTAACATTCACCGTGTAAAGGGTTTTTACAAATCACCTCAACTTTGTCAACGTTTTCACAATTGTAGACTTGCAGAAAAATACAAAAGGATTGGGTAGAACCTTTGCCTGCAGGCAGCCATCTTGGAAGTATTATTGCAAAAATTGTCATTCAGTCCCTGTGGAGCAAAAGCACTACCTCCACAGTGGCTGCCAAGCAAAAGGTCTATTTCCAATGATTCCCTTATTTCAACTCTTCAAATATTATCAAGAACACTCTTAAATCCTACAAAATCCTACAAAATCCTTCACTTAGCAGGAACCAGACACATTATTTGTACTTGAACTTCAAGTACTTGAATTTTCAAGTACAAGTTAAAGTGGCTGGGCTCCACCCTTCTCAATCCTACAAAATCCTTCGAACCTCATGGTTCTGTCTTGCTAGCAAAGGTTCGTCCGGAGTGAATACATTTTCTTACCGCTTGGTAGGTATTTAATGCAATTTAGTTTTGAAGGAGGATTTTTGTTCTATTTTGTGGTTTGCAGAGAGGGCCGCACTGCAGAAGAGGATTTTTGCTCTCCTCAGGAGAATTGAATATGTGACTGAAGGAAACATACAGGTATGAAAATAAAATGTATTCAGACATTCAAATCTCCCTTTTTTTTCTGGGATAAATATTTTGTCGTGTCAGTGCAACAACGTCGTATCTCCATTCTGCAACAAAGTCGCATTTCACTAGTATACACTCCGTGAAACAACGTCTTATCTGGACGTCCATTGACTTTGCGTGTACATCCGGGTTATTTTAAGCGAGATACAACCTTTTGACGTTCTGAATCTCGCGTTTTTCGTTTATGCCATTTTAGGAGATACGACCTTGTTGCACTAAAAATAACCCGGATGTACACGCAAAGTCAATGAACGTCGAGATATGACGTTGTTGCACAGAGCGTATATGCGCGAGTGACGACTTTGTTGCAGAATGGAGATACGACGTTGTTGCGCTGACACAACGATTTGAATTGCTGATATATTTTGTAGGTACTCTTATTTTCTCAAAATATTAAAGAGAGGGGTTACAAAACCGTTTTGTTTCCAGCTGGCAGTGCCGGCTTCATATGAAATTTGGAGTCCTATGAAATCTGCTCTCTTTTACCTTGTGTGGACTCAGAGCCTCACATGTGACCTGTCACTGTCCTATCTATCTTCGCGTAGGCCTGTGCAATACCACCAATGAGTCCATATTGCATGCAGTCCAAATTTCAGCCTTCACAGGTATGCTTATAAATAAAACTTCCTCGTGAAAGTGTTTCGTAAATGAATTTTCGTGTTATTTGGTCTCAAGAATTTGTGTGTTTTGTTCCCTGTGGCATCTTAAAAGAAGCCCTCATTTTCAAAAAAATTGGTTTGTAATTAATTGAACTGCAGACTAACCAATAACGGACATGATTGATTAATGAAATAACTGAATAATTGTTGGCCGACCACAGGGGAAAATTTGCGGATAAAATGCCAAAAGTGGAAATACTTCAGTTTTGAAAATGAAACTGCCGCATACATTATTACATATATATGTCTTCCTTGTTCCAATAAGTATTAGGGGTAGACAGGTCTAGCTTTCACCATTTCTTATTATGCAATGCTTGAATAAATCTACGTCATCTGATTGGTGGGTTATTGATAACGTGTAATCGAATTATTCGTCCTAAGGCCAAAAAAAAAAAAATATTCGGTCTCTGGTCAGACCAAAGTTCCGGAATTGACGCGGGGACGCGGCTTTTTTTTTTTTTTTTCCTTTTTTTTTTTTTCTTCAAGCTTGGATTGTACAGACAAGGTGGGGTACTATTTTGCTTTTTTGGTGTCCACATGTACACTGGTGTCCTCCATAATTTGCCTTGGTGCTCTCGATCATTTGCCTTGGTGCAATTTCCCATTCCTTGGTGCTCTTTGGTAAAAAAAATTGAGGAGGTGCGGCTGTTGGAGCTACCGCGGAACATTTTGGGAAAAAAAAAGATTGACGCGCATGATTAAAATCGATGCGCACGCTGACCGGAGACCGACTTATTTTTTTTTTGGCCTAACGCACGGCCCAGCTGCACCACAGTAAATAGAGCTTCCATTGCATGGTCACACAGCTCCAATTACTCTGATGCTGTACATTCAATGTACCAATCCGATGACGAGGATTTATTCAGACGTTGTATAAAATAAATAATGAATGATTTACATTCGTGCAATGGAAAGAATAATTTCATTTGGTGACAGATGGAATTCCATCTACCACGTCATGAAATTTTTGTTACCATTGCCAGATGGCACTCATTAGCATCCAGTATTTGTATATTGATCATTTGTTGCCAGTCCTGGAGAGAGACCTACACCCGCTGGGAAACCATCACAAAGCAGCTGCTCAGTAATAAAGGACGGGGGGAGGATAGCCAGACGCTGGAAGGGCGGGGCAGCATCCGCAGGCGTATATCACACCACACGATTCCCACACAGGAGCACGAACTGGAGGTGAGTTACATTCTTAAAGCTATAGTCCATCATTTGCAGCCATCCCAAAAGTAGCTGGCATAATTATTGTTGAAAAACATACTTGGTTGAAAGATAGTAAGGGGACTAAACTCCCTGTGAAATTATTCTTTCTGGCAAGCTGTCATTTTGAAGTGATCAACGAAAGAAGGCCTTTCCAACGGTGCGTCTTAAGAAGCACCGTAGGAAAATTTAAATTAGTAGTTCGTTTTGTTATTCGGGGAAGCGCGCGCAAGCATTGGCATGATGCACACGCACCCCCGGTTGCTATAATTCGTCAGATCAGTGCGCGACATCGCGTAGCTGCAATCGGCTCAGCGACTTTTGATTTGAAATTGAGATCCTAGAATGCTGTTTTTCTCAGAATATACAGCTGAAGCTGAGCTGAAACTTCATCAGGTTAGTTGTTCAGCACCCTTCTTTAGATTTTGAGCACTTTCGTTGCTTCAAACGAACAAAATGCACAAATTACAAATGATGGACTATAACTTTAAAGGTATAGTCCATCATTTGTAATTTGTGCACTTTGTTTGTTTGAAGCAACAAACATTCTCAAAATCTGAAGAAGGGTGATTAACAACTAACCTGATGAAGTTTCAGCTCAGCTTCCGCTGTTTTTTTTGAGAAAAACAACATTCTAGGATCTCGATTTCAAATCAAAAGTTGCCGAATCACGTTTTGAATTGGGCCTGCAGCTATGCGATGTTGTGCACTGATCCGACGACTTATAGAGGGTGCACGCGCGTCTGCTTCGTGTCAATGCTTGCGCGCGCTTCGCCGTATAAAAAAATTAACTACTGACGGAAATTTCCAACGGTGCGTCCGAAGACGCACCTTTGGAAAGGCCTTCTTTCGTTGATTACTTCAAAATCCAGAAAAGAATAATTTCACCGGGAGTTTAGTCCCCTTGCTATCTTTCAACCAAGCATGTTTTTCAACAATAATTACGTCAGACACTTTTTGGATAGCTGCAAATGATGGACTATAGCTTTAAAGACTTTTGCTCCTAACTACACGGTTGATTTCTGCATTATTTGTTAAATTATTTGATGCTTGAAGTATGGTTTTTAAATAATAACATTTCTGTTCTGAAAATGACATTTGAAGTTATCTTTGTTTTGTCACGTTGATATGAATGTTGTTGTGTGTACACATACTCGAAGCAGACATGTTTGATTTCTGATGTGGCATGGTGGGACAGAGTGCTCTTGCTTTGCAGATTTCATGCCATTTTAATAAATAAGTTAATTTTGTAGGGCCGTCCATTTTTTATTAATTTAGTATTCGAACATTTAAAACTGTTTGACCGAATATTGGAGAATTTGAAACTCTCCGATCAAGTTTTTCATGCACCAGCCACATTTGCTTGGTGTGCCGGTCAAAAGTTGCTTGCAAAGCACACCAATTTAAATGTGTGTGCGGCGAGTGATGTTACGGGCCGCTGGATTATTTTATACAGGGCTAGTAAAAAAAAGCGAAACCCAAATGACGGGACTATAGTTTTAGTTAAGTTCTGCATGTAGCACTTTCAAAATCTAGGATATGAAAGCCCAAATCATAAGCTTTCTTTTAGTACAAAAATCGTTCAAATCACTCACGTACTTTTTAAGTTACGGAATTTTAAACACAACCACCGTTCAAAAGTTCCGTCCACGGATCACAAAAAAGGCGTGCGTTCTTTCAGCAAAATGAAACCATTCACACACATTCCTTTGTGATTTGTTTTGGTTTTCTGAAAGAACACTTCCCTTTTTGTGATCCGTGGACAGAACTTGAAAACGGTGGTTGCATTTAAAATTCCGTAACTTGCAAAGTACATGAGTGATTTGAATGATTCTTGTTCTGAAAGAAAGCTTACGAATTTGGCTCTCATATCTGAGATTTTGAAAGTGCTACATGCAGAACTTCACTAAAACAATGGTCCCGACATGTGGGTTTCGTGCTTTTTTGACTCACCCTGTAGTATTTTACAACTGTCAACGGCTTTAACCTGCTAAAAGGATGGGAACAATGAACCACCATCGAAAAAAAAATTACTGCCGACAAAAAGTGGCATCTGACAACAAAGCGCCCAACATTGCGATAAGAATAACGTAACAGTTGTGTGTGCGTGGTTAGTTTTGTTTGTTTTTTTGTTTTGTTTGTTTTTACCCAACTATTCAAACCGTAAAAACGCTATTTGAATATTTAGTCGATAATCAAATTTCAATACAAAGTACTAAAAAGGAAACACCGCAAAGTGGAGTACAGCCAAATCCTCTATAAAAGTCTACTATTTAGAAGGTGGATGTACATGTAAAGGTCTGTTTCTGTGTGTATATTTGTGCCTTATTCCATCTGCCAATTGATATGGGCGCAGATTTTCATTTTTTCTGAATTTATACAATAACAATATGTGACCTGTTCTGTCAAAAGCAGACGCTTCTGGGCAGAGGTTGAAATTAAGATAAGGCCAAAAAACGCTGTGGGGGTGATTTTTTTTCGATTTTCTAATTTTTGAATATTTGTAATCCTGAACATGTCTAAAATATACTATAAAAGTTTGAAACCCTAATTTGAACTCTAAATATAGTATTTTTGATGATTTGTTGAGGTATATTTATAGTTAAAGAAATTACTGTTTTGTGACGTTCATGGCCATTTTCTACGTTTTCTACTTTTTGACACAATGAACTTCAAAATAGCATAATTTTGCCCAGGAATTACAGGTTTCAAAAATTAAACCACCTATTAAAAGGAAAATGTACATATTTTAACAATATGCAAAAATCTCATTTTCGACCTTATGTCCAGAAAAGTCTGATTTTGACAGAATAGATCACATATCAAGAGGAGGAGAGTAAAATTTTAATTGCATTTTTTGATGGGTTTAGTGGAAACTCATTACTTTAGAAATCCAATGATGTAGCCTGTGAAATTAACTGTGCAAGCATTCTTGGTATCAAGTGTGCCCTACAGTGCTGCCCAAAAACTGGATTGCTGCGCGTTGCCTCGTATTGCCACACGCGTGCGGGTCGTTTTCCTTTCAGGTTGAACTGTAGTTTGCCACATAGTAACGCTGCCTAACCTTCATTCATATCATAAATAACAACAAGCCACTGGTGATGGGAAAGATAATACATTTTAATTGTGTTGTTTCTTCAATGCAGCTAACCTAACTTACAGCATTTCGTTCCTCAACCAGACCCTCATACGACTTGTGCTGGCCCCACCCCACATTTTCTGAAATGTCTTTTTTAATAAAGGAACCCTTTTTTCACATCTAATGTACATTGATTTTTAAAGACAATCCTACTTGACCCAACCGAACACAAGATTATGCAAACTTTGATGAACAACAAACGTGACCATTTAACGAGAAATAAAAGATGTAGTCAAATTTAAAACCTGCTTTATATGAATTTCTTGCATGATGAAAACAAACGTATTGAACCCCAAACTTGCAAGGCTTTAAACTTCACAGAGCTTGCTAAGCGAGAACAAATGCTATGCCAATTCACTCGCTTGGCAAAAAGAAGGTGTAAAGATACTACAGCAGTCTACATCATCATGACAAGCAAAACTTATCTGTGCTTAAAATAATTGTGTACCATAGCTGTTTCATACTTTTGGCACTTTGGCGAATAAGGGTACCAACTAGGGAACGTCTCAAAACTCGGAATGCGACTGTTTGTTTGGAATACTCCATTCTGTAACAGTTGTTCTCTGTGCCAACAAGCAGTGTTTCCAGCTGAAAACAAGTTGTTCCTGATTAAAGCCACATAGGATTGTTGGCAATTACCCCTAAAAGTACCAACAGATTTAGTGACAGAAAGCTTGCTCAAAGTGAAGATAGGACTGGTATCAAATACACCAGACATGTAACTTTTCCTCGGATCAGCTGATTTTCTCTTTTTTGACCTCCAATGGGTGTCATTGAAAATGGAAAAACACTGTACAAAGTCTTGGAAATATTTGAATTTCCTCTTTTTTTGTGACTTCCTAGTTGCATGCCTGAATACACGGTGAAATCATTGCGCCCGAAATGGTTAACGTTGAAGGTGGTTGCTAACACATTTTTACATGCGTTAGCAAGGGAATCCAGATACTAGACCCAAAGAATGGTGCATACATTTCCTCTGTTTTCTCAAAGTGTATAGTATCAACTGAGGTGAAAATTCAACAGGTTAAGATTTTTAGCATTTTTTTTTTGCTTCAAATTAAAAAAAATGCCCCAGAATCTAATCATCCGACATGCCTTTAAGTGTACCTCCTTATAGGCAAATATTTGAAAATCTTGCAGAATTAGGTTTCCAGCATTAGAAAGGCTTCAAAGCGTTCCAAATTTTGAGAGATTTCAAATGCTACAACCCAATTAATACTGCTTGGCCAAAGATCAAACCCTCATTCATAAATGCGTGTGTCAAGTGTTGTAGTCAATTCCTTTTCTGAGTCAAGAAACACACTGAAATGTATGGTTTTATATTAGGAATCAATTATGAGCACCAAGGCTATGCTGACTGAGTACTTAAAATAAGTAGAAATATAAATGTTTTGAAAGCTTCTGACACAAATATTTACAGACAAAATTGGGAGTACATGCCCTTTTGGGACTACTTGGACATGTCCAGCAAACTGTTTTGTTGCGGTTCTTGTATTCATACGTAACAGAAATCAACAAGTCCAAATACTCGAACACTGAAAGCTTTTTAAGAACTATGTCTCACAAGGCAGTTTTCACATAGGCAACTTAAGGGCAACCAAAATGTAAGCTAAAGGAACTCTCTGGAAGAACAGATATCATTTTCCAACAGTTTATGGAAATTTGTCAGAAAGTTAGACGGAAATAAAGTTTGGTTGTCAATTTCTTCTTGAAGAAACAAGTTGCCTGTAAATTGCCTTGTGTGACACGACCCAAAAGTTCTTTTCCTTATTGCACCAGCTTGTGTTTCATTATACTTGTCGGACTCAGTCAGAAAAGGATTTGACTACAATGCTGGTGTGTGTGCGTGATCACGCTTTGTGCTGTGTTTCATCTCGCTTTTTTGCTACCATCTCTCTCTGTTTTCTCTCTCTCTCTCCCTACCCCTACCCCCACCGCCCCACCCACCTTGCAAACACACCCCTACACACGCTGCCACGCTCCACTCTACTTGTAGTCATGCGGGTGTCTCAGTCCCTCGCTTCTGCTCCACCATTCCAACCCTCTGTCTGTGACCGTTCGTCTTCAGGAGTGGCAGAACATGACGGGGTTCCTGTGCGCCTTGGGCGGGGTGTGTCTCAAGACCAACAAGAGCCCCAGACAAAGGTAAAGGGATGTGGGGTTGGTTTCTAAGATAGCCTGGGACAGGCTAATTAGGTAAGGGGCGGATGTGTATCAAGACCAACAAGTGCCTCAGATAAAGATATTGAATCAGGAAAGGTTTCTAAGACAGCCTGGGGCAGGCTAATTAGGTAAGGGGCGGATGTGTCTCAAGCCCAACAAGTGCCTCAGATAAAGATAAATGGATCGGGGGAGGTTTCTAAGACAGTCTGGTGCAGGCGAATTAGGTAAGGGGCGGGATGTGTCTCAAGCCCAACAATTGCCTCAGATAACATGGATAAAGTTAAAGTGATCGGGGAAGGTTTCTAAGACAGTCTGGGGCAGGTTAATTAGGTTAGGGGCGGGATGTATTTCAAGACCAACAAGTGCTTCAGACAATGGTAAATGAGGGTAGGGGAGGTTTCTAAGATAGACTGTGACAGGCTAACTAGGTAAGGGCGTGGTGTGTTTAAAGACCAACAAGTGCCCCAGAAATGTTGCTTTTAGCTTGTTCTTGGGGGCTGGTATAATCAGGTAACTAGGGGTGTGTCTCAAGATCAACAAGAGCCCTAGACAAAAGTAACTTAATGGCTCTGATTTATTCTTGGGGGTGGGGTAATTAGGTAAGAGTGTGTCTAAGACAACTTTGAGACCTAGAATAAGGTGCTTCCAATGGGGGAGGTTTTGATTTTTTTTAGGGGTGGGATAATTAGGTAAAAGGGTGTGTCTGAAGATCAACAAGAGCTGTGGACAAAGGTGACTTAATCGGGGAGTTTATGATTAATTCATCGGACGGGGTATTAAGTGTCATTAATAAGGTAACTTAATAATAACAGTAGCGTAATGAGAAAGGTTCTGTTTTATTCTCGTAGAGGGGTGTGTCTAAAGACCAGCAAGAGCCCCAGACAAAGATATATGAAAGGGGGATGGGTTTAAGAATATATGTTGAAGGTGGGGCAATTAGGTAAAAACGACTTAATTAAGATTGCATTATTTGACTTTTGAAAGCACTTGTAAAATCTGAATGTTTATTATGTGGGTAATGAAACGGTGACTTTTCCTGTTATAAGTTATATTTTTGGTGATTTTAATAATTTAATACCCTGCATCAGACACTATCCTTTCCCAAGTTGTGTTAGATTTAATTGTGAACAAAATATTTCTTCCCCGCCTTTTAAAATTTGTAAGATTCTGTGGGATTAAGCAAACGGGCAGAGTGAAACTCAACAGTGTTGGCATTGGAGTTGCTACTTTTGTGGATCGCTAAATGATTTTGTGTTTCTGTAGGTATGAATCGTCGTATGAAACGTCTCCAAGGACCTCGCCCATGTCCAGCAATGGTCCGTCGTCAGCTGACAAACCATGTGCAGTCAATGAGTAAGTATATTATCGACTGTAACATTCACTGGAACAATTATGCCAACCTTAAAACCACATGGGAACATTTACCAGCAATTACCCAGAAACGGACCCACCAATTTAATGACAGAAACCATGCTTAAAATGAAGACAGGACTGATATCAGGTACCCTGTGAAAACACAATCAATCCTGTATACCATTATGAACTTTTCAACCATTTTTCATCAAGGTTAAATAATGTTGGTATTAATCAAATTAGGTTTCGCCCTTCACCGACATTCAAATATTCTCAGTGTGTTACCTCCCGAGTGAAAGTTGGAAAAATTCACTCGGGAGGGACTCGAACCCATGTCGGTGAATGGCAAAACCTAATTTGATTTATATTACCCCGATGCAAAATATTCCATCTTATAATAATTATGGTATTGTTTCACTGTAATGGAATCCAGTTTTGTCTTTCCATCATTAGCGCTACCCTATTCAATCATGTTGGGATTGTTTGTTTGTTTCAGATTCATTGCATGTCTACTCAAGCTGTTAGTGTGCAATAACGAAAGACTCGGACCACAGGTAATGTGAAGATGAAGCAAGCTTGCCCCCCACATAACTATCACGGTTATAAAAATGTCTGAACCCTAACCCTCCAAGATCCCTCAGAATCTACCACGAGGTTTTTGCAGGATTTAGGAAGGTAGAGTCCAGCCACTATTGCATTTCACAGGGCTTGATGTCCCTTTAAAACTTGGTAGGTACAAAGCGTATACCATTGGTTTCATTCACAGTTTAGTATTTTGTAGGATTGAGGAAGGTAGAGTCCAGCCATACTTTCCTTGAGGCTTGATGCCCTTTAAAGTTAAGGTACATAGAATATGGTGGTGGATTTTGTAGGATTTTGAATATTTGCTAAGGTTGTTTACACGTTGTTGGCTAAGCTTGGTCTCACCAGGTTATGCGCTCAAGGTAACTGAATCAGAACTAGCACAGGTTTCCATTGGACTTGCCTTATAATCCTCACAATATCCTCTCTTAGTTATTCCGATTCCCATTTGCCAGGTTTACAGCATTGCTTATGTTGCCAGCCTGGTAGCTTTGGGCTCTGTCTATATGACACATGCTGGCTTATGGCTCCTGACGGGCTCCCTTTGTGCACTGACAAATTAGGAGACTTCCAAAAAATTAGCAGGATACCAGTGTTGTTGTCGAGTCCATCTCAAGTCCATCGCAAGTTTGGTTATGACAAAATCACAAGTCAAGTTCTGATCACAAGTAACAGGGGATGAACAACAACAAAGGATTCCTTTGTAACAGTTCATTTGAATAGCTTGTGATTTGACCGAGGACTGGCCGACTTGTAATGGACTTGTGAGGACTTGTAAGGACTTCCAATATTGCAATGGACTTGCAATGGATTTGCGATGGACTTGCGATAGACTTGCGATAGACTTGTGATGGACTTGTGATGGATTTGAGATCGACGTATGATGGCCTTGTGATGGCCTTGTGATGGGCTTGTGATGGGCTTGTGATGGGCTTGTGATGGGCTTGTGATGGCCTTGTGATGGCCGCATGATGGGCTTGTGATGGCCTTGTGATGACCTTGTGATGACCTTGTGATGGGCTTGTGATGGACTTGTGATGGGCGTGTGATGGCCCTTCTGATAGGCTTGTGATGGGCTTGTAATAGACTTGAGATGACTTGTCATGGATTTTTGAGGGGATGTAATCGACTCGTTAGGACATGCGATGGGTTTGCAATGGGCTTGCGGTAGACTCAACTACAGCACTTTTGGATAACCAGTTAGTAGACCGCCTTTATAGTGTTGTATGACGATTCCAATCAATTCCTCTGCTCATTTCTTTTTTCCAGATCCGAGATTCGGTCAAGGATTTGATAGGTAGTGAGCTTCACCCAGCACTATTCCCCCACCTCTTTGAACTTGTCAAGGAACACATAGAGAAGTTCTTCAGTGCGAATGGCCAGGTAAGATTTGTTTTTGAAGAAGTTGACCTTAAAAATGATTATGCCTCGTACAGTTTTATGAAACAAATGTGTTTCTTTTAGTGGCTGAAGTTCCAATGCATCATGGAAGTGAAAATAGCTATCCAGCTCACGCCAGGCTGTACTATTGCCCGACTATCTGTGGTTCACGGAAAGATGCATGTAGCACCTGTGTTCGGTGTGGTTCATCACGAAAAAAAAAGGCTTTTTTTACCAAATATCCTTCCCCCACTCGACCAAAAAACTTGGCCGATGTAGAAACTATACAGTGTTGATTTAACACCAATGGGTACAGTGTAAATTTAACACCATTGTATCTTTTGCATTCACATTTAAAACATCCCTTGTCTCATTGTTATTTCGTGGTTTAGAAAGAAACTACAAAAATTGCCTGATTTGACCTGTTCTGTCAAAATCAGACTTTTCCGGGCATAAGGTCAAAAATGAGATTTTTGCATATTGTTAAAATATGCTCTTTTTCCTTTTAATAGGTGGTTTAATTTTTTAATCTGGTCATTCCTGTGCAAAGTTATGCTATTTTGAAGTTCATTGTGTCGAAAAGTAGAAAACGGAGAAAATGGCCGCGAACGTCACAAAACAGTAATTTCTGTAACTGATATACCTTAACAAATCATCAAAAATACAATATTTAGAGTTCAACTTAGGGTTTCAAACTTTTATAGTTTATTTTAGACATGTTAAGGATTACAAATATGCAAAAAATTTGAAAATCGAAAAAAAAAATCACCCCCACAGCGGTTTTTTTAGCCCTATCTTAATTTCAACCTCTGCCCAGAAGCGTCTGCTTTTGACAGAACAGGCCACTTATAAGTGTTGATTCAACACAGAGGTTCACGGTGTAAATTTTACTCCATTGAAGCTTTTGCACTTACATTCATCACAGTTTTTGGGTCATTGTTTTTCCCAGGTTGTTCAGAGTGAAACCAACACCTTATTCATCGAGCACGCCATCCAGGTCATCCGGCAAGTCCTGGATAATAGCAGCGAGGAAGCCGCTGAGTATCTGGGTGTGTTTAGCATCGAGGGGCTCATGCTGGCCATCATCAGGTAAGGAAGCAGCAAGCCTTGCCACTGTTTCAAACAGATATTCCTGCAGGGTGCCTTGGTGGTTACCATGCTTGATGTGCTGCGATGGTACATGGGTTCCAACCCTGATGGGGAACATGGTGCTTGTGTTCTTGGGCAAGACACTTTATTACATTTGCATCTTATCTGTGGGGGTAGAGAGCAGTTTGCGCTGATCTTGAGCCGAGCTGTTGCAGAAAAGTGGTCTCAAGGCCTTGATGAACAGGGGTAATAATTGGGAAGCACTTTGGTCATATCTTGCGCATCACGACGGTCATTGACTTTATGTGTACATCCGGGTTATTTTAAGCGAAATACGCCCTTTTGACATTGAAAACTCGCGTTTCATGACGACGTCACACGCCATTTGGAGATGCGGCCTTGTTTCACGAACATAACGATTTAGTTGAGCGATCATTTCTTTGATTGGTCCAAACATAAAGTTGAGCCCAGCACTGATTTCTGTCAGCTCGAACATGACTCATTTGTGCACTTATTTTTAGATTTTGAATGGATTGATATTTTGAAGGGATGAACTTTGTTTTTTCAGATATGTACGGCGGTTAGACACTAGTATATGCAATGCCTCTATGTACGTGGTACGCATCAAGGTGCTATTCTGTAATCTACTCACTGCGGTAAGTTTCACGGATCCTCAAAAATCGTTTTCTGTCCCAAATAACAAATTAAACCTAGAAAGATGAGATTTAATTGTGTGATTGGCCATGCAAGGCCAAAAAACCCCAACAATTCTGCTTCCAATTACATGCTTTTAAAAAGAGGGTAGGTAGGTCAGAACTTTTCTTTTGGGCCAATTTTTGTGTTGCTGATTGAATGGGGAATTCAATTATATACGAATTTCAGCCTGAACTTTTTCCATTACACTACGAAAGCTATACAAAAAATGGCCACAAAAAGTGATAAAAACTCACCTTAATTAATTGTCAAAAATATTTATGGTCGATAATTCTTAAAAATATAAAAAAAAATCTGGTCGTGCACACCATATGCACAATGCTAGTCATGACGGGAAATTGGCCCACACTGTCCGTACACCACGCGATGTAAAGTGGTGCAGCTTGCAAAAATGTTCGTTTTCCATCGGTGTTTTCTTGGCATTTTATGTCTAATCTTACATGCAACTGCAGTGCACCCCAGCCATGCATAGACTGGTTACTGCATTTCCATCATGCCTTCTTTGGCCGTTTTTAGTGCGCGGCGCGGCAGGAGCCATTCATTGCTACATTGAGCATTACGCAGGTGTTTTCATATCGTCGCCGTGACATCGAATTGCGAACTAGTATTCGCAAAGCGAACTTGTAAAAACAACGGAGGTTTCTTCTTAAAAAAAACAGCGAATGTAAATAGGCAAACAAATAAATACAAGCATTTTTGACGCATAAGGGTTAGTGAGAGGTGTTTTATGAAGACAGAAAAGACAACAGGATTTTTAAAAATTTTATATAATCATTTTTTTTTTTTTTTTAACTCGCCGATAATTTTTTTAGGGTCGCAGCCTAAAAATAGGGTCGGTCGGGTAGCCGGAAGTAGAAGTATTTTGTTGGGGCCTAATATATATTGACTGGTTGTATAGTTTGCAGGTCAATAATGACTTTAGAGCATATTCACTGAGTGTTATGTTGACTATTGATCAGGTTGTTCATTGACTATTGACCAGGTTCTGTATATTGACTGGGTGATATATTGACTGGGTGATATATTGACTGGGTTATATTTCAGATGATGAAGCAGCGTGACATCCTGTCCTTCAGGCAAGAGATTCGCTTCCGCAACAAGCTGGTGGATTATTTGTCAGATTGGATCAGTATTCCCAGAGAGGAAGGAACTCTACAGACACGGTACAAACATATGTTAAGATCACCAATTTATTTGTTTTAATTTAGTTTTTGTATTTTTGGTTTTCAAAATATTACAAAGCAGTTTAAGGCATCCCTTTTAGAATACAAAATACTTGTTTTTTTTAATTAAAGTTAATGATTTTTTTCTCATTTCAAAGGTGTTAGCATTTTGTTATATAAATCCTCAAATCTATATCAAACAGAAAAGAAGAAAAATAGAAAATGTGAACATTTTTTTCGTGTGTCCTAAAAATTTCGAAATAATTTCACCACAGAAAGTTAAATAAACCAATCCATCCCAAATTGTACAATGGGCTATGAAAATACGACTTCTGTACAAAAGTCATCTTTTTCATTTTTGTTGGTATCACTTTTATACAAAGTCCATTCATTTGTCTGTTTTCCACAAAATTACTTCAACAATTTCATCACAGAATTTAGATACACAAATCAAACACCAATTGTATGTTGGGCTTTGAAACTACAAGTTTTGTACAGAAGTCATCAATTTCTAATTTTGTTTTGGTAACACGTTTGTAAGGATTTCGTTCATTATTACAATGTCCACAAAAGTCTGTTACGTGTCCGTTGCAAAGTTAGTCCTGCAGCTCAAAATTGGCCCAAATACCCAAGGCCAAAAAAAAAAAGTCTCCGGTTTCTGGTATGCGCGCGCGTCGCCGTAGCCATGCGCGTCGGCAAAATGAAAAAGTTTTTTTTTCAATAAAAGATGATGTCTCAAAACCGCCAAACTCACTGGTTCGACTGGAATTCTGCTGCTGCACAATTTTAACGTGTTTTTAGATGGGGTTATGATCGAGAATAAGCTTTATGTGGCCTCTCTGGACTCCCATATATTTGCACTAAGTTTAGTCGGGCACCATTTGCAGTCATCAGCCGACATTTGAAGCCAAAAAAAAAAAGGTAAAAAAAAAAAAAAGCCGCGTCGCCGCACCACTTTTGGGCAAGCTCCATACCAGAAACCAGAGACTTTTTTTTTTTGGCCTTATGACATTGTCTGCAGCTCAGAATTGGCCCAAATACCCGAAAGACACTAAATGGACTAAACAAGTGTTTTTGGAAAGGTGTTTGGAAGCCAATAATTATTGACCTTTACAATGCATTAGAAAAGCAAAAGTACTTGAAAGATGATTGTTTTTCCTGTGGTGTGTAGTGAGTTGGATGAAGCCAGTATGGAAGCCATGGCAGCATTGCTGGTCTGTCTTCCCTTACAACCTGAAGAAGGTGACGCTGGTGACATCATGAAAGCTAAATCCAACCTCTTCTACAAGTAAGTGGAATTGACTGGACTGGTTGACAACAGTCAATATCACAGAACAATTGCATTGCAAATTGGAGACTAGTTACTTGGGGCCGGATAAGTGCAGTACAGGGTGAGTAAAAAAACGAAACCCAAATGTTGGGACTATTGTTTTAGTGAGGTTCTGCATGTAGCACTTCCAAAATCTAGGTTATGAAAGCCCAATTCATAAACTTTCTTTTAGTACAAGAATCATTCAAATCACTTATGTACTTTTCAAGTTACGGAATTTTAAACACAACCACTGTCCACGGATCACTAAAAGAAGTTGTGTGTTCTTTCAGCAATAAGAAAACAATTCACACACATCCTTATGTGATTAGTTTTCGTTTTCCTGCAAGAGCACGTATCTTTTTGTGATCTGTACACAGAACTTTAAAACGGTGGTTGTGTTTAAAATTCCTTAACTTCAAAATGACATTTTGAGTGATTCGAATGATTCTTGTACTAAAAGAAAGCTGATGAATTGGGCTTTCAAATCTTAGATTTTGAAAGTGCTACATGCAGAACGTCACTAAAACAATAGTCCTAACATTTGGGTTTCTTTTTTTTTTTACAAGTCACTGGGAAAAGCAGTCATGTGATCTACAGTTTCCATAATGTGATTGGCTAGTGATTAGCTTGTTATGGACTTGTGATTGACTTGTGATTGCTTTGTGATTAACTTGTGATTGACATTTGGATGGACTTTTGATGGACTTGTAAAGGATTTGTGAGAACTTATGATCGATTGACTTGTGATGGACTTGTTGTGGACGTGTGATAGAATATTTTATATTCTTGTAATGGACGTGTGATGTACTTGTGCTGCACTTATGACAAATTGTGATTGACTTGTGATTGACTTGTGATTGACTTGTTATGGACTAATGATGGTTTGTGAAGGTCTTGTGATAGACTTGAGATGGGCTTGTGATGGACTTATGATGGTCTTGCGATGGACTTGCGATGGATTTGTGGTGGACTTGTGACAACGTTTATTGACTTGACTGCATTGAGTTGACAGAGCAGTTCAAATGGAAAAACCGATCTACTTTGTACCATTTTTCCTGTGAATCAAATCAAACTTTGATTTTCTTTCTTTTCTTCAGATACTTCACCCTGTTCATGAAGCTCTTGAACGACCTGACGGAAGGGGAAGAAGACAAGGCGACAGAAGGGAGACAACAGGGGGACACACAGACCCAGGCTCACCTCAGGAAATGCACCATACAGGCCATGTCCAACCTACTCAGCGCTAACATAGACAGCGGACTTACACATTCCATTGGTAAGAAGCACTGCCCTCAATGAACTACTCAGTAATAAAGGTTTACAGCAATTGAAATAGAAAAAAAATTAACAGATGGTTCTAAATCAGTGATGAATACATGCGAAATAAGGATTTTGGTGTTTTTGTGTACAAAACACATGGTATTTGTGTCGCAGGGACAGGTAAGTTATTTATTTTTGTGCTGATAACATCACAGCCAGAAAGGAGTGTTTTTGTCTCGCCTGAACTTTCTTCAGGAAAGAGACTATGTATGTATGTGATATTTTGGTAAAAGTTTCGTAAAATAGGCTGAAATTTCCAAAGTTGAAGTCCTATTGGAACCAAACTTGGGTCATAGATGCAACATGGGAACCTCCATATGAGAATGATGTCAAAGGTCACATACCAAGGTCTAAGGTCATCTGAGGTCAAGTTGTAAAATAGGCTGAAAATGTAAAATTGGTCTCATTTGAAAAGTGGAAGTCCAGTTGGAACCAAACTTGGGTCATAGATGCAACATGGCAACCTTCAGATGATAATGAAGTCAAAGGTCATATACCAAGGTCTAAGGTCATCTGAGGTCAAGTTGTAAATAAGGCTAAAAATGCAAAATTGGTCTCATTTGAAAAGTTGAACTCCAATTGGAACCTAACTTGGGTCATAGATACAACATGGCAACCTTCATATGATAATGAAGTCAAAGGTCACATACCAAGGTCTAAGGTCATCTGAGGTCAAGTTATAAATTAGGCTGAAAATATAAAATTGGTCTCATTTCAAAAGTTGAAGTCCAATTGCAACCAAACTTGGGTCATAGCTGCAACATGGCACCCTTCATACTGATTAGTCACTCTTTAAAGATTATCGCGAAAGCAGGCGAGACGCATGGTTCGAGAACCATTTTGTTTGTGGATCTGAGCACAAGTAATGATTTTTTGGTCCCAAGTCTTGATAAATTGTCAAAACACAGAAACTGTCCTAAATCCTTTTAATAATCACATGTAGTTGTAATTTTTCAGAACCCTTTATAATTTTTTCCAGGTTCTCTTTGGGTAAACCTTTTAATTTGTACCCATGAACCTAAAGTCTCCGGGAATTACCTTGAGAGGTTTTTCGAATATTTGGTGGATGACCGATTATTCAACTATTTGGCACAAGCCTATTGTATGATTTAATACGGGTTAACCCTGCGAGCTGCGAAGCGTAAAAACTTACGCCGCGTAGCTGAGGTGCTCACGCGTGAGGCAGTTTTGATTTCGCGTATAAAATACCATTTTGTGGACACAATCCTTTCTCTAATGGTCTGAATATGATGAATGAAGGTCCCCCGAACCCATACAAGACTGAAACCCCTCCAGTAGGTCACTCACAGACATTGTGGCTGCACAGTCATGTACATACACTGCATGCACTGTGACCATTAGATGTTGGATTGACCATTACATGTTGGACCGACCATTACATGTTGGATCCCCCCAAAAAAGATAGACATGAAACAGTAGAGACAGCCTTTCTGTGGCTCTAGACAGCTGTCACTGGGCCAGCAGTAGAGGATGATTGATGACATTGTTGTGACGGCGGTATGCAAAACACAGAGAACTGTTTTGTGCACAAGTGAATGTGCTTTGGCTGGAGGCCCAACTTTCCCAGGGGCGGCTGACCCCCAAGTGAACTCCTACAAGAAAAGCGACCATACCATCTCAAACCACAAGGTTCACTTTAGGATTACATGTAGTTTCAAGGGAATTGGGCGATAGCTTCATAAAAAAAGTTAAGAAACAAAAAAAGGGACTAGCGCGTGAGCCCCTGCGTAGCCCGCAGGGTTAAAATATGAAACTTTTCTTGAATAGGGCTAGGCTACCACAATGACATCCAGACCAGAGGAGCTTTCATCGAGGTCCTGACCAAGATCCTCCAGCAGGGCACAGAGTTTGACACCTTGGCTGAGACGGTTCTGGCCGACAGGTTTGAACGACTGGTCGGCTTGGTAACGATGCTGGGAGACAAAGGAGAGCTGCCCATCGCCATGGCACTAGCCAGTGTCGTCGCGTCCTCACAAATGGTCAGTTTCTTAAAATATTTGACCTTTTTTGTATTTTGACTCTAACTGTTGTCTGTTCTTATAAGGATTTTGAAAAATAAAAATTAACATATCAATATTTTTATTATTATTTATGTCAGGTTTCGATGTACAAAAATAAACCAGCGCATTGTACGGTTAACAGAAGAAGTATCCAGATGACTGCAATATTATGTCAGTAAAAGTAACTGGATGACTGCAATATTACTTTTAATATTGTCGTCATCCGGGCATCCCTCGTTCCGGCACATTCAAGAATGTAAAAACTCACAGTTGTCAACCAGTGAACAGGGCGTAGTACGGGGTACCGTCGCACACGACGCAGCGCACTGCATGGTACTTGTACGCGCACTGTTGTCAACAACTACAATCGCAGCTTCGAGCTTTGCGAATAAGTGAAGAATATTCGATGAAATTTGAGAAATGAAGACAGTGTCCTGCAAAGTTTTTGTTTTGGATCAAGTCAGCCTGATATCAGTAATAATAATATTGGATGGCTTTTTTTTTCGAGGGACACAAGAATATATTGCACTAGCTATAACAATATCGCACAAATCAAAGCTTGTGCAATATGTTTTTGTATCCCCCTCAATGCCATCAAATATAATTATATTAGGCATGCAACTTGTCCTCGGTTCAGCTGATTTTTCATTTTTGAGTTCACACTTATGCCATTAGAAATTGAACACCACTGTGTAAAGTCTTTTAAAGCTTGGAATTTCCTCTTTTTCTTGTGTGTCTTAGTTGCATGCCAGTTTGCTGCGAGGTTAATTTCATATTCTCGTCATTTTTGCTGGGGGGGGGAGTTGTGGTTGGACTTTTTTCTTTTGTCAATTCAGGATATGTTAGTTTAATAATCTGCAGATGTGGGTTGTAAAGTTTTATTTGCTGTTTCAGGATTTTGTTGCACTTCACCCAAGAAATTTTAATGAATACTTTATGATCCCACGATCTCCTGCTTACTGGTGCAGATATCATGTTACTTGACATCCTCGGTTGCATTACCAGATTAAGGAATTATAAAAATTATCTACAAGATTCAACACTTGTTTGCATCAGTGTTATAGTCCACTCAATAATAAGTCCTTCAGTCTGAAGTCAAGTCACAAAGCTATTCAAAGGAACGGTGTCAAAGGCATTCGTTTGCCATTGTTCACCCCTTTTTGCTTCTGGCCAGACTTGTTTAAGAACATATGGATTACTTTTGACCAGACTTGTGCTAAACTTGTGTGATAAACTTGACTGCAACGCTGTTTTGCAGATTGTTTTGTTTTTGTGGTGCATTGAACTGGATTAATGTGCTTCTTTTGTTTCCCTCTGCTCTGTAGGATGAACTGGCCAGAGTCTTTGTCACACTGTTTGATGCCAAACATCTCCTCTATCAGTTACTCTGGAACATGTTCTCAAAAGAGGTAAGTTATTACAGTTGGGGTAAAGTGGCTTGCCCAAGGACACAACACACAGCCATCAACCTTGTTTAAACCACTCGCCTTCTAATCACAGGTTTTAAAACCCAACACTTTAAGTCATATGTCGCTGTCAAGTTTTATAGGCTAATTCAACCCCATTCCATGCTAATTGTTCATGCTAATTTTTCATGCCAATTTAAAGCTATAGTCCACCATTTGCAGCCATCCGAAAAAGTAACTGGCGTTGTTGAAAAACATACTTGGTTGAAAAATAGTAAGTGGACTAAACTCTCTGTGAAATTATTCTTTCTGGCAAGCTATCATTTTGAAGTAATCAACGAAAGAAGGCCTTTCCAACGGTGCGTCTTAAGACGCACCGTTGGAAAATTTAAATTAGTAGTTCGTTTTGTTATTCGGCGCAGCGCGCGCAAGCATTGGCACGACGCACAGGCGCGCGCAATTGCTATAATTTGTCGGATCAGTGCGCGACATCGCGTATAGCTGCAATTCAAAACAATTCAAAACATGATTCAGCAACTTTTGATTTGAAATTGAGATCCTAGAATGTTGTTTTTCTCGAAATATACAGCTGAAGCTGAGCTGAAACTTCATCAGGGTAGTTGTTCAGTATCCTTCATTAGATTTTGAACACTTTTGTTGCTTCAAACGAACAAAATGCACAAATTACAAATGATGGACTATACCTTTAATTCAGTGACAATGACCGTAGAAGAGGTCTACTCAAGCGTATCCCTGTTGAACAAAAGCACGCACCCCAAAGATGGCTACAGCGTCCAACCATGACAGTCGATTGCGATTAGTGACAATTTGTACTCGTACTTCTTTTGTTGGATTGATGGATTTTAGGTAGAATTGGCAGATTGTATGCAGACGTTATTCCGGGGCAACAGCCTAGCCAGTAAGATCATGGCATTCTGCTTCAAGATGTATGGATCCAACTATCTCCACGCTCAGCTGGAACCGTTGATCACTGAGCTGATGTCACCGGAGAGGGAACACATTTCATATGAGGTGGATCCGGCCAGGTCAGTTCATAAGAGCCAAGATTCATATTTCGAAATTTTGATAGTGGGTTTTAGCCTTCATCAATGTAGCTTCACCGTTTCCATTTGTATAACCAAAACGTCAAATTTATTTTTGTCTTTAAGGTAATGAACATCATTTGCAAACGTTCAAAAATGAAATTGAAAACACCATGAAATGTCCTACTTAATTGTAAGTAAATAATAGGATCAAGTATCCTGTGAAATCATTGCGCCTTGTATGCCGTCATTTTCCAGAAAAAAGGAAATACCAAAATTTCCTTGCAATGGTAAGGAGCAAACCATCTTACTTTCAGCAGAACCCTATGCTTTGCATTGAGACAAATGAAGAGGCATTTTCACCGTTTTCTCAAAAAGTATGATGTCTACTGAGCTGAAATTTTTGACAGGTTAATTTTCTAATAACCTGCTTCAGATTTATTGTGGTGTTCCTTGATTCGGCCAAAAAAAAAAAAGTTTATGCAAATTGAGTCCGTTACCTTTCCCATTTGATTCCCATTCCCTTGTAATTTCCATTTCCTTGTAATCTGTAAAGATGGACAGAATTGCGGTTGTCTTGAACAATTTATCGATTGTTAAGACTTTTATCCGGTTTCTTGACAAACAAGTAGCTGCTTAATCTCATGAGCCCGAACTGAAATGTTTTGATGTTGTGATTCTTGGACTGTTTTCCTCAGGATGAAGGCTGGCGAGAGCCTGGAGGAAAACCGAAAGAATGTCATCGAGGCCGCCAAGAAGTTCTTCTCGGCTATCACACAGTCCACTTCCAAGTGAGTAGATGCATGAGCTGCGCTGGCTTGTTATAAATTTAAGATTAATTGATGATGCAAGGATTTTTTTTGTGTGTTTTGGACTCCATGCACTAATGCTGTGTCAACAGTGACAAAAACCCAGAGATATGTCCGTTGCTTGACTGCCATGTCCAAGACAGTGTTGGTCGGCACATATGTGATGCGATCAAGTTAAATGAGCCGTTTGTCGGGAACTTTCATTTGGAGATTCAGGCCAAAACAGGGCCACTTTATCACATCACTTCATCACATCTCTTGGTGTTCCGACTTCCATAATTTTTGAACTAAAGGTGGTATCAGCATGCGGTTTGCACAGGAGTAATGCTGAGATTGTGCTCTTTTCAAATCTGTTAAAAAAAATTGACCAGGGTCGACAAACGACTCATTTAGCTTGGTTGCATCACATATTTAGGCCTGTATGTTGATCGTAGCCTTTTCGCTTACCGTTTTGGTCCATCAAACAGCTGATTTATATAGTATCATTTGGTAAATTAAATGATACTGGCAATGTAAGTATTGATCAATGGTCATTCACGCACCTTTTCATAGTGTTGGTCTTGATTTTTTTCTCACCAAGTATTCTGTTTTTATTTTCTTCCCATATCGTTGTGAAAAAGTTTTGTGCATGGATTTTTTTGGCATGTCCACTTATGCCAGCCCTTTTAAAAGGAAGTCTTCATTTTCAGAAAGTAGTTTCCAATAAATTGAACCCAAAATGTAAATGAATAACGGACACAACAGTCGATTGAAAAAATGATCCATCATTGCCAGCCATTGCACATTGAGGTGAAACTTAGTTGTTTTTATTTTGTGCAATCTGTGTTTTTACAAAGTCTTATTATCATGCACTTGTTTGTTGTGTTGACTCAACAGATTTCCAGCTCAGCTGCGTAGTGTGTGCCATTGCCTCTTCCAAGTGGTCATGCAGCGTTTCCCTCAGAATGCCATAGGGGCTGTGGGTAGCGCCATCTTCCTACGATTCATCAACCCAGCCATAGGTATGCCGAAAAAATTCCTTCCCTGTTAATACAGTTGTAATTGTGTCAATCAGTAGTTAACCAAATGTCAGTCACAAATCAATTACGAGTTAATCACCACATAATCACCAGTCAATCACATGTCAATCACAAAGAATCACAGGTCAATCACAAGTCAATCACAAGTCAATTATAAGTCAATCACAGTTCAAATCACAAGTCAGTCATAAGGAATCACAAATCAATCACTAGTCAATTACAAAACACTCACAAGGTCAAATTACAAGTTTATCATGACTAAATCACTAGTCTATCACTAGTCAAACACAAGACAATCACAGACCAAATCATAAGTCAGTCATAAGGAAATCATTAATCAATCACTAGTCAATTACAAGACAGTCACAAGGTCAAATTACAAGTCAATAATAGGTTTTCTCCAGTCAGTCACAAGTCAAACACAAGTATCAAAGTGCAAAAAGGGGACGGATAAGGGGATTTCGCAAAAGCACCCTAGACACTTGCAAGCCTGAAGAAACCTATAGAGAGAAGGCACTGAAGATAATTTCCAGTTTTTGAGGTGGGAGGAAAACCCTAGAAGAATATTCTGGGGAAAACCCACTGTATCAGGCAGGGACTGAAAACCCAATCCACATATTGGCCCAGGCAGGAATTGAACCCGGGTCACAGCGGTGGAAGGCGAGGAAAGTACCGCTACGCCAACCTGACCCCCTTGTGATTGATTATTAATTGATTTGTGATAAATTGTGCTGTCTTGGAACTCTATGTTCAACTTTTGTGAAATTCTTAGCATGAAAAATTGCTGCGATGACACAAATTGACGTTAGTAATTGCTTTCACCATGATTATGAATCGACCATAAAGTTAGCATCTGAGCTACTCTAGGGCCAGTGCATGCCCAGAGCCAATGGCAAAAGACTATGAATATGATTTCTTTCAGTGTCTCCATACGAGCAAGGCATCATTGACAAGAAGCCCGTGGGCAACTCCTTGCGAGGTCTCAAGCTGGTCTCCAAGATCATGCAGAACATCGCCAACACCGTCAACTTCAAGGAGCAACACATGGTCAGCTTCAACGACTTCCTGTCGGCCAACTTCAAGGATGGTAGAAGGTAATAGTAACCCTAATCGCCCTGAATCCTTTAAAATCCTCTTTGCCATAGTGGAGGAATTTGGAGGATTGAGGTTACATGGCGAAAGTGCGTTACTGGTTTCGTAGGATGCACTTTGTCAAGGTCTTGGGCCGGACCTTGTGTTGTTGTTTTTGCTCAGCCGTGCATAAATATAGGCCTGGATTACGCGTGAAATCCTCATTCAGGCAGTGGTCACCCCTCCACTGACCATATTCAAGAAATAATTGAGGAATTTTCAGGATTGAGGCTATATGCTATTTTTCCGTGAGCCCAATTGGAGGATTTTGCAGGATGGAAGCTACATCCTAGCAAAAAGGCCTAGGGAGTTAGGGTTAATAACAATACAGAGCTTCAAAGCTGCTTTTCCTGTGCTAGTTTTGAGTTTTTACCAAATGCTGTTTTCTTTAATTGCTGTTATTTTAACAGTTCCAAAGTTATTCTCTTATGATCAAGACATCGAATGACAACATATGTCCTGGTATAAAAAGTTTCAAAATTTTGAATTATTTGCGAGTCTCTGACAAACAATCTTTGTCTTTGCTTTGGAGGTACATAATTAAAGTCAGAATGTTTTCATCAATAATAATAAATTCTATTTATGGGGCTTTATTTATTTTAATGCGTTTTTGTTTGTCGCATAAAGAGTGAAAGACGAACACGTCTGTACTGAACGTTGAGCTGTAATGAACATCCCTTTAGGCTTCTGAATATTATGTACAATTTATAATGATTGATTGATTGCATGAACAAAGACATTTTGCCTGGAGCAGGGTTTGAACCTGTCACCTCCGGGTTGCCGTGCCGGTGCTAGTCAGCTAGTTGTGAATTGTTGCCATTGTTTCCTAGGTTCTTTGAGGATATCGCGTCGGAGGCTCACATGAACGACGTCGTCAGTCAGAGCAGTCCCTCGTTCACGTCTGACAGCAACGTGGTGGCGCTGCATCGGTTGCTATGGAATCATCAAGAGAAGATGGGTGATTTCCTCTCCAGCAGCAGGTACGCAACTCAGTCCTCTTGCTAATATCGCAAACAAAATTGCATAAAGCTAATCGTGAATGCGATTGAAAGACATTTCTTTGGTGGGATCACGCTTGTGTTCAGATTGTAATCGTGCACTTACTTCTCTATTGGCCGGTAGGGTTGCATGTGCCCATCAAAGTTTAACAAGTTATGAGATTTTTTTGTGTAACCAATTTTTCGAGCTTACACCTTAAAAAATTGCAGCAAATTGTGGTCGCTGGTTTAGTCTTCAAGTGAGAAACTGTCTAATATGCCTTGCTGAGTTTATTTTATATGGCAGAATTGTTGCCAATTGTTTGCTGATTTTCTTTTCCAGAGATCACCGAGCTGTAGGCAGGAGACCGTTTGATAAGATGATCACCCTCCTGGCGTACATCGGACCTCCGGAACATCCAAGACTGCTGCTAGAATCACAGTAAGTCAGGGACCCTAAATCCTACAAACTCTGTCCAAATTCAACACTTGATTTTGAGTTTGATTTCAATGTTGAGTTTGGTTGATTCAGAATTCAGGGGTGAGATTCTTCAGGATTTTTCCTGATCACAGAAGTTTTTGTCAGGATTTTTGCTGATTTCAGGATTTTGTTAAGAACCCCTTTTTAAATCTGAAATTCCTGATGTTTAACCTTCAAGGTATTTTTTTACCGGATAACAGTTTTTCCTAGAACACAAGAACTGGTATATTTTAAGGGGTGCCTTTAGGCAAAGAGAAACAAACCATAGACCCTACGTTGCTCTCGGGCACTCGGCAACCCATAAACCTCTGCTGATTATTTCGTGGATTTTTCATTTTTCAGCCAAAATTTTGGAGAAATTTTAGCTAAGAGATGGGCAAGTGGGTCTTTTTAGCATGTTTTTCGGCACTCGATTTCAAACTCAGAATTTGTTACTGAAGAGATATCTTCATGTGCACTTTTGATTTGCTTTGTTGTTGTAGATGGGGCAGCATGGACTTCACCAGCAGCAACTTTGAGGAGTTGATGGCGAGACGCAACATCCACAACGAGGAAGACTTCAAGAGACTGAAGAGCCTGAACATCTTCTATCAGGAGGGCACGTCAAGATGCGGTCATCCAGTCTTCTATTACATTGCTCGCAAATACAAGTAAGTCAGTCCTAACGGCACCGTCTTCAAGACCAGCCTGAAGGCTTTTGGGAATGTTGGCTTTCTCTCTGTCTTCAGCTTCATTTCTGTTTTGTTTGTAAATCGTTTAGAAGCCGCACATGACTGAACCAAGTAGATAGCTAAAACCTTGTCCTCACGTTATGGGATTGTTAGTTCTTGATTGCAGGACGTATATTGTAGAACTATTAAAAAAAAGTAAAGGGGACGAACCTGTGTTCACAGGAACGGAGTGCCCATCTCTCTTTCGTTAGAGATTGGGCCAGACTCATATGCTGTTGTGTGGGGATCGCCACACCTCCTCCACAGCGAGTCTGTTACCTTCCCAGCATTGAATAATGCCGGTACCCATTTAACACCTGGGTTGAGAGGAGTAATTGAGGTAAAGCGCCTTAACTCAAGGGGACAACACGCGCGGCCACGGCGGGGCTTGAACCCACAACCTCACGATCGTAGGGCTGGATAGATTGATTGGGTACAGTGTTAGGCGCCAAAGATTTAGTTCATATGTGATCTGTTCAAGTGTCCTTGGCACAAAGACATTGACAAATCGGGGAACCGCCAACATAGGGCTGGATAGCTCAGTTGGTAGAACACCGAAACGGTAATACGGAGGTCGCAAGTTCAAGCCCCGCTCCAGTCAATTGCTTGGCTCAAATTTTCAAAAATTGTTATAATTCACGTAGTCAGTTTCCCATTGTGGTCAACAAAGAACGGATGATTTGGGAGGATTGAGGCTGAAACGAATTTTTACATGGTGGCAATTGGAGGATTTTGCAGGTCTGAGGATGGTTCCTAGCGAAAAGGGCCTAGGGGTTTAGGAGGGAATCTAGAATTTACAAAATCATACATGTTTGACGTAAAGGGAAGCTAGTGGACCCCAAATTTATAGAATGACCCGTATAATTATGAATTAAATCCGTCTCCTTTCAGATGTGGACAGATTGACATCGACCAGCTCATCTACCACGTCCGACTGACCCTCAAACCGTTCTACCAGCGACCCTTCGAGGTCATCTTGGACTGCACCAACTTTGGTCCGGACAACCGCTTCCGCCAGCAGCACCTGCAGCACTGGCTGCTGTACGCTGAGCACATGTTTGAGAACCTACACATGGTGTACCTCTACAACGCTAACTCTTGGATGAGGGACTACATCAAGCGCAACGAGAGGATACTCACTCCGTTCAAGGTACTGTACAGTGTTGTAGTACTCGTACTCGGTACTCGTACTCGAGTACTGCTCGAGTACTTTTTTTGAAGTACTTGTACTCAAATGTCAAAGTACTCGCACTCGAAATGACGGTACTCGTACTCGGGCAGCAAAGTACTTGTACTCGACATGTCGAAATTTTACTCAATCAAAGTACTCGTACTCGAATAGCAGTACTCGGGGGGAAAATGTGATAGCTTCACTAATTACCATGGCCTTATTTTATCGATACTTTCAGTTTGAAATGGTTGATTGGCTTGTGGAGAAATCAAGATTTCCTGATTTTCCTCTGTGCAAGTCCGTGCAAACACATTTAACAGCTAGCCGTGAGTGGGTCTGTATATCGGTCTGACTGGGCCTGGGCCAATTACGCACAATGAACCATTTGCTGTATGGCCGTATTCGGAAATGCGAGTACTCCTACTCGTACTCATACTCGGAAGTACTCGTACTCGTACCCGTACTCGGAAGTACAAGTACTCGTACTCAGAGACCTGTTCTTGTACTCGAAGGTACAAGTACTTGTACTCGTACTCGTATTCGTATTCGGCAACCTAAGTACTCGGCAGTACTCGGTACTCGGAAAAAAAGTACTCGACTACAACACTGATACTGTGACAGTCCACGGAGTGTTTTAAATTGTGTAATTCGATTGGTCGAGAACTGGTCACATGGTCTGTTCAACGTCAAGAAGTCAATTTTTTTAAGTTGAACAAAAGAAATTGACTGGAGCCGGGTTTGAACCTGGGACCTCCGGTTTACTGTTCTGGTGCTCTACTAACTGAGCTTTCCAGCCCTATGTTGGCAGTTCCCCATTTTTACCGCCCTAACGTATTGGAACATAAGACCAAGCAAGTAGGTGCAATCAGCTGTATTTAGGTAGCATTTCGTCATGTGACAAGGAAAAGGTTGTTAGCAGCCCATGCACGCAAAAAACACTTTTGGAGATAATCGAGATGGAAGGTTTTGTGCTTCCATTTCTAGATTAAAAATCACATAAGGTTGAAAGTTTGACTGATGAAATTTGTTAATAATTGAAATAATATTGTGCATTTTTATTTCAAGCTATTACTGTGAATTTATTTAAATTTTTATGCTAACGACCTTAAACGGCATGTTAAATCCTTACGACCTTTTGCCGGGAACAAAATTGGCTTTGCGTACCCACTTGAGTGGGACGTTAGCCCGCTTGGAACATTTTTTGTTTACATTACAATTACATGCTTACGACCTTTTGCCGGGCACAAATAATGAAAAACGTCCTTCCGTCTTTTGTTTATTGTTAATTACGTTAGAATGACGTAGCCCCTTGAGACAATATGTGTATCAAATGAAAGATATTTCCAAGCTCTATGGATTACCCAAAAATCTGAAATTGATTTTTTGACCCATTTTTCACCCTTACGACCTTCTTCCAGGCATGTGATGATTTGCAGTCTCAATTTGTGCAGTGTTTTTGTAATAAACGTCATAAAACTTTGTCTGTTTGTAATTTTGTAATTTTCCCAGGGTACACGGAAGCTTGTCTTCATCGAGTCAATCAGCAAGCTGTCAGAGTTCATCGAACCAGAGCAGCAGCACCTGCCAAAGTCCACGCTGGCGTTTGACGAGGATCTTAAGGTCTTCAGCAATGCGCTCAAGCTGTCTGAGACGCACAAAGACACTAAGGTGTCTATGAAGGTAGGTCAGGGGTCAACATTTTAAGGTCAAAGGGCGACATTGTTGGATCCAAAGCCAACATCATATGTTGTGTTTGGAATTAAAGAGTTAAATAGCAGTTTCATATAAAGGCCCATTCTATAGAACTTATGATTTGTACAGAATATTCTTAATTGTAGAGAGTGTACTAAGGCTGCATCCGAATCAGTTGGCTAGAGCTAGGTCTAGGTCTGCGCCCATTGAAAATACGCGGGGACGCGCTGACAATAGACGTAGCCGTAGCTCTGGAAGCCCGTTTCGGACACGGCCTTAGAGTGACATCACGGCAACAGCGCCCTCAGGTTGCCAGGAAACAGCCTTGATAAAATAAATAGCCAAAAAATTACACTGAAAAAAAAAGTTGTCAAAGTTGTTGTTTTCTTGAAGTTCAGCGACGTGGACATTTGCGCAAAATACTTTTTTGATGCCAGTAATTTCATGGTCGTCTCTTTCAGTTGTGTGATTATTTGACAATTTGTCTGGGTAGGTTGGTCAGTTTGCCGTGCAGGTGACGTTTGTGGATAAGACCAAGGTGCTAGGAATGCCGGTGCTACTCAACGACATCTACCATGCTTCTGAAATAGATGAGGTCAGTCAGTTGAACAAGATTATTCAGCGATTCATTATTCCTGTTTACTTTCAAATTAAAATCAAGCCATATTCTGTAGGGGTGTGATAATCCCAACTTTTATGTCATGATGTATATCATGATATTGAGGTAACAGGCTTTTTAAAAAAAAATTCATGTATTTCTTGTATTCATTGATGAGTTGTCCTCAAACTTCAATGATTTTGTTGAGTCTCAAGTCGGCTGACAAGTTATTAATGTTACCTGTAACAAAGGCATACCTTTTGCATTGTTCATCGTCATTGGTTTGCGATTGAATAAAGTACAACTCTCAATTGTAAAAAAACAACAAAAAACATGTATTAAGCAGATAATAGGTCATTGTGGTGAAATTCAGATACTGCTAGATGCACACCACTCTGACCTGCATGTGAATCATACCATGACCTCCTGACCCTTAGGTCATTGAAGTGAAAGCCATGTATTCAGTTGTACTGAAGATATTGCCAGATGTGTACACCACTCTGACTTGCATATAAATTGAACCACGACGTCTTGACCCTTAGGTCACATTGGTTGACGAGAACACCTTCGCCATCACACTTCAAGATGGACGGACGCTGTCGTTCATGCATCAAGAATCAGAAGACGTGACGAAGGCCATTCACCACATCAAGACAAGATGGAAACGATCAAGACCTGTAAGTGTCTTTATTTCCTGTTGCATGACAGATTGTTTCTTATCCTAACTTTCTAGAGCTATTCGCTAGGAGACTTTCCTAAACAAAAGTCTCAATACTTTACAGTAACTTTCAAGCCCTATGCAAAGCCTTATGCAAGCACTGTGCAAGCCCAGATGCAGTTGTTTTGTTGTGTTAGAAATGCACACAGACCACATAAGACATTTTTTTGGTCAGCTCTCCGAAGACATGTTACTATTTTGTTTGCAGGATTCTGAGACAGTTCACCCCAAGATCAGACCCAAGGATGTTCCCGGTACTTTGCTCAATATGGTAAGTGTCATTAAAAAGTGTGATTCACAATAAAGAAACGCTGCTGTTGGTGGCCTTAAGGTTTTTGGAACATTGCCATGCAACAGGTGTTACCTGTTGTTGCATTTAGCCAGGTTTTAGCTATAATGGGTTAGGGTTAACCCTCTTATGCAAACATGCATTCCGTACCAAGTTATCCTTTCAGTAAAAATCAATCCAGTGACTGTTTTCAAGAGTTAAGAGCTCCCAGCCTATATAAAGCGAGATTGATTGGTTGTGACTAAATAATGAAAGGTTTGCAGAAACACCATGTGCGAATAATTTCTCAACTAAGAGAATGGTTCTGAAAATAACCAGAGGTATAAACTCGACGTTCCGGTCAGTATGCTCTGACCGTCTTCAGGTGGTTGTGACTGTTCATGTTACTTGATACAGTTATGCTTTGACTGTCGGTGATTGATAAGACTGCTGTGCTAACCAGTTTCGTGCTTTTGGCTGTTGACTAAATTTGACTAGTCAGAGTGCCTGCCTTAAATATTATCCAACTGTTTGTGACTAGCCTGTGTAAAGGGCATTGCAGGGGAAGTGGATGGAATTTTTGACTGTCTGTGACTGTTCAAACAGTAGGAGGGTTAATGAATGTTTTTTGATGAAAATGAATTTATACAAGAAAGCCATTGTAAAATATGTTTAAAACTGGTCACAAGACCATGCGCTCTGCACCACATCCGCGCATACACGCTGCTTGCACTGGCTACAACCAAGTGCTTCAGAACGAAGTGATGATTTCATATAAAATGATGTTAAGCACAACAACCCCTCCCCACACCCCACCCACCATAGAAATGGCACAAGCATGGAGTAAAATGGAAGAACAAAATCGTTGGACATGTGGAATGTTTGACAACTTTTCAATAAAGTTTTGAATAATGGCATTAAGGCCCCTAACCGGTTTTAAATCAGAAGTTGAAACTGCTCAATCACACTATTTTCCCTTTTTTTTTCTTCGAAAAGTTGCACTACCAGTGTTTCTTAAAAACCAGCTTCAGTGCTGTCAAAAATCTCTGTTATCATGTTGTGTATTTTTATCTGCTCATTTGCATCCAGGCATTACTCAATCTGGGAAGCAACGACCCATGTCTGCGATCGGCGGCTTACAACCTCCTGTGCGCCCTGACTACGACCTTTAACCTCAAGATCGAGGGTCAGCTGTTGGAGACATCAGGGCTCTGCATCCCGGCCAATAACACCATCTTCATTGTCTCCATCAGTCAAACGCTGGCTGCTAATGAACCACACCTTACCCTGGAGGTAAACATAGGGATTTCATTTTCAAAGATATCGGTATTCTTAAGCCCTTTGTAGCCATGTGGGATCATTTGCAGTTTGCTGAAAAAGTACCTAACGTTCTAAAGACAGAGACATTTTGCTTAAAGTGAAGATATATGACTGTTGTCAAATACCCTGTGAAATTACTCCGCTTGAAATGGTATCATTCGGAAGAAAACAATGATCGTACGTGGTTTAAGAAAGTGTGCTGTGGGCACAGTTTTTTTTTTACGTGCGTTAGCAACGAACCCAGTTAAGAGACACCACAAATTGAGCACAATTTTTCTCTATTTTCAGCAAATTTATAGTATCAACTGAGATAAAACTTCAACAAGTTAGTTGTTCTGCACCCTTCGTAAGATTTTAAGCAATTTTGTTTCTTCAAACACACACACAAAACGCACAAAAAGCAAATGGTCCTATGTACGTTAGGTGCCAATGTCAGCTTTTCTCAAGAAGGCAAGACCTTGTTTGTGTCAATGATATTCAACAAACAAACCACACACAGAACATCCACACAACAGATGCATTCAGTGGCTTCAACAAGCTGGCATGTTAGTGTTTAATATTAATTTCCCATACTTCATTAATATACCCAAATGAAAAAGCACTTTGATTGTTTGAGTAATTCATGGCGTTATCATTTTGGAATACTTGAGGAAACTGCTTCAGAAACAACCATACACAGTTGAAGGTATGGAGTGCCTTTTTTATTCAAGTGATAACTTTCAGTTTGTTGAATGTGACCAGATAAAAAAAACCAGTTAGTACGTATGGCAAACATGACAAGGTAATTAGGGAACAAACCCTGTCAAATTAACCCATTAGCACCTGGACTTCATTGCATTACATTGAACTTATTCACTGCGAAATCATAAAACCATAGAGTGCTCGTGCGGTTTCGGGTGCTACAGTGACTAAAGGGATAAAAAAAAAATGCTTAAAGAGGTTGTGGAATGCTCGAAGACATTTCCGTCATTTTTGGGGTATATGTAGCCTAAGGTGTGATGAAATAAAAACGACTATTGTGTCCGTCATGAAATGAGTACAAAAGGTACTTTTGAGAGCTATTTTTCAGGTCCTGTTTCGACCCGAACGCGCAACTTGTGTAAAAGTTGTCGTTGCGGGCAGCAAACAAAACACAGTAAATCGTGACGTAATAAACAGGACTCGTTTATGCTACTCTGCATCAGGAGTCCTGTTTATTACGTCACGATTTACTGTGTTTTGTTTGCTGCCCGCAATGACGACTTTTAAACAAATTGCACGTTCGGGTCGAAACAGGCATGACAGGACTTGAAAAACAGCTCTCAAAAGTACCTTTTGTACTCATTTCATGACAGACACAATAGTCGTTTTTATTTCATCACACCTTAGGCTACATATACCCAAAAAATGACGGAAATGTTTTCGAGCATTCCACAACCTCTTTAATTTACCCATCCAGTTTCCCTTGCGGGGAATACTTGCTAATACCTTGGAAAGACTCATGCGACATTCTCGGTTTTTGAAGAAACTATTCAAGTTGATCTTTTTTTTCCTTGGACAGTTCCTTGAGGAGTGCATCACCGGTTTCAGCAAGATCAGCATTGAGCTCAAGCATCTGTGTCTGGAGTACATGACCCCATGGCTACCGAACCTGACAAGGTCAGTCATGCATTATGAATGATGATCATAGTTTGGTGCATGTGTAGAGCTTTCTACCAAAGGTCTCAAAGCGCTTCACAATTATTACCCCTGTTCATCATGTCATTAAGCTTTTTTCTGCAACAGCTCGAGGTCAACGCAGTCTTGTCTCTACCCTCACGTGTACCCATTTATACTCGTGGGTAGAGAGAAGCAATTGTAGTAAAGTGTCTTGCCAAAGACCACAACCACCATGTTTCCCCGTCAGGGTTAGAAAACCCCGCGTAGCATGGCACGTGAGTCAAACACCGTAATGAGTCAAACACCGTAACCATTGGACTGTGATCTCTGATGGGTTTTCTTTTGCTGTTAGGTTCTGCAAGCGATCAGATGAAGTGAAGCGATACAAGCTCTCAGTGGTCCTCGACAAGCTCATCAACATGACCATCGATGAGAAGCAGATGTACCCATCCATACAGGCCAAGGTCTGGGGGAACATCGGCCAGGTGGAAGACCTGATTGACTGCGTACTGGATAGCTTCATCAAGGTTTGTAGTCACTGAGAAAGAAAAGTTGTGTCTGAATACGTCTGAGAGGGTTATACCAGAAAAAAATTCAGTTCCCATGCCTAGGATATCCCCAGACTGGGACCGTGAGTGCATAAAAATGTGCAAAATTACTACTGACGTTTTTTTACTCACCATTCGGCTAATTAATGCCCACACAACACATACATCAAAATGCTTAAGTTGCAAGCATGTCACCTGCTAAATTTGAGACCTTAAATCCAATTTTAAGGCAAGTTTTTGACAGTTCAAAAACCATCCACGTCATTCTCCATGCTTTAGAAATGGTGGTGTGATTCCCAAGGTATTCTGGGTAGGTGTAGGAAGAGCCTTGCAGCTTACTTGTTTTTTAATCGATGGCCAAATGAACATAGCGCCCTCTGTTAAAAAATGAAACATTCTGCATTCACTCAGATCAACAAGAGGGCGCTGTTTTATCTACAGGATGAAAATGTTTTAGCTTTAATAGGAGTCTTTTTTCACAATGCATTGCAGTACACATCAACGTGATGTTTTGCGTTTGGATTTCGATAACTCCCTGCAAAATTAGAATTAAACGCTGAATTTTTGGTGATGCAATGCTCACAACAGCAACTTTGCAGGGCAGAAGTTTCGAGGATTATTGAAGAAACTGTAGTGAGTAAGAAGCTTGCACATTTGATTCACACTGGTTTTATTATGCAGCACAAACTTTTGCACGATATGGATACCTTAAGTTTTGGGACTCTCATACACAGTATTGAGAGTCCCAAATTTTCGGACTAGGATATCCCAGGCTATTTTGATGTGTACCTTTAGGCAGTGTTGTAGTACTGGTATTCATATTCATACTCATACTCATGCTCAAGTGTATTTTTACGTACTCATACTCGTACTCATGAGAATGTACTGGTATCTGCAAGAAAAAAAATATTGCGTGTACTTGTGGCAAAGTGTTCGTACTCGCACTCATGAAAATGTTCTCCTGCAGGATTTTTTTTAGGGGTACATGCAGTAAATATAACCCATTTTCTACTGTCAGTCTGGTAGACTCTTGCATGTTTAATACTTATCATGGCAGCAGAAACCTGGGAAAATATTGACCAATCAAAATTGGAAAAGTACTCGTACTTGAGGAAACGTACTCGTATTCGTGCTTGTACTCAGTACTTGGGAAAATGGGAAAATGCACGTTCAAAAACTTATGAAACGACCCTTTTGGGAATTTCAAGTCAAGACGCAAGTCATCAGTGAATGTTTTTAAGCTTTCTGATCCAAAGAAAGGCCACATTACTCTTCTTAGAATACATGGGACTTGAAACCTTTATTCCCTAGGTTAAAAATCGTTGTTGCTTTTAATATGGCTTGCAGGTGACTGTGCAGTTACAGACGGGATTGACCGGCGGTGGTCAGCCGCGGACTGAGGTCATGGCAGATACAGCCGTTGCTCTAGCATCAGCCAATGTCAAACTAGTCTCTGCTAAAGTCATTGATAGACTCTGCAAGGTAGGCAAACGAGAAACCTCTTGCTGGTTGCAAGTTCTGAGGGATCAAAAAGAGTCTGTGTTACAGTTTTTAACTGCGAGGAAATACCTCACCAACAGATTCTGCCTCTTGACTTGCTATGTGGTAGTCGCTAATTTAAGACGTCGCATTTACATTTTTGGAAAGTACTGTTCTAAAAGCAACCAAAGTTCTGTGCCATTAGCAACAGGAGATTAACTTGTAATTTGACTGTTTCACTTCGATTTGACCTCTGAGCGACTTCTGAGTGGTATGTCATTGTCTTGTTATTGACTTGTGAATGCCTTTTGATTGGACTTCTGATAGACATGTGGTTGAAATGTCATGGTCTTCTGATTGAAATAAGATTGACCTGCAGTTTACTGGTGGTGGACTTGTGATTGACTTTTGACTTCTGTTTGAAGTGTGATTGTCAGATGAGATTGACTCGTGGTTGATTGTACTTGTTGTCTTGTCTCCCGCCCACAGATTCTAGAGAAGACGTGTCTGTCCCCCACACCCACCTTAGAGAAACACCTAATGTGGGATGACATCGTCATCTTGACCAGATATCTCCTCATGTTGTCTTGTCTTCCACTCCACAGATTCTAGAGAAGACGTGTCTGTCCCCCACACCCACCTTAGAGAAGCACCTAATGTGGGATGACATCGTCATCTTGACCAGATATCTCCTCATGTTGTCTTGTCTTCCACTCAACAGATTCTAGAGAAGACGTGTCTGTCCCCCACACCCACCTTAGAGAAACACCTGATGTGGGATGACATCGTCATCTTGACCAGATATCTCCTCATGCTGTCTTGTCTCCCATTCCACAGATTCTAGAGAAGACGTGTCTGTCCCCCACACCCACCTTAGAGAAGCACCTGATGTGGGATGACATCGTCATCTTGACCAGATATCTCCTCATGCTGTCGTTCAATAATTGCCTTGATGGTGAGTCACAGATACTGGCAGGTTCTGAGCAAAACTGAAATTGCTGTCTAAAAAAACCACTTTCCTGACCTAAATATGAGGTTGACAAAATGAATTGACTAGAGTGGAATTCTGACCTTCGACCTCTTGGAAAGTGTCCGGGAAGTCACTTGTCATTTTCTGCTCCAGGCTATTTCTTTATTCCACGTTTTATTGAGTAATAGTGTTCCTAGTCAGTTCACTTTATTCTTTATTAAATGTGGCCCGCTCCACAAAAAGGGTATTACGTCGCGCTGTGCATTATCGTGTAATGGCCCACTCAACGTTGAGAGGGTGAACATTTTGTCAAAAAGTGATTTTCACTTTTTGTCATGAATGACATCTTTATTACTGAAAGATTCAGGGTTCATTCACAGAAATTTTGATCTTGATGAATAAAGTGAGGAAAAAAACTACAATTTTGAGTGCATCGTGCCCAAATCTGCAACAGTGCCAGCTATTTTAAAGCCTGTTTTCTCAGTTTTGTAATTCAAACTCCAAGGAGGTTAATGTTCAAAACCAAAAGCCATTCTGCAAAACGGGAGGGGCTATGGAGCTTTATTATATACCAAATGAAAACTTATTGTTGTGGGGTTTCCAACCATGTATATAACTTAATTTTACTTTTTTTGCAACATAATCCCTCTTTTGTGGACTTGGTCACATTTTGTCTGTTCAGCACTGAAAGGTCTTTACAGTAGTCAAGCAATTTCAGGCAAACTCTCTTAGCTTGGATTTTAAACTTACTATTTTGTGTAAAAACAACTTGACACCAATTAATTTTGTGATGTTGTTTCATTCTTAGAATATACTTAGCTTTTGCTATTTTTATTAATGCTTAATTTGATAATACAAACAGATAACCAAAATTTAAAAATGAGAACCTTATATAAATGGTTCACCCTTTGATGATATATTAAATAGTTTTTGTTATTTCCTGATCTTGATTTGACAGTTGCCAATAACTTGCCTGCCTTGTTCCACATCATCCCTCTGCTTGTCTCCACGGGACCCCTACCTCTACGCGCCTCCATCCATGGACTGGTCATCAATATACTACATTCCCTCAGAACGTGCTCACAACTCAAATTCAGTGGTGAGTACTCCCACAGTCTGTCACCTTACTGCAAGTCTGGTCTTTGCAACCTCGTCCCCAGTGCTTACTTTATTTCCAACCTCGTTTCCAATTGTAAGCCCTGGATAGGAAACTGTCTTCCTGTATCCTGATTCGATACCGCAATTGGCTAGAAATGGATTTATATCGTGTACTTGGTGCTATTATTCATAACGTGCAGTGCGTGTTTTCGCGATCATTCGTCCACCATTCTCAAAAATATTCATTTCCTTTCCAATTTGTTAATATTAATATGACATGTGATACTGCATGTTGTCTCGTTAAGAATCCGGTTTAATTAAAATTAAATCGTGTTTTCATTACTCACGCCATGCTCGCGCTGCGACGAATTGATTCTGTTTTTACCCCAGACACCGCATACAAAAACAAACGCAAATGTAACGCACAGGCAGGCACCAGACTATTCCTCATTTGCATACGTGTTAAAAAATCTTGCACATGCAAATGATCCAATACCAGAGTGAGAGAGCAGGTACTGGTGGGTGTGTACTGCTTGACACCCTGGGGACGAGGTTGGGTCTTGTGAGACTCAAAGTCCTTATCTGATTGCGGGGAAGTTGTTCAGAATCCTGCAACTTGTACCTGGTACAATGTCCGGAACTCGTCCCGGATATGAATCGAATCGGCCCTTAACCGTTTCAGATCCTTTAAAACCCACCAGGGATATTTTGAAGGTTCTTCCAGGAAGGAGGAAACATTGAGTGAAAATATTTTTCTCATCATACAGAAGAGACAAAGAAGGTTCTAGACCTGGGCCTGACTGAGTTCTCCCTGCCCAAGTTCTACGGTATGTTTGGCATCAGTAAGGTCAAGTCGGCGGCCGTCACGGCGTTCAGGTCCAGCTACCGAGAGCGACCGCTGAGCCAGAGCGTGGAAGTCATGCCGCTCAGCTCCCTGGAGACGGTCACGGACGCCCTGCTGGAGATCATGGAGGTAGGAGACGGTGTTGATTAATAAAATGATTCTTATGTGCTGAATATGAAAGGTGTCAAGGAGCTTTCCAATTATTACCCTGCTGCATCAGGCCATGTGACCAGTTTTCTACAGCAGCTCGAGATTAGCATAATCTGGTCTCTACCCTCACAGGCACCCGTGTATACTCTTGTGTGGAGAGAGGCGATTGTAGTTAACAGAGATGAAACTTCTCAGATTTTAATTGGAAAACCGACTTTTTGACTTTTCCAACGAAATTTCCGATTTTCTTACAATGTGTCCCACCAAATATTATTTTGCAACGATTTTTCCACAAAATGCAATTTTTTAAACTATAATTTTGAAGAAAAAAAAGGCGATGAAAAGTCGATGAAAACGGCACGTAAAATAATTGCGGGCGTAGTTTTAATCTCTTTCACCAGTCGCAATTTTAGAAACACCTAAGCCAACGCTGATCGGACCCTAAAATGCATTTACCAGGGAGGTTTTTTTTAAAAGATTTTACATCGTTCTTGTGGATATCGTTCTCTGTAAAATTATACATGAAGGGACTGCGGTCGGGCACACATTTCCGACACCGATTTTGGCTAGACGAAATTTCCACAAGCACCAATTCTTAGTAACTGCTCCAACCTTTCCTTCAACTTAAGAAGATTCATGTGTGGTGTTCTTGAAAGTAAACCTTAGCTGACGCATTCACAGTAAATCCACATACTCCTGCATCACCTGTGAACTCTTGGGTTTTTTTTAATCTCATTGTCTTCGTCAGGCCTGCATGCGGGATATCCCGGAGTGCCAATGGCTGGCTGAATGGAACAAGAAAACCAGGGCGTAAGTTACTACTCAATTATTGCAAGCTTGCATGGAAGTATAAAAGTACCAAATATCTTAGGAAATATGCATGGGGTGATGTTGATTTTATTAGTGTGTTTTGCCCTACTTTGGTGTAGTGTTTAGAAGCGTTGTGTGGATCTGAACCCACGACCCCCTGCTTAGTAGTACAGATGTCAGACCACTCAACCACTAAGTATGCTGTGGTCAACTGACAGATTTACAGAGGGGAAAGGGTGGGAAGGATTAGGAGTTTTGACACCAAACCATTTAATTTTTCTCAAAGTTTTCGTCGTCAAAATTGTGTCTCTATCAGCACTGTATGTCGCCATGAATAGCACCGGCTTGTGTCCAATTGTTTACAGTCATGTGATGCCATTCTGCCCCCTCCCAGCTTTCAGATTCTCGGGCGACCGTTTAACTTGAAAACCTGCACCAAATGTTACAGACCAACAAAGCCGAAAATAGTGTTTAGCATATTTTAATGGTAAGCGAAAATTAACAAGGAACCAGTCGCACACAGCACACATCAAATGACATATTAGCTGGTGACCGATTTGGCTAACTCAGTATTTAATTTGCTTAGCAGATTCCTGTGCCCAGCTGAGTGATCCTTCAGCAATTTTGTGGTCACACCAATAATTTTTTTTTCTGTCACCCACAGTTTTGCGTTTACCGAGAACCCAGCCCTGCAGCCCCGGGCCATGGTCGTCTTTGGCTGCATCAGTAAGCAGGCCGACCCAGCCCAGATCAAGTATCTCCTGCACATGCTAGCGGTGGCCGTGCATGCCGTCAAGGACTGGGAACCGCCTCAGCTGCCCAGCAGTCTACTGCTGATTGAGTCCATCGTGATTGCGTTGACCAGACTACAGCCTTTGCTGCGGAAAGTAAGTGGTTTAATGCTCTGCCCCTAACACTCCCAGATCCTTCAAAATCTAACTGGGCTTTTGTAGGATTTTGCAGGATTTAGGAAGGCAGAGCCTCCTCCCCGATCTTTCAGAATCTACCAGAGCCTATGTATGATTTAGAGAAAAATCATGCACAACCATTTGATCACGAAACACAATTTCGTTAATACACGCATTCAAGTGTTCCTCGGATCCGCTGATTTCCTCGTTTTTTGCTTCTCATGAATGCCATTACAAATTGACAAACACTGTACAAAGTCTTGTGTGGTTTGGAGTTTCCTTGTTTTTACCTAAATTCCCAGTTGCATGCCTATAATCGTGATAATAAAACTCTTTATTGCAAAAATCAGTCAATTGACTGATCGTTGGAAATCTCCTACATTTCTTGATTTCTTCTAGATGACAGCAAGCCAGACGGAATAATTTTATGGGTGTTTAGTACCAGTACGATCTATAAGCTTTTGGACAATAATTCAGTAGGATACTTTTTGAAACGTTTAATAAAATGTACTTTTTTGTTACCAAAAGTAATAGACAGTTTTGACAGCCAAATAAATCATCCAGTATTTCAAAGTGGCCTCTTAATTATTCTGTAATTAATTAAACCTCTTACTGCTTTAATTTATTTTTAAACTGTTCTATGTAAAATGTGACCTGTTCTGTCAAAAGCAGACGCTTCTGGGCAGAGGTTGAAATTGAGATAGGGCCAAAAAATGCTGTGGGGGTGATTTTTATTGATTTTCAAATTTTTGCATATTTGTAATCCTGAACATGTCTAAAATACACCGTAAAAGTTTGAAACCCTAATTTGAACTCCAAATATAGTATTTTTAATGATTTGTTGAGGTATATCAGTTAAAGAAATTACTGTTTTGTGCCGTTCGTGGCCATTTTCTCCGTTTTCTACTTTTCGACACAATCATGACAATGAACTTCAAAATAGCATAACTTTGCACGGGAATGACCGGTTTCAAAAATTAAACCACCTATCAAAAGGAAAAACAACATATTTTATTAATATGCAAAAATCTCATTTTTGATCTTATGCCCAGAAAAGTCTGCTTTTGATAGAAAAGGTCACAAATATAATAATTATTTTTGTATGCATACTTTGACTTTTACCCTTTGACATTTCACCTTTGACCTGTAGAGCTCTCCACTTCACAAGCTCCTGTTCTGGGTGGCCATTGCTGTGCTGCAGCTGGATGAAGTGTCGCTGTACGCTGCCGGCTTAGCGTTATTGGAGCAGAACCTCCACACGTTGGACGAGCAAAGTGTATTCAATGAAGTGGTAAGTAGGAGTCTTGCTTATCAAAACTTCTAAGCTGAATTGCTGAGCTGAATTGCTAACCAGGAATATCTGATTCTGTAAAAGTATCAGACTTGAATCGCCACGTGCACTTAGAACATTTGCTTACTTAAAACTGGTTCATAATTTACGCTAACACGAATGGGAAGGGAAACATTTGCAGTGAAACTTGCCAGAGTTGAAATCTATTCAACATTTGCGAATTTGCAGTGCAAGAGCTTGATGGGACATCACAAATTTGGTGGGTTTTTTTGCGGCGATTGTGAGCTGGCCTTTCAGACCTGCATTTCCATTGAGCATAAACCAGCCTTCATGCTGAATAACATGAAATTTACAATAAGAAGATAAAGCAAGCCTAATAAAACTTGTTCCACAGCGCACAAAATTCTACTCAATTGATTCAGAAGACAAAAAGTTTATGCAATAAGCTGTATTGGTAACGTGATGGAAATGCAAATCCTATTTTGCCGGTCGTTCGTATGGAGACTGGACTTATTGCCCATGCATGTATCATGTAAGTACATAAAAAAGCAATGCCAGACTAATACACATGTGACCTGTTCTGTCAAAAGCAGACGCTTCTGGGCAGAGGTTGAAATTGAGATAGGGCCAAAAAAACGCTGTGGGGGTGATTTTTATCGATTTTCTAATTTTTGTATATTTGTAATCCTGAACATGTCTAAAATATATTATAAAAGTTTGAAACCCTAATTTGAACTCTACATATACTATTTTTGATGATTTTGATAAGGTATATCAGTTAAAGAAATAGCTGTTTTGTGACGTTCGTGGCCATTTTCTCCGTTTTCTACTTTTCGACACAATGAAATTCAAAATAGCATAACTCTGCCCAGGAATGACCGGTTTCAAAAATTAAACCACCCATTGAAAGAAAAAAGAACATATGTTAACAATATGTAAAAATATCATTTTCGACCTTATGCCTAGAAAAGTCTGATTTTGATAGAACAGGTCACACATTTGATGTAGGTAATTCAAGACATAAACAGGCCAGCCTGATAAAGCTACTCCTACACCAGTATAAGTCACGAGTGACAGTCGGTCAGTCAGTCAGTTTGTAACAAGTACGTTTGTAACCATGAATGAGACTTATAATATTAATTTCTGCATATTTCCAGAGTCCAGAGGAAGTCCTGATGGAGGTTCGTCGTCCGTTGGAGGAGTGGCATTTCAAGCAGATGGACCACGCCGTGGGACTCAGCTTCAAATTCAACTTCAACTTTGCCCTGGTGGGGCACCTTCTCAAAGGTACAGTCAGGCCGCTCATTTATTTTCTGGTTATTTGAGGCAAAAACCCTCCCTCTCTGGCAGGCAAATTTAACAAAGCCATCCCAGCAGTCGAAATCAATCAAGTAACTGCTGTTAACAGCTAAGAACTCCCTGCCTACATAAAGCTGGATTGACTGGCTGTGACTGTTTATTTACCTTGATACAGCTTTGCCTTGGCTGTAGGTGATTGTTAAACCAGCTGTGTCTACAAGACACCTGCTTTTGTCTGTTGATGGAATTTGACTGTCACAGTCCCTACAAGAAATTTGATCTGACTGTTGGTGACTAGCATGTGTAAAAGGCATGGCAGGGGAGGAAAGTAGAGAGTTTTTTACTGTCCCGTCCCTCCCCTCACCCTCCCTTTGGCTAGAAGGTTCAAATTCTAGTCCGGTCCAATTGAATGTTCAACTTGATAGTCACTACAAGAAGCTTGTTATGGAAAGTTCTGATTACCTGTAAATATTTGTGTTTTATCTGCAGGTTTTCGGCATCCCAGCAACACCACTGTCTCGAGGACCATCCGCATACTGAACATGATGTTGGAGATCGTCTCCAAACACAGAAATGTGTAAGTTCCACTCACAGACGCTCAAATTAGAAGACCAAATTTTTGAAAAGGAACCCTTTCAAGAGAAGGTACCTGCTTGGGCAAACCCAATTTCAAACGTGCAAACTTGTTACGTCAAGGCAAGTGTTTGCAGTGTGAATTTGAACAAGTGGAACATTTTAACTTAGGCAAATTTATTGTGGATGTTTTATAATGTCAAATTCACTTAGCATTTGTGCAATATGTATTATTATTTTGTTTATGTCATTTGGTATCTACAGAGATATGTTTGACGTCAACGTGGAGAGTGTCTCCTATCTCGCCGCCCTCTTGCCTTTCTCAGAGGAGGTGCGTAGTCGCTGCAGCATCCGCCGCGGCTGCCAGCACCTGACCGAGATGGACCTAGAGCAGACGGTCTTTGTCAACGCGGTCCACCAGGCGCAGACACAGGCCCAGGCTCAGACCCAGACGCCCAAGTCTCCCAGTAAGAAGGCCCGGTCACCTCAGAAGACGGCCGTGGCCAGCATTGCCGCCGCCAGCGCCATCAAGACCCAGCGTAGCTTGGACTCGGCGCTCCAACGCCAGCCCACCTACTGCAATCCGGACAAGATGCAGCTCAAGCCCTACAAGAGCCTGGATCTGTCGCACGGGGCGCTCTCCATGCCTTCTACCCCATCCACTTCCTCCTCAACAACCTCAGCATCGCGGAGAGCTGCAGAAGGAACTGACACTTCTTCCGGCGATAGAAGGTCCAGGATGGAACGCAAGACGAGTAGCGGAAACATCGTCGTGCCTCGGGCGAGGAAAGAACGCAAAGTGTCAACGCCTTCGGAGAACGTGTTACTGGATGAGGAGGTTTTAACGGACCCATTGATTCAAGCATTGTTGCTAACAGTACTGGTAAGTTGTTTGGCGATGCTTAGGACCAAATGCCTTTAAGAACCATTGGTTCAAGCAAGTGGTTGATTTGTGAAGTACCTCTTCGTCTGCCGGCTATGAATATTCATGTGTGACCGATTTGCAGTCTCAAAAATGGGAGTCACTGTGGTGCTTCCCTTGCCCTACACCTTTGTGACTCAGGTTCGATTCCAGCCCAGGTCAACTTAAAGATTACTTTTGCAGTCCCTGCCTCATTCCTTGGGTTTCCCTGAAACGGTATTCTGGGGTTATCTTCCTTGCACTAAATCTAAACATTTCTTTATTGTTTTCTCTGTCTCTAGTCTATGGAGTATCCCCCTTGTACATCAATGGTCTATTATATATGAACAGATTCAGCGATTAATTATGCAAAACAAGACTGCGTCTTGACCTCGAGATTCTGACCATTCAGCAGGCGCCTTTTATAGGTTCTTCCGTAACCTGTTGTTGTATTACAAAAACATTTCAACCAAATTGACCAATCAACAGCTTAGTCCACATTTCTGATCGAAATGATGTCACAATTTCTGAAGTCTCTAATCGGCTGGCACACGGGGTTGCAAACAATTTGTGCATTTCTCAGATATATCAGACGTTGGTTACGGAAAGGTCTTCGTTTGACAACGGATGATAGTAAGACTACTTTGTCTCTAGGGTTCTTTAGGATTCCTAAGCTGCAGTGTGTCTTCACTTTGGAGAAATCCGTGCTGTTTTAACCCAAACGCATTCAAATAAAACAAAATATAAATGAAATAGTCAAAGCCTTTGTCAAATTTTTATCATGACACCTACAATCTGATCAGTTATTGATAATCAGTTGTCCAACCCAAAAAGTCTACTAGAGTAGACCAGTGACAGCTAAGATGTGCTTGATAAGTGTATGGTTACGATGCACAATAGAAATCTGTTGGTTTTGGTCCTTTGATAATAAGCCCTTTTTGTATTATTTGCTATCTTTTCAGGCCACATTGGTGCGTAATTTAAACGAAGCTGAAGCGGGAATCTTATATGAATACCTGGCAGAGGCCAGCCAAGTATTCCCACAAGTGTTTCCTATTGTGTAAGTATAGCGTTACATTCCCCGTAGTCTTCAACAAATTTGACATTTTTTCTCTTAATAAATTTTTATCACGTGAATGTTTTAATCAAAGCAGTCACCTCCCTTTTCCTTTTTTTTTTTTTTTGGGGGGGGGGGTATCTGCAGCCGTCTGGAAAGCAGTTCTAACTTTGGTTGCAAACAGATCCGCTTTGCAAGCAGGCTGGGCTGCTAGTAAATCAAAATTTGTGAAGTAACATTTCAACAGTTCAAGTTGGCCGATTTTTGTTCGGTTGATGTGTCATTAAACCTTCGCATTGCTAGAGAAATTGAAATTTAGAAAATTAATCTACATTTCAGGGTGAAACTCAAAAGTAGCAAGGGGTACGCATCTTCAAATTGTCTCCAAGAACTCTGTGCCAAATAATCCCCTCGCCCATGCAAATGCCAAATAGGGGATACTTTAGTGTCTTTTTTATATACACGCCAGTTCATACTTTGAGCAAAAGCGAACTTGTGCAGAAATTTTGATGTGAAAACAGGCATTTGCTGTGCAGATTGGCAAAAAATCGACGTCGTTGCAACTCTGGCTAGTTTCATTGCAAAAGTATCTCAAAAAATTTCCTTCGTCAAATTGGCTTTGCATTTACTTGCATGTAAAGTGGAAACTCGCCTTCATGCAAGGACGTAGTGGGTTTACATTTACTTAAAAAAAGATTGTGCGGGGTACCTTGTGATGTCTGCCAAGGAAAAGGAAAGTGGACGTGGATTGTGTCCGCCTCTGGCACGGAAATCTTGCTCAGCACAGAACTCGTCTTAGTCATCAGCCAAAATGTTCCTCAATAGTAGCACAAATGCACACAAAATTTGAGCTTTGTTTTGCTTTATGCTTACTTTCAGGCACGTGTTGTTAGACTCCAAGATCGTCAGCATTCTGAAGAGCTGCCACAACCAAACCACGCTAAGCGCGGTGCAGAGCATCGTCCAGAACACCTTAGCGAGCGAGGAAATGGCCCAGCAGCACACCACCTACCTGCAAGGTATTGGCTTCGGTGGTCTCTGGAGGTTCTCCAGTCAATTCTCACAGGTAGGCGTCGACAAAAATGTGGTAAGCATGGAGAATATTTACTTAGCAAAAATAACCAGTATATAAATATAACATGGTTTGAGGGTGGACAGTCAATATTAGCTCCCTGAGGTATTGGAAGTTGACAAACTTCGCCTCGAGAACTAGTTTGTCAACTTCCAATATCGAGGGAGCTAATATCGACTGTCAATAAACCATGTTATATTTGTATTACTATACCTCATACATATTCAGTTGCCGAAGTTTCCCTTTGCAATATGCACCTCACAGGCATAAAATCTTTGGAGAAAGTTGTCCAGCTCACCTCAGAAAAGTGCATTTCGTTTCCAATACAGTAACTCCTAAAAGTTAGTACAGGATTCATCTTTATTGTCCACAATATTCTCCAGTTCAGCATTATTGAGCTCAGAAAAACGCTAATTAACATTTACACATGCAGCCATCTTTTCATGTGTAGCTAGGGGGATGTTCATGTTTGCGTACTACACCCATGCGACAGGTCCACGATTGCTTCATAAAGTGCATGCATAGTAGACTGTTTTACAGGTAACCCGTGCGACAGTCTACTACGCATGCATATTTACCCTGTGTGTAAATACTCGCGCGCGCGCTTGGTAAACAGCAACTGACACGTGTTGGTGAATGGACCAGTGAGAATTCGGCTGTCGATCATGAATATGTATGAGGTATAGCAATATGCTCTGTTCATTGTAAGCAGACTTGTATTTCAAATAGTTGAAATCTCTCGGTCTCTCGACAGAGGATACTGCGCAAAATTTGGAGTTATTTGCAGGTTCTTTTCAGAACTACGATGAACTCACAAAAGAGATTTTTAGTCGCGTGGTGTAACTGCTAACCTCCACATAGTGTTTAAAGCTATTGAAAAGTTTTCATTAAAGCATTGAGAATTACAAACATGATCTCATATTGTATATTATGCATAATGAATATTCATGACTTTCTTCCTCTCACCCTTTTACAGAAGGCTCAAATCCGAGCCAATGCCGAGCTCTTTGTCAAGCTGATCAGCGCCCTCATCGGCCAGACGCAGCAAGTCATGGAGGGCGATGCCAGCAGCAACAACTTGAGCCTGCACCACTCCCTGCTGACCACCTCCAACCTGTCCAGCTCCATGTCCTCCCTCAGCGTGACCACTGGCGGCACGCAAGCCGACGGCGAGTCTTGCGAGTCCCTACTGAGCGTGCCCAGCGTGGCGGGCCGGCTGCGCCACAGCTCGGCCAATCAGGTGCCAAAGAACCGGAGCATGGGCAGCCTGAAGCGCACCAACTCCAAGAACTCCAACGGGAGGTAACACAGGCCGTGGCGTTCGGACGCGGTGCGCGGGATGTGTCGCGCGAGCCTCCAACTGAGCATGCCCATTGGAGCTCGGCCAATCAGGTGCTAATGGAAGCAACGCCTGTGGAGCCTCAACTGCACCAACTCAAAACAACTCCAATAGGAGGTAACAAGGCGTGGCATATGGGCGTGGCACATGGGTGTGTCTAAGTCAAGACTATCGGGTGCTTTTATCGTAATATAGATCAGCAAGATACAAAAAAAAACTGTATCTTACAATCTGAAATGAGAGGGTTGTAGCATCCTTGTATTTACAAAAAAAGAGGATGTGTTTATAGTGTACAATTTATTTGGGAATCGAGACAAATGTATGTTAAGTAATTTCTTTTTTGTTGATGAAGAAACAAGCAGTGAAGTCTTTGTAAGAAGTTCCAGGATTGTGTTCTGCCCTTCACCGAAGTGAGCGCTGCATGCTGGGTGCTCTTCCAAAGCATGAGAAAATAATAAAATGGAAAAAAGTCGCTAGCTTTTACTTGTTGGCGCTCAAAGTTTTAAGGATGTCGGCCATCCTCGTCATTGTTCATTAACTTGGTAAACTTCACTCAGTCTCCTTTCAAGTATCACACCAAAACAGGAAAACTAAGAAAACTGTCAAGTCCTTTCAAGAAGAGGTCTGGACCCACTTTCATGACTCCGCTAAGCACAGAATTCCGTGGTTACGGTCGCCATTCTGTGCTTCTATACTAAATTCGCTTCAAACTTTGCAGCCTAATAATCAAAGACACTGTGAGATGCTTTCATCCTTACATTTTTACTTTTTGCATCGGACAAAAATGTGCCGCACGAAAGATAAAAAGTTGGCATAGACACGGAACTTATTAATTTTTTTACGTGTTTCATGTTGCGCTTTTCCTTTCATGAACGGTTTCAGTCACGTGCAGTGCTAAACAAAACGGTTGTTTGGGGGCTGCAATGCCGAATGGTCTTGTTTATAAATACTTTCACAGCAAATTGTGTATTTTTTTCTGTTTAAGCGAGCACTTTACTTTGTTTTGTTTGGCCTGGAACATGTGAAATACATACATGACGTTGAGATGGAACACTTGACCTGTGACTTAACACACAGTTGTTTTACCATTTGTATATACGTATTACGGGGGATGACAGATGACGACGTTGGAAAATTTGTATTGTAAAATGTAGAAAGGGACGTGTATTTTGTCCGTTTTTAATATATTATGACGTACAGTGATTGCCCCATTTGCCATTGACTGTGTGAAATGCCTGACTTCTAAATGTGTCTGTTAGTGTGTCTGTGGTACTGAAAGTGCAATATATATATCAATGAAACTTGTAAATTGTTGAATAGAATTAGACCCTGTATAGGCTGTTCTGACTGGTTTTTTATCGGACACAGAGCCTTTTCTTTTTATTTGTTTTCTTCATACTAGTAGTTCAACATTTTGGCTGTTAACAGATTTTTTGTTAAAACCAGGAGCAAGTTTGGGTGCAAACTATAGTTAACCAAAGTTGGACTACCTATTAGCTCGAACAGAGGATAGTTGAACTACTCTAGTCGACTATTTGGAACCGGAGTATGGGACACAGTTGCTTCACTGGTTACCAATAGCCGCGTGCATCATAAAGCACAACGGGGAGCCAGGACTATTGACCATCGTTTGACTAGAGGCGTTCGCGCGGTGATATTAGTGCGCAGATGTAAATTACATCATGAGTCAACCACTAGTGGACTAATGGTCCTCACCCAAACGTGCTCAAGTATTACTGCCCCTTTTCAAATTACCGCGTTTCGCAGCGTTCCTAAATTGGCCAGCGCTTCTCGGTCAGAGTTAGGCAACATGAACCTTACGGTCCAATGACTTTTGCGCAACAGTGGGATTTCCGTTAGTCCAAGACTGACAAAAAGTCCCATTGCGTAAAATTCATTTGACCCGAAAGTTCACCAGAAAGTTCCCACAACTTGCATTCCATTCAGCCCTGAACAATGTCAAATTCATCACTCTTATTTCATCGGCCTGTTTTTTTTGTTTGTTTTTCCTTTTTCCCCTGGAAATTAATATATGTCAAAGTATGCCATTTTTTGGAGGAGCCGCCATAAGGAAAATCTTTGTGTATGAGGCTCATTAGTTGACATGCCATATCTCTGTAGCCGTAACAAACACAGATAACAGATACGATTTTTCTTTTGCTTTTCTTTTTATTTAGATGTATCTACAACTCTCAGTGTACATGTAAATGCTTCTTACAACTGTGTACATGTAAAAAAAAACACAACTAAGTAGGTCCAGAATTTGTCCCATATTCGTGGTGTGTTATATGTCAGTAGACGTTGCGCCAAGCCAGTGTAAATAACAAAAAAAGTCTTTAGCTCTTTGTACATGTTTGTATCTATGTATAATCTTAATGTCTATACGTGTATATTGGGTGTAATAACATTTGGCTTCTATCTATGTATTGTATGAGATCATGCGTTTTGTGTCTGGGGACACAAGAAACAGTTTGCCTATAGCAGGGTGTTAATAATATCCCGACAGTATGGCGTTACCCTCAGATTAATTACAGGACGACTTGGCTAGTTGTATTTTTGAAGTTCTAAAAAGCTCCACTTTTCAAAAAACAAAACAAAAATTAATAATCTAGTCTTCTTCGAGTCAATGCCCAAATAAATAACCCCTACTGTTCAGGCATTTTCCACAGGAACCGTTCCCAAATCTGCCAAATCCTAACTCCCATGTAACATATTAGTGGCTTTACTGTGTAGTCCTGTTTCCAACAAAATCAGACAGAAGCAGGTTTTGGATTTTGGAGGAATTGGGGTGAAGTAAAAAAAAAAACGCTTTGGAAGAATTGAAACCTCTTTGAAGCGATTCATGCCGATTTGAATTTTACTGCAGTCATATCTGTCCTGTCATAACTTCAATGTGGAACTTCATGGGGCTGGTAAGCGCACACTAAATTGAGCTAAGCAAAATTGGTTACTGGTAAAATGGTACTGCGTGCTTCTGCCCAGTACATGCATTGCTAGAAACAATGTGACTGTTTAGAGCTTTGTTAATTTTTGCTCGGTGTAACAGACAGCATTGGTTGTGTGAATAACCCTGCCGACAAACGAAATGGTGAATTTTTAATGGTGAAGTCTTCATACAAGTACTGCACAGTGAGATTCAACAGGAAAGTCCACATTTTCACTCGGAAAAGTGAGTGATATAATCAACATGAAGAGTGAAGTACGTTCTTTCTGCTGTGTGTAATCTAATAATATTTAGTGACTAATGTCCTCGGGATCTGGTTAATGGGTTTCTTTTGCAAAATCCTCAGTCAGCCTTTAAACGTGTAATTGTTGTATGACTTTGGATGGTCATGTAATAACTGTTGTAGTGGAAGTATTATAGTCAGGCAAAGGAATTACTGGATGCAGAACATGTAACTGAAATGAGTAGCGATGTGGGGGCTGCCATCTTTGCCCACGGTCAAATATTGTAACGAGAGCATTTTTTCGGGTAGACTTATTAACAAACCATAAGTCTAAGGATCATATGTTCACGTGTGCACAGCCGCCCTCTGCGCAAAGAAGATTTATGCGACCCGCACGCCAGCTAATCGGAGCCGACTTTAGAATTTGTGACGTCATTCCATGCAGAAATGTGAACCAAGCTGTTGATTGGTCAATTAGCTGCCACGTTTTTGTTATATATAACAACGGCTTACCGAAGACCGGATAGCGCTCGCTGAATGGTCAGAATCTCCAGGTCAAGACGCGGTGTTTTGCATAATTAATCGATGTATCTGCACGCATATCACAGCCGCTTGTAATCAAGCGGATATTCCACACACTACCCCACATACAGTGCTATGCGGCAAATGGATATTTAACGGCAAAGATGGTTGCCAAGGAAATGGCTGTTGATTGACGCGCGTACAAGGTTCTGCATCCCCATTGGTTTGTTTGGCGGACACGCCCCTTTCCCAAACAGCGTAACTTTAAGTTTTCTTTTCCAAGGATGGATGTGATGTTCATGTTGTGTTCAAATGTAGCATTGTGATTGGGTGTTTTTGTTATCTGAGGCACAGCTGTAGTCATTTGTATCATTAAAAAAAAATACCAACCAATTATCAACCTGGACTGACGCGAGAAGAGATCGACAAGTGACGGCATAAATTGAAGACGAGACTGGTACATTTACACGTGCGGAACGAATTGATTGTCATTATACCCCCATGAATTCGAAATCATTGTACTTATATTATGCACCATATTGTATTTTTGTAAAAGAACTCTGGTTGACTATAAATAGCATTTAATGAGCTTAAATAAAGGAAAAATATTATACGAGAAATTTTGTGTTTGCGTGGAAAAATATCCTTTTAATGTTGTATTGCCGGAAGTGCAGTGATAAATGAATATATTTTGAAAGCGGAAGTATTTTGATATAGGCCTAATCAAAATATTATTCAAGTGTTCAGTGGGGACTCGGAACAAAAAGGAAGCCATGATAACGTCTTCCACGTGAAAGAAAGTGGATTTTTTATTTTGATTTTTTTTCCTCCATTTTTTCCCCTAAGATTTCCCACAAACATTATATGAACAGCAACAAACTAATTTGCGAAGTTCTCAAATGACGTCATCAGCAACAGACTTCGAGTAGAGTAACACAGCTAGCAAATGCTTTGTTTTTGCTTGTACTGATTCGGTTGACCGGCTTGCTGTTATTTTGTCAATGCAAATAAATATTTTTGGGTATAAAGCTAAAAGAACAATTCCTCTCGTGTTTTATAGGCCCACTTGTGGCAATAAAGTCTATCGTCCCGAGTATTAAAGAACATAAAACATTTTATGTAGGCCCTGGTTGTTCTCAATGGCAAAAGCCAAAGAAGTGTGCCTTTTGTAATTCCGAAACAGCTGATCCCCCCCCCCCCCCCCCCCATGGAACGTCGTTGCTATAGATGTAAGAAAGCCACTGAATATTATTGGGTGATTGGACTGTTCCTGGTCACCCTACACATTTTTAATACGTTCCTTTTTCTCGGGTGATCGGGGGTTGTGTTATTTCTGGACAGTAATTCTCTTCATTGAACTTGAAACTTGGTATGAATGTCAACGTGATCCCAAGATGTATACATAACGCCATAAGATTGAAATCGTGCCAGTTTTCCTCATATCTAAATGTAGAAAATCAACACTTCGTACAGTGTAGCCACGAACCATTCTTTCGTTAGCTCAAAACAGAATTTCAGTATGCCCATGTAAAGGCAAAAAGCCATAAAAAAAAAACCAATTTAGTTTTAGATGAGCATGTTGCATAGGAAGGTGTAGTCTGGGTATCACCCGTTCTACGGAGCGAGCTATTACATAGACTAAGGAAGGTGAGGCTCCGTCAAATAGTCAATTGACAGATCGTTGGAAATCACCTCAATATCTTGATTTTTTCTAAATGACAACAAGCCAGACGTAATAATTTATGGAGTGTTTACTATAGTTTCGTCTGCTTTTTGAAAATAATTCTGTAGGCTACTTTTTTGGATCAATGTAAATGATCCCATATGCCTTTAAACAAAGTCGTGACGTATTCTTTTATACCAAGCGTCATCAACGATCCTATCTTTTATTAACAAATAATGGTATATTTGCATGCACGTCTGTCTGGTCTAGTTTTATCAGCACAAGCGTCATATTTCACAGATCAAGCCCTTGTTTCCAATCGTTCTTGGTAATGTGCTTTAAAACACGTCACTCGCTTGTCCCGATGATAAAATTAGAACAAATATGGATTTTATTTCTGACGTGATGACATCAAACCGTGAGAATAATTTTAACCAGTCTAACAGAGTAAATAATACCATAGAGGAATTTTTACGATAGTACAATATTAAAAAAAGAAATAGAGAGAGAGAGTGTTTGTAAAGAATTTTATCTAGAAAAACGATTTTAATGTCGGCGTTATCGCTTTTTGATTGATTTGAACAGTTGTTTCTGACAACCACGCGGAACTCGTACGTCAATGCTCGGCCCACTTCCGGCCCAAGCTGACTATTTATTTGCCGTGTTTAGAAGAGGGTGGACATTGTTATACGGAGAGTCTGATCTATCTGAGAGTGCCGGAGTGGTAGACACTTTCGGATCTGATTTTTGAGAGCATGGAGACTGTACTTGAGGCCGATTCTTCCTTAACGTACTTGGGGAGCGTGGGTTTCGTCTCGCAAGTCCGACTTGCTCTTGTCTTCGTAACCGCCTGGCTGGTGGTGTGGCTTCTGCAGGAGCACACGGGCCTCTCACGGCGCTTACGGGGCTCTCCAACGGTCAACCTACCCCCAGGCCCTTGGGGCTGGCCCCTCCTGGGCATCCTACCGTCTCTTGGGGTCAGTGCGCCCCACGAGAGGCTGGCCGCGCTGGCTGGTGAGTACGGCGGGCTATTCACCTGTTACTTCGGTGGGCACAGGGTGGTGGTGCTGGGGGACTATGACTGCATCGTGCAGGCGCTTGGCAAGTCCGGAGATGTGTACAGTGACCGGCCAAAATTGACCATGTTCACTGAGGTCGGAGGAGGAAAAGGTTAGTAATTGCAGTATCAATAATGTCAATCGATACTCAAAGCTGAATCACTAATCAGAAAACAGGGGCGGATCCAGGTTTCGAGGGCCCGGAGGTTGGCTGCCAAGGGGGCCCGGTTGTTAGCACTAGCAGGCATTTTTTGCGATTTTTTGCACGATTTTCCAATTTGTTTTTAGGCCCAAGGGGGTAAGACACCCTAGCCACTCCTTCCACCGTATATCCGCCAATGACAGGGCTAGCCACGTGTGAAATATGTATACATGTAAGTGGCGTAGCCGGGATTTGTTTCAGTTGGGGGAGGGGCGGGGGGGGGGGGTGCTTACATTTCGAGGGGGGGGGGGACTGGACCTCTATTGACGCACATTTTTTGGGGGGGGGAGCTTGACCTCTTTGACGGTAGATGGCGCTCTTTTGTAATCAATATATTCACATTTCATAAAACCGCGCGGTCACAGGGAAGTCAAAAATAGTCAACATACTAGATTCCTCTTACATTGTAATTTGTTTTAATAACTCAAGTAATTACTTTACAAAGACACTAATACTTGGCAAGCGGGACATTTCACATTTTTTTTGTGGGGGCGGGGGGGGGGGCACCTGTGTGGCACTGGGAAGTAGTGGGGGACAGCTGCGTGTAACTCTACCCAGGTAGGCGATATACGGTAAACACTTTTCTTTTTATTTTGAAAACATCGATTTTCTTTCGCGATGCATGCAGTCAACTGCCCAAATTTAACGTCGTTCAACAATGTACGCTGTAGTACTAGTAGTAGGCCTAGTGATATATTTTTTTCAATGTAGGTGAGTCTCGAATGAATAATAGGAGCGATGATTGGGGCAGGTCTACGAATTATATTTGCTGCAGTGTCTGATTAAGTTACGTGTCGTTCACTCTTGAAAGTGGGCACAGCGTTAATAAACAAACTTTGTCTGGATTTATGAACTTTGTGGGCGTCCTGCAAGAAAAAAGGGCTCGTCGGTCGTGCCGAGAGAGGATGTTATTGTTATGACAGGAAAATAGATCACCGAGTTGTACACGGCGTTAATTGTCTGCGGGTTATTTCAGGAACTAAAATCTATGAGGGGACATGTCCACTTGCTACCGCGGCTGTAAAATGAGTGAACATTATAAGTCACTATATTTGTCAACAACCGTTCTAAAAATAGTTTCATAAATACCAAACCTCAGACGGTGATTAAGTCTCGTTAACAAAGAAAAAAGTTAAACACTTTGCGCGCCAACATGTAAGCTATCTTATCATATTATCAAAACTTCCTTTTATTACTTTTTGTTGCGGTTTCCCTCCAATTTCCTGTCTGGTTTGGCGATCTTTAAACAACCTGCTAAGAAATCGCACCAGTTCCGTTCGGCCTGACTGGTATGTGGTCGTAGCCTTTGGTGTTTTGCTCGCTACGATCAGCCTAGTAAAGTTCTATCGGAAAAGGTGCTGTTCTATAATGTGCTCAGGCGCGAACGACAACTCGTAAAAGTGCGGTAATTGACCCTTGACATTGACTCTCCACTTCTGTCGCACCCACTATGCCCCATGCAGCGCCTAAAAAAGCTGGCTGTGAAACGTCACTACACGTGCCGAGTTAATTTTCCTTCTAGATTTTAATTGGAGAATTCGTAAATAAGATAAAAACATAGTAAAGATATTTCTTTCGTCTGAAATGCGCTCTAACAACTGTAGGCCTATGTACCTTGAATATTTGCAGTCATTGTTTTCGTGTGTAATTATCACGCGGATGAATTTAGGGTACAACATGTTTGTGCTTGTCTTCATCACACGTATTTCTTTTCGAAAACGTTCCCACCGTGTCCATTGTCACCATGCTTGTTTAATATGCAGTTTGCGACTCTAGTCTGGCGTTGTATGACATTAATTTGCTCATAATTCGATGGCTTTGATCGTTGCTGGGTGGGCAAGGCAAAAATATAGCGCCGCATCAGATGTAAAATAAAAAACCTAGGATTTCTTAACATGTTTATGTTGATTTCTTGTGACCCACACATTAAAACATGGTAAGCAAACAATCAAAAGCACTAATAAATGTTTGTGATCGTAGACATGATGTGTACCTTTAAAGTTGCAATCGAGGCTTGACGCCCAGAGCTGTAAGGATGTCTGGCAACAATTTCATGTTGCCCTGTAGGTCTCTAATCTCCACACTAGACGTCACCGCAGGGTTGACTATACTAGGGCAAGTTCGAGTTCGATCGACTTATTACCGATGGTTAATCCGTGACACAATGCGCTTGCGCGCAGATAATATAAAGTGCCACACCACAATCTCATCATTGTCAACTATAGCGTGCGTTCGTTCATACGTCTTGTCTTCTACCACATTACAACAGCTTCAAGAAATTAAGCACATAGTAGGCCTAGTAGTAATTGACTGCGAAAATTCAGACGTACGTTCGATGGCCGCTAAACTAAAACTCTGGCCCATTTCAGTTGGTAGAGGGCGCTATTGGTTCTTGCATAATGTATTTGCATAATGGCATCTGTGCTGTGTCCAAGCAAACAATGTTGTCTGGCTACGACTAATCAAAACAGCGTAAAACAAAGACCGAAGCCTTAGCCACAAAATATCTTAATCGGACGCACGGCCTATAAGCCATCAGAGTCACAGCTAACAGACTCTGAAGCCGAGCCAAAAGTTCTAAAGATTAATCTAGAACGTCAGATCTTAATGTAGGGCCTACATTTTTATCCACAGGAGTGGCTGGCGCATACTATGGCAAACATTGGAAGGAGCAGAGGGCGTGGACATTCAACATTCTCCGTGGAATGGGGCTTGGGAAAGACACTTTTGAAGCCAACATCACCGAGGAAGTCGGCTATCTTTGCGACCGTGTGAACGCCCATCAGTCCCAAGCATTTGACCCATGTCACCCTGTGAACACCGCCGTGTCTAATATCATCTGCTCCATCGTGTACGGTACGCGCTTTGACTACGATAGCGCTACATTCAAACGAATGCTATCCTTGCTACAGGAGAATTTTGAGCTGGTCGGCTTGGCAGGCGTGGTTAACTTCTTCCCCGTCCTGAAGTACATCCCTCTCTGCGGGTTCGGCAAGTTTCTGGCCAACGTCCGGGAGCTCAACACTTGTCTCTTCTCCAAGTCCATCAGCGAGCATCAGATGACCTTTGACCAGGGCAAGATTCGGGACTTCATCGACGCGTACTTGAAGGAGATGCGCATGCGCAGTGATGGCGGGGAGACGCCCTCCTCGTTCACCGAGGAGAACTTGACCTGGGTCATCGCCGATCTGTTCGCTGTTGGCACGGAGACCACCGCCCTAACTTTGCGCTGGGCTTTGCTGTATATGATCACGCACCCTCACGTGCAGCGGAAGGTGCAGGAGGAATTAGACGAGGTGATTGGACGCACCCGTATGCCGTCATTGGAGGAGCGACCCCTGCTGAACTACGCACAGGCCGTTATAAACGAGATTCAACGAGTTAGATACATTGCAGCAATAAGTAAGAGAAAGAGTAAAACAGTGAATCACCAAGTATTTACTAGTCAGTCCTAAGCTCCATCTGAAATCATAACTTTAACCTTTTAAATGTTAATAACCCTTTCTCAGTACTGTATTTACCCTTTCCGACATTGCTGGTCATGTCTAGTGCAACTAAAGATTAAAATCTGGTGAGTGCTGCCGTGGTTAAAACTTGACCTTCGCTCGTCTACAAAGCATACACCACAAGGGGTTGGTGACCTCAAACTTCATTGATCTCGTGTGATTTTTTATTAAAACTATATTGACTCAGAGTAAACATTACCACGTGTGCACGACGCGTGCCCACTCAAATTTTTTTCCTGCTTCAAACAGTTGAGAACTAAACATATAGCTCTATGGAATTAACGCGGTCACAATTAAGCACCCTTAAGGGCAGTGGGTACCAGCGAAACTTTTCATCGTGTGTAACTTGGTCGCTGTTTCTAGTTTTTTAAGACGCTCGTGCGTATTGTGTCACAAATGGTCAATGTTAAAAGAAAGAATAGGGCAACACATTTTTTTTAGTAAACGACGTACTTAAGGAATAAGAACCGATCTACTTTCTGCAGTGCACTACGCGCCAACCTTGATAATGATTATATGCTCAGAACCTAAAACGTGAATAAGAATGAATAGAAATCGGACCTTTTCATCAAGCGCTTGAACCATTTATGAACATTCCATCACTGAAATTATTCCCCTGCTATCTCTTATCCTAAATAACATCAGAACTCATTGTTGTCAGACTGAAAGGACTGTTTGTATTTTCCTGACTTTTCGTTTTAACTCCTCATAGCTGTTCCACGAGCGACAACCGAGGACTCTAAGCTGAATGGGTACGACATACCGAAGGGGACTACCATTATGCCTGTCATGTGGGCTGTCATGCACAACCCGAAAGTGTGGCCGGAACCAGACCATTTCCGTCCTGAGCGCTTCTTGGACGACAGAGGGCGGTATCGCAAACCAGAACACTTCTTGCCCTACGGTATAGGTAGGCGCGTTTGTTGGAACAACCCCCCCCCCCCAAAAAAAAAAACCCAACAGACATACAACTATTATAATGATTGGTCAATCATCTTCTCCTTTAATGACTCGTATCGATCATGAAAATTAGTGGTAAGTTTTTCCAAATAACTTCATGTTAAAAAAATGTTTCACAGAAAAGTGGCTAGCATTGTTGCAATTACCGGCCAACTACATCGATGTTATGAAATATAAAAGGAAGTCAAGAAAGCAATTTTTCGAATAACATGGTTTGATTTCATCAAAAAAAAAGGGCGCTGTTTACATTAACTGTTACCCCATGAGAAATATAATTTGTGCTTTGCTTCTGCGGGCGTGATTTTTTTTAACAGGTCGTCGGATGTGTCCTGGCGAACGATTGGCCAGAATGGAACTCTTCCTGTTCTTCACCCATCTACTGCATCGATTTAGCTTCAGTCTGCCGTTGGGGGCGCCACAGCCATCCCTCAAGGGCCGGATGGGGATAACACTGGCGCCGCAGCCTTACCGCCTGGTTGCTCGCAGCCGACCACTGGAGGAGTCTGGGTGACTGACCTGCGGTTTCATAGCTTCAAGAAGCGCCTTCCTTAATGTTGCAGAGACCAATAAATAAGTAAATAAACTGCTATAGACCCCATGCAGTGATAAAAATACACCTACTTCCGAAACTCAGGACAAATACTCATAGCTGTCCGAAGTGTTTGAGACACCCATCACATTAAAGCTTATTTCATCATCTCAAATGTTCTGTTCAATTCTTGGGGCGGGTTGACAGTGACTTTTGAGAAAATTAAATTCAAAGATGATCACCCCTAAAAGCAGTCCTGAAGCCCATCGCAGGACACTAGTATTACGCTCCATTGCAAAATAGGGACATTTGAGGGCCTAATTTCATCCGATGATTTCACAGAAGTACGAGCTCGCAGTCCGATGGTCATTGCTTTCATCCTCAAGTTCATGGCCCCAGAGAATTTGAGGGCATGCAAATCGTGATTTGGCCGTCGTTGGCAACCTCGGGCCTATTTACAGACTGGCCTGCAACCATGTCTATACCTGAATGTTGCTGTTTCCCCAATAGCACTTGTTTAGGCAAGCGTAAGGATCAATTAACCACATGAATGCCTCTAAAAATCGAGGAAATAAACAAATCTCGGGTCAGCGACATGCAGGCAAGGCACTTTCAATTGCATGCATCTATTGTGCAGACGCTGCATGCAGTGCGCTTTCCCGCACTGATCGAAATTTCCGTCAAAAATTCCCTCTTAGTTTGAGTATTTTGAAGCACGTTTCTTAGCAGTGGCATAGCAAAGTAGTGGGTGGTGGGGGGGGGGGGGCTCCCCCAATACCCAGTACCCCTGGTCCCCGGTCCCCTTGCCCCCGGCGCAATTCCCAAATTATACACTCGTTACTGTATACGGTGTTTGGCACACACATCAAATGTATTAAGCTTGTTTCATCATCTTTCATTTGCTGTTCAATTTTTAGGAGTTAACCCAGACTTTTGGGAAAAAGTTGCACCCAAAGATGGTTACCCATAAAGTAGTCCTGAAGCCCATCGCCATTTTGAAAAAGGACGCATTTGCTCCATTGCAAAATCATGGAGACATTTTATGTCCCAATTTCATCAGAATTCCACAGAAATACGAACTCGCAGTCCTCTGCACGGCTTCTATGTGCACCCTTCTAATTTTTTTTTTAAACAGAATCCTCAAGTTCATGACCCTCAAATGCCCTAATACCTGATAGTTTGGAGGGCATGCAAATCGTCATTTTCGGGTCTATTTACTGGCCTGCAATCTTAAAAGCATTTCATGGATACAATAAACCAGTGATAAATACCGCACTCCGAACAATTGGGGAAAATACAACTCTCCTATCAAGATGCATATGATTTACCCTTTCTTGTGGGGTTTACCCTAAAAACAGTCCTACGGCCCATCGACATTTTGAAAAAAAATTATCCCTCTTTACTTCGTTGCGAACTGGAGTGCAGGAACCCTTTATTGTTACGGCAACCAAACTCTCTTGTGATGGAGGGGCCAGGAAATCTCTATTATTTAGGAGCGAAATTGACGGTATACAAATCATCATTTGACCGGCGCCTTAGGCAATTTAAATATGGGTCATTTTACTTGTCTGAACTGAAAGCTCATGATGTTGTACCTTCATTCTCTATTGCATTATGCTGTATTGTAGGCTATAGGCATGATATGGAATATCCATCACGGTACTTTATGTTGTATACCTTAGCTGGAGGAATTGGGATATATTTAGAAATGTGAAAGTTGTACATCATTGAGTCTTCTGTTTACTGACTAGGTTGTGTGGTAGAAGCTCATTTAGGTAGCGTTTTGCTTCTAGTTTCCAAAGTGCATTTAATTAACGAGGTATACTTCTTCATTGTGGAGACACAAGAAGGATAATAATTGTACTATGTAAACTTCATGACTATAGTACCGTTAGTACGTGTTTTCGTTTAATGTCTTGTCTATTCCTAATTTTTTGAAGATATAGAAAATCTCCTCAAGAACAACAAATTGCATAAGGCTGTACTTATTATGCATCATGAAAGTGCATGCAGGGGCTCAAAATATTGGCGGGAATGAGTGTACAGTATAGTGTATTCATTCCCTCCGTGGTACGACTGACTGTACCCGTACCCGGAAGCGATTTCCCGGTAAAGAGTTGTTCATAGCCTTTGACGTCACGGAACATCCATAACTACCTTTGTTATGGATATTACTTTTTGTTCGAGCTCCGTTGAACCATTTGCTGCTCCATTGTGTGCACTTCTAGGGTTCAGGCCTGACTCTTATTAGTCATCCAGTGTTCAAACATTCCAACAAGGATCTGTAGACTTTCTTTAAAACCATGAATAAAAAGGTATAAGCCGAAGAGCAAACGACTAGCGGAAAGTGTACGTGTTACATGATAGCCAGGGTGACCGTAAGGTCTTGGCCAAATTCTGCTAAATGCAATTAAAACATCTGTCAGATTCATCCAAAATCTGCCAAATTCCTCAGAATTACTCGAAATACACTATAAACAGTTAAAATCACACAGAGATGTTGTAGTATTGCCTCCATTAAGGTTCAAATTACTTTATAAACAATCTACAGTAACATAAAGATGTTATGAAATTGCGTAACTTTCAGGCAAAACGCGATTCTGCCACGACAAAGTCCAGTTCCCAGTGAACCTCAGCACCTAGACCAGCCAATTTTTCCCATTTATGCAAGGGTTTGTTTGAAAAGATTGAAGATTTTTTAACGACATGTACCTTTTTTTCCTTCAAATTTGTTATGTTTTTCTGTCAAATATCCATGTTTGCAGAATTCTGCCAGAAATCTGCCCAAAAAAAATCCATTCTTTCAAATTTTCTGTCAAACTCGTTTATTTAACAAAAAATCTGTCAAAGTTAGCCGAAAAACGGCTAAAACGGTCACCCTGATTATAGCATTGCATGACACAAGTAAAATTTGTCAGCCTCTCGCTTGTTGTATGTCTAACACACAGTTAATTGCTTGGGTATACTAGGATCATTTATCCCCAAAGTAGCCTACCGAATTATTATCAAAAATGTATTCTACTTGGATTAAACTTGATTGGTACTAAACACCCCGTGAAATGATTCCATCTGGCTTGCTGTCGTTTAGAAGAAACCAAGAAATGTGGGCCTAGGTGATTTCGAAATAAAGAGTGCTTTTGATGAAATCGTATTTTCGTGATCAAAAGGCTGCGCATGGTTTTCACTGTTTCTTAAGGGGCAATATCCACTGAGCTGAAACCCCAGCATGTATGTATGTAAGCACTGCGATCGGTATATGTGAGCATGTGCGATCGGCATTCCGCGTACTCATAAAATTTGCAAATTTTCAAACTACATCAATCTTGGACAATCTACAGTCTTTGGTAGCAAACAGGGTATCAAACTATAGCTGATAAAATTCCCCACAGGTCTGTATAAAAGTAACAACATCAGCAGCGACAGACATTATTCCTAAAAATGTGGAAAATGAGGAAAATGGTTGCTCAATCACATTCAGAGATGTCCTTTCTTATAGACTGACAATACCCCTGAAAACGTGTACGGGTTTGAGTGTTTTCGTAATCCACCATGTTAAGTTTGACAGAATTGGGTTGGGAAATTAATTGTAAGTTTTTGGGGACCAATATAGTTGGTTGATTCTTATAGTGTGAAGGGTTGTTTAGACATTAGGAATTCAGTCATTTCCTTTGGGGCAATCGTGCATTTTCGTCCAATCAAGGTCCAATCAAGGACTCATCAGCTGCATAATTGATTCCGAACACTGGGGTAGTTCATAGTTTGGTGTGTGACCGTTGGGTGAGACTGGGAGTAAACCCGTAGATTGTGATAATAATAGTAACCATGGTAGGTGGACACGTGAAATTAAAATTAAACAAATGAAATTGAAATTTCTCGACAACACTATCTGATGGCATGATTTGTTTCTACGAAACCTGTAGTTTGAAGCTGCATTTAATACTGTCAGAGGTGTCGAATATTTATGTGTATACGTAGTCAAAGGAATAAGGTGGTTTTTTTTGGGGGGGGGGGTTAAGAATGGAAGGCGTTATATCTAGTGGGGCAAATAGGCGAAATATTTGGGGGAAATTTGCCTTTGATTATATAAGCATGGCAATGGGCACACAATCAGAGTGCGTCATGAAAAGAATATTTGGCTATAGGGCCATTGTAAATTTGTCCTTTGAACAAAAAAATGTAGGTAGAATAACAAGCAATTTTCAAAATTTCAAAAAGTGACCTCCATTTCTGTTTATATTCTACGTATATTTTTTCAAAGGACAAATCTGCGATGGCCCTACAGGTACAGCCAAATATCTTTATCATGGCACACCCTGACTGAGTGCCAATGGCACAATACCAATCTGCGTAAAAGTCATGTGAGACTCACGTGTGTAAATTGAGTGTGGCTCAGTGCAGGAGGTTATATTGGCAGGAATGAGTGTACAGTATACGGTATGTATTATTCCTCCATGGTATAACTGACTGTACCCGTACACGGAAACAGTTTCCCGGTAAAGCGTTGTTCAGCCTGTGACATCACGAATTTATCCTTTGTTATGGAAATATATCTTTGTTATGGAGCTCCATTGTAACCATTTGCTGCTCCATTGTGTGCACTTCTAGGGTTCAGGCCTGACTCTTAATTAGTCCTCCAGTGTTCAAACATTCCAACAAGGATCTGTAGACTTTTTTTTTAAAACCATGAATAAAAAGGTATAAGCCGAAGAGCAAACGACTTGTGGAAAGTGTACGTGTGACATTGTAGCGTTGCATGACTTAAGTTAAATTTGTGCGTCTGTCACTTGTTCTATGTCTAACCATGGAGCTATAATAGAGCAAGACACAGCTTATTACGTAATTATCTTGTTATGGTGGAGACTGTTTGCGTGTCGGATTTGAACCTTGCAAGGACTAAATTAACATCCAACCCCGGCCGGCTTACTTGTCGAGATTTTAAATAGTCATAAGCTTGTGTATGCAGCACTTGGCATGGTCGTGGCCAGAATGGGGGGGGGGGGGGGACATGTACCCACCCCACCCAATTGACACCCCTGCAGACGCCCATTATGTTAAATGTGTATTCAATTAACACCAAATATGACTTCATAACTCTTTTCTTTTCTGTTTTCCCTCCGGTATGCAATCATTGAGCAATCGGTATTCCCTTGGGCCGTTCGTTTTGGGCAGTGTTTACACTTTAAATTTGCAACTTTTCAAACTGCATCATTTTGTTCATAAACCGTTGTCAATCTTGGACGATTTACAGTCTTTGGTAGCAAACGTGGCATCAAAATGCAGCTGGTAACATTCCCCACAGGTACATATAAATGACGTCTTCATAAGACGATCACATTCAAAATTACGACACCTCCAATGAGTGTGGATTTTCGGGGTTTTTTTTGGGGGGGGGGGGGGGTAGCTGTACCGGTGCTGTTCTGGTTCTGCAAGATTTTTTAAGGAATATCTGTTTAACGGACAAAAACATGTGTATGTATTAAACCGAAAATTTACTCTTTATTGGAAACAGATCATGTTTAGTCATGCCGTCATAATCATACGGTTTATATGCACAAAAGAATATGAAGACAGCAGAAGCTAGATACTGTCATTTAAAAACAAAATGAATTTTTCTTTAACTTTACTTTTCATAATATAATGTAAGTTTTGTGACCTTCGCCTGTAGTTAAACATTATTGCAAAACGTAAGGGCTAAATAAGTTTATTTCAATTTTGTTATTGATATTTCACTAACACAGTAACAACATCAGCAGCGACAGAAATAATTCCTAAAAATGTGGAAAATGAGCAAAGTGGTTGTTCAATCTCCTTCAGAGATTTCCTTTCTTATAGACTGACAATACCCTTGAAAACGTGTACGGGTTTGAGTGTTTTCGTAATCCACCATTAAGTTTGACAGAATTGGGTTGGGAAATGAATAGTTTTTTGGGGACCAATATAGTTGGTTGATTCTTAGGTGTGAAGGGTTGTTTAGACATTAGGAATTTATTCATTTCCTTCGGGGTGAGCGGGAATGCATTTTCGTCCAATCAAGGTCCAATCAAGGACTCATCAGCTGCATTGATTCCGAAGAACCGGGGTGGTCCATTGGGAATAAACCCGTAGATTATGATAATAATGGTAACCGTGGTAGTTGGACACGTGAAATTAAAATTAAATATGAAATTGAAATTTCTCGTCAACTGTAGGACGGGATGAAATTTATCTACGAAACATGTAGTTTGAGGCTGCATTTAATACTGTCGGAGGTGTCAAATATTTATGTGTGTACTTATTCAAAGGAATCACTTGGGGGGGGGGTTAAGAATGGAAGGCGTTATATCTAGTGGGGCAAATAGGGGAAATGTTTGGAGGAATTTTGATGATACAAGCAGGGCATTCACACAGGCAGAGTACGTCATGAAAAAGATGTTTGGCTATAAGGCCATCGTAGATTTGTCCTTTGAACAAAAAATATAGGCAAGCACTTTTCAAAATTTCAAAGGTGGCTTCCATTTCTTGTTATTCTTCTTAGTTTTTTTTTTTCAAAGAAAAAAAATCTGCGATGGGCGATGGCCGATGGCCAAATATCTTTCTCACGACATACTCTGACTGTGTGCCAATTTACATACTTGTATCATCAAAGGCACAATAACAATTTGAGCAAAAGTCATGTGAGACTCACGTGTGTGAAAGTACATAATAGCTCCCCGGATGGCTAATCCTAAAGCACAATGCAATGCACGTAGGCCTCGCCTTCGATTACGTCATGGAATAAAAGTTGTCAGGTTTGCCCAGTTCGGCTTTTGTTATATAAAGGCGGTCCTTCGTACGTTCCGACACTTGTTGAGTTGGCGGCACTGCAGACGAAGTGAAAGTTTCGCTCGAGTTACTTCCTTGGCACAAGTTGGGTAAAGAGTCTGACAAACATGGCCCTGAAATTGGTTGCGTTTCTGCTGCTGGTTGCTCTGGCAACGAGCTATGCTGAGGTGAAGCCATGCTGCTACCCCGACCAGTACGAGATTTCTGCAAGTAAGTACAATTCATGTACTGTTGTGCTTTGAGGTTTTTTCTTCACCGACAAGCCGACAGCTTTAACCCTCCGACGCAGAAAGCACATTTACTAACACGCTTACAGTAAGGGGTCCCTCCGGGGACCCAGATATTTAGCGCCTTGGTTTGAGGCTACACAACACAGTATCTATATGTATACAATCTCGACATGTCTGTAGACTATAAATAAGGAGGTCATTGACAGGAAACAGATGTTGTATACATAGTCTGTGGTCAAGTCGTGCACTTGGCTACCCGCAAGTGACTTTGTTTTGTGCACGTGTATATGGGCAGCCCATGTTGTCAGGCTCAGATATGCCTGACCCGGGGTCACACACTAAAGGTGACTGCATATATCCGTAGTGGGTGTCTCTGGCTAGGATTAGATGGAAGATCACCAGAATTGGTTGGAAATTTTTTTTTTTATTAAGGTAATTAACCAAATTGGGTCCCCAAAAGGGCTAGTCTCTGCGTCGGAGGGTTAATGGTCGGAGTGGTCATGGTCGTCGGCAGGATTTTTTGAGGGGAGGGGGACTCCTCAGAAACGATGGGAGAAATCACCTGCAGTGGAAACATATAAACGCCCATGTTGTTAAATATACATTAAATTAACAGTAATTATGATTCGCCCCTTGTCTTCTGCTTTCGTTTTCTTAGTCCTTTTTGTTCCTCTCCCTTTTCCCTTTTTTGTAAGTGCCCGCCTTGCCCCCCCCCCCTCCTCCCGTACTACACCCAAGACAGTGTTGGACAGTTTGTTGGCATTTAGTCGTTGGCATGATAGTTGATTCTATTGGCAAATTGACATTGGCAAATCCATGACATCGACAATAAGCCGCAACTTCACAAAAATTAAGATAACGAAAACAACAAATCCTTTCATTTTGAAAACATCTATTAACTGATGTGTGCTTCAATGAACCGGCGCTTCTTTCTAAGAGGAGCGGAGATGGGTTTGTGGGTGTGTCATTTCCCTGCACCCTTTCCAAATTAATCAGTTATTACTTTATTAATGGACTAGGCCTATACCTCACACACAAAACACTTCAAGAAATTTCAAAACAATAAAAGACATTTCAGAGCCGGAAATACCCCGAAATACCGTTTCTAATGGCATACAACAGTTTCCACGTGGGGCCCCAGAAGGTCACCCGTTTCGACCAGTGTTCGCTATTTGTCGTCAGGGGACTTTCTTTCCTTTGCCACTTGACTTTTTAGTATATACTCGTTTCCTGTTGTGAGTGGTTAAATCGAAGAAACGCGCTTTGAACCCATCCTCCTCTGAGAGGGGGCAGTGGAAACTAGACCAATGAAACGAGACCTTTGATATGAACTCGGCATGTAACGCCACAATACCTGGAGTACTTTATGTCAACGTAATGTCTGGTAACGTACATAACAACATGTTTCAAAGGAAAATATTCTGTTGACTAAACTTTCAATATTGTCTGGTCAACCCTACATGTTGAATCAGAGTGCACTGGTACTGAATGTTTTTGTTCGAGTCCTCAAATAAAATAAAAGGTGTTACTGTAGGAATCAAAATATAAGCGCCAAGGCTATTTGGACACGTAGACTATGTTTCTTGTACTGACGTCAGGAACTGGTTCCGGATTATGGGATCAGGTACCTGTAACCATTACTTAACAAATTACTTTGTAAATTCTCAGACAGTAAAGAGAAAAGGTTTCAATGTCATTTGTGGAAAATTTCAAAACTGGAAACCAGGCTACTGGAAAAGCAAAACATTTTGAGTGTTTGGACACGTAGCCTCTGTTCTTTGCTCTGTGGTCTACGGTATGGACACTTTTGCACGGCAAGCGTCTTTGATAATTATGCGTGCACTGGCAGATTATGCAAAAAAAACACCTCGAGATTCCGACCATTCAGCGGGCAGCTTCTATCGTGTCTTCGGTAATTCAATGTTGTATGACAAAAACGTGGCAGCTAATCAACAGCTTCGGCCAAATTTCTGCTATAAACGAACAACTTCTAAAGGCGGCTCCGATTAGCTGGCGCGGGGTCGCGTAAAACACGCCCGGCCTCAGGCGTTCGTAGTGCAGCTCTGCACAAGTGAACGCCTGATCCTCAGACTAGCTAGCTTACAATGGTATTTGCAGAAGGACTCAGACCCGTTTTCAAGTCTGAGTTTTCCGAAAGTATTTGGACATTTACACACATTGTTCACACCATCGAATCGGACTCTTACCCATAACCCAGTGAGCTGATGTGCAAACAGCCCGTTCCTTTTGTTATTTGCTGTATATGTTCAATGTTTAATTTGGCGTTTACTTATGTTGTCCGGGGTTCAAAAAATGACTCAACAAAATTGCAAGTCTTTGTGTGATCATGCAATACACTCGATGTGTTGCAGGTATCTCAGAATGTGTACCTTGTTATTTTAATTCCGTAGTATTGGATGGACAAACAAGCAAGTGCGAGTGCACAATAAGCTCTGGCCGTCTTGCATGAAATCCATCAAAATGATCCCTGCCGGAGCTCAGAAATGCGACGCCCAAAATGATATGCGAAGCCGATGGCGCATGTGGAACACCATACTTTAGATGTTACCTAGATTTATAGCGATTTGTAACAAATAACACATGACTATGACATTAATGCACATTATTTTGCCTCCATTTACAAACTTTTCTCTAACATCTTTACGTATTTAATTAATGGGTTTTTTTCATAAACATCAATCAGTATTTAATTTATTTTGCTTGCTTGTTTTGAAAATTGCTTGTTTTGGTAGATATATTTTGTGGGAAACTTATGGGGCTTTATTTTGTTAAATTTCCCGGGGACAGGCCGACCGACCACCAAGTGACATGTAGAAGCTCCTGCCAGAGCTTAAAAACTATTCCTGCCTTTAATATCCCAACAAACATTAACTGGCCCAATGGTGGTCCTATTACTGCCGGTACAAGCCCGATACTGGTCGGTTCTGGGCCAATTACCCAATGCATTGCCCACGAACTCCGACTTCACCTCAAATCGAATCCTAACTTTGGTTGGTGAAGAGATGTGCTCATCAGTACAACCCCTTTCCCCATCGTATAGCCACCCTCAGTCTGATCTATTCTACATTTTCATTGTACAGGCACCCAGGCTGGCCTGAGTCACCAGGGCCACGGCACCGGTTACAGCGTTCATTCTACCTCCGCCGTGGACGCTTTGGACAAGAAAGTCGGCGAACGTGGCACCTTCTACGCAGAGGATGGAACGCCTTACGAATTCCAGACCATCAAAGACTACGGCATGGTAGGTTGACGTATAGTTCAAGACTTGATCATGTGGCCAATGTTAGCCTTGGTCAAGGCATTCGTCATTATTCGTCCGTACGTGGTAAACGATCGGCGGCACATCCGATATTCTCGCCATGCAGTGCATTGCGGCGCGAACAGCAACCCCATGCGGCCACTATTTTATGCAAATTATTTGCATTCGTCTGGATCCTCAATTGATGGACAAGTGTCAAAATTTCTAAGTTCCACAAGCGTGCCCCAAGAGTCACATGGCTTCCTCCAATTAACTTCAACGCCACACCCTTCTCAAATTTTGACAAGAAATGGCCGTTCCTGAATCGACAGTTTGCTCATATTGTTGGGAAAGAATGTAGTATCCTGATGCTACTTCATTAGTTGTGTATAAAGTCCATGGAAAGTTGGGTTGGAATTTTCAAGGAATTTTCCAACAAAATAGGAATGTTTTTCAGTTCCATATTTATGTCTTTGCCACATGTTTGCAATGACTGACCTTCATGAAGATAACGAAAAACAAATGGCGTCAGGATACCACATTATTTCCAATAACATTTTACTGTTTAACTTTCTGGTTTTTTTTCAACAAACACTTCGCTGTGTTAATTTTGGTTCTGCATGTTTTTTTTTCTTCACTAGGGTGTTGAGTACAAGATTGACCCCACACACATGCATTGCGAAACAGTGAAACTGGAGGGTACCATGACTACATGTGTCGGCGGTAAGAATGCTGCAATGCCCTTTAATCCCTTCATTTTTTTCACCCTCACAATTCCAACAATATTAAATGGGGGTCATGTCCCCAAACAAGTGTCGTTTTTTTAGGTGCCCTTTTTCAGTAACTGACGATTGAAGACGACTCCTTTTAATGTGATCCCCAATATGCTGATTTGTGAAATAATATAGAGAGATAAGGGGAAAAGGGAAGAGCGCCCCCTTTTGTCTGGAAAAGCGCCCCCTTTTGCAGAATGTGGTCTAACATGTATTTTGAATTTTTTTTTGTGTTGAAAATTGCAGCAAAAGCATGTTATACATTCCCTTTAACCCTTTCCCCTCTGTCTTTGTTTCCAGACAACGCCACCTATTCTTCTTCCAGTTACCTTGGCAACAACGCGCTGACCATCGACTGCTTTATCTACTTCTTCAACTACGTGGGCTACGTGGTTGGACAGCAAACCGTGTCTGTCACCCAAGGTGACTGCCTGCCGACTAGCTACAGCTTCTCCGGCTCCCTCGGAGGGGGCAAAGACAAAAGTAAGAAGCTAATGATTGCTCAATACCAAGGGCCATATTCACGAGTCGGCCATTATTACTGAATTGAAAGTTAGGTAAAATCTTAATTTTTGGAACTTGCGAAGAGAGAAATGAAGTAAATTTATAATTAATTTCAGTCTGCTAAGTGGAATAATTTAACATTTGACAAAAAAATGACAATAAAATAAGGCCGCATTGTGCCTGCAATAAATAGTCTGGCGTCATCCCATTCAACAGTTAACACTAATGAAATACACTCAGGACTCGGCAAAAATGGCCAACTGGTGAATGAGACCCATGTCACTAATGGCCATAATAGTGCGCCCTCTTGCGGCACATGATCGCTTATGCCACAACAATGTCTTGATCCAAGACTATCCCCAACCCAAACTTATACTTGAACTTAACCACATCCCACCCAAGCCAAGACTTTTTAAAGTCTACATTAGTCGGGTGAAGAAATAAAACAATGACATTTTGGTATTTACTCATTGTCATTTTGTTTTATGAATACAGCCGACATCCTGACTACTACTGGATTCTACAACTACGTGGCTAGCATCTCCGACCCAAGCAAGTACTTCGAGGTGCCCGACTACTGCGCTTTGGTAAACCAACTCTATATTTTCTATTAAACCCACTTTATATGTTCAGAAATTTCTTGATATTTTCTTGGTTATACAATAACTCTACTGCACTAAAAAGAAGTCCCGGATCCCATGCGTTTCAACTACTTCAGATGCATGGATCTTAACAAAAAGTATAAAAAGGACACAAGGTCCATCGGCTGACGATACTACGTGCCCTGAATCGGTCAAGGTGGATCCAAACCGAGGCTATACTGGTTTTACGTAGGAACACAGTTTTGTCACGGTGCACGTGTACGTTTATAGTGCATGAAACAAAGTAAGCTTTGCAGATGTACAGCCTCACTTTCAAATCTCAACTTAGCCTCGCTTTCAAATCTCAAATCCAACCGTGCCATGGGCCATGAGGATAACTTTTTGTTGAAGTTTTGTTGATATTTTTTGTTCTTCTCTTATTAGGACAAGGCTAAGAGCTCCGAGATGTGGGATATGCTCCGCTACAAAGACATTCCCTTCAAGTTTTAAGTGCGCCGGACAGCTTCAATCCAGACGACTTCGGAATGGAATTGACGGTTGAGAATCCCCAAACATTTGCAAGGGGTTTGAACAATAATGAGTCCCTGTTTAAATTTGATGGCTCGGTAGGTTTAAAAACTGCACACTGATTTCCCTGTTTTTTTCCTCAAAGTACCCGTTACCAAATATTAATTCCAAATAAATATTTTACTTAGTGGTTTTATGTTGTTGTTTTTTGGGAGAAGTTTTCCATTTTAATTAATGTCGGTCAATTGAAATTAATTTTCTTTGCGTTCCACACAAAACTATTTTCCCCAAAGAGAAATTTGTTGAGAGTTCTTGCAGCTGATTAATGTTTAATGTTGCTAAGAGAGCAAAAAAGTGATGTGCCAAAAGTAAATTTTCATTAATTCCGAACTCTGAATAAATTATTGAGGCTGACAAGTGAGGAAGATTATACAAGCTTGGGCAGAAATTCCATGTAGACATGTTTTAAAGGTAATTAAATTGATTAATTAAACAAGGTGGAAGTTAACATTTGGAAGTGTGCATTTTAAATCCTGACTCAACGACATTTAAACAGGGATGTTAATATTAAGACCACGCGGTATATTTTTTTGCGCTCGCACGTAGTTAAGTTTCGCTTTTTATAGTTATTTGGAGACGATTCAACTTGTATCCAGCTTTTTTTTGTCTCGGATGATCTTCAAAAAGGTTAATGGCATTTCCCTGAGAAAAAGGGATCTTTGAGAAATTGTTAATTTTTTTGGAAATTACAGTTTTGAGAACCTGGCGAGACTGAGTTTTTTTCATCAAGGGGTGTTAACATTTCTTCTCCGTTGCCTAGCCTAGAAAGGTCGCTTGTGTTTACTACTATATATGCTTGCTTTAAGTTTTATTCTAATGGATTTAAGAACAAGTACTCTGCCGATGTCCCTTTTTAGGTTAAGACCTTTGCTGTAAACGCAAACTTACTTGATGAAAGTCATTGCATGTTTAATCCGAACAACCCAAGCAACAGCAGTTTCAGCAATGAAGCAAGTTCAAACTTGTTGAGCAATTGGTCAGAAACCGTCAAGAACCAGAAAAATATAAAACAATATGGTCGACGCTATGTTCAGTAACAATGACTTATTACTTAAAAAAAAAATAAAGAATTTAAATATTTCTGCAGGACAATCCTATTTCTTCAAAATGATACAAACGATTTTTGTAACGGATTGAATGTTTGTTCAGGCATTTGCAAGATTGATGATTTACTTTGACTTTCAGAATTCTGTTTCTTGTATGGCTAGAAATGTTTTTACAGACATTGTGTGTAGTTTTCCTCTAAACATAAACATCTATTTTTTATAATTCATTGACTTTGCAAATAAAGGTAGTTTAGTTCAAAAAAACGTTTCTTATTTGACTATTTAATTATTTTGTTTTCATCTGATTAAAAGTCACTCGGTAAATGGCCATCCATGGAAATAATCACCACGGTATTCACAAGCGAATTAAAGTCAAATTTTGAAAACAATACTTTTAATTATAACTTTATAACAGAATAGAGACGCGTTCTTCTCATTTTTGTTGTTGTGTTTTAGACATTGCCTCTGGTAATATTATTTGATTTCCAGGCGCAAAGCCATTTGCCATTTGCTTCCAGTGTTACCGGAAGTGTAATGATAATTGAATATAACTTGAAAATGAAAGCATTTTACTACAGTTGATACTTCATAAACAATAATAAGTGAGGAATGTCGTACACAAAAATTGGCATGATAGCGTCTTTACTTGAAAGGGCGCCCTCTAGCGCTACGTCGAAAGACGGATGAAACTATTGCTTTTAAAAACCATCCATTACATTTTTGCAAAATTGCCCCTAGATACTCTTTATACAACCTCGAAGTATTTTGCAAGGTTTCAGAATCGTGACATCATAGATCGGAAGTTATTGTATGGAGAATTAAAAAATGACCAGTTTTCTAATTCAAATTCATTTGATCCGTGTTAATTTACTATGTCGCGGTCTTCATAGCAGGTCTTCGTGGTGTTCTTGAATGACTTATTTATCAAAGTTTACGGTTTTCCGAAAACGGAAACAGTGTTAACGGTCCCCTACCCCTCCCCCCGAAAGCCCTCTTTTTAAAATCAAGGCACCCAAAGTTTGAAGAGGGCGCTCTATATACGGCTCTGATGCAGACCATTATCGACCGAGGGGCTGTTCCAATCCTTGGTGTTTATGGTGACATCTGACTCGGGTCCGTAGCCATACCTGGATGGTGGGTGGGGGACGTTGTTGTTCGCGGGAGATTTTCGAAGGAAACTCTTTTGGCCTATAAGTTCCGTTTTTTCGCTAATTTATTCGTGTCGTACGCGTTTTAAGGTAATGCGATGATTTTTCTTAGGAACATATTTGTGCAACTTTATACTCCTCTTAAAATAATGTATGAAAAGTATTTGACATTCCTTTTTGGTTAATTTTGTTGAAAGTGCACTTCTTATGCCTTACCGGAAAACTAAGGGCGTGGTTGCTATGATGTCAACTTAAGAAAGACACTGTTCAGTTTAGAGATTTTCTGTTCAAATTGTGAACCCAAAATTTGCCGATTGAAAACAAATGTGAGAAAGGGTTGCTTATTGGCTTTATTACCATGTTTTTTTCACAATAACGAATCACCAATTTTTGGAATTTTTTTTAACTTATGAACAATTTGGGTAAAAAAAATGTTAGGCCCCCCCCCCCCTCAAGCAAAATCCTGAGTGCGCCATTGTTCATTATTGGCAAAATAAAAATTGAAAATAAAGTTCAATGGGACACGAAGGTACATTGACAAGCCCTACATTAAACACATTTAAAACATTGCATAAACCCTTTAAGGTTGACGACACCCCCCCCCCCCCCCGCTACAGTCTGTGACCAAAGCTGTCTCACGCTTCGAGATTACTGCGCAGGCGCGAATCAGGATGGCCCAATGATTGGTTGCCCGGTCGGATCGGCTGAGCTATAACAGGCCCCTGGTGCGATGAGCTGCACCACTTGAGCTTGAGATTTACTGATCGCAAGTCAAGGCCTGGTCGCGAAGCCAACCCTGAGATCAGACAACTTCTGAACAAGCTGAGTTTGTACAACATGTCTGCCAAGACGATTGTGTTTCTGTTCCTGGTTGCCTTGGCGACGAGTCACGCCCAAGCGCCGGCAGGGCCGTGCTGTTATCCCGACCAGTTCGTAATCGCTTACGGTAGGCAGAATTCTTGGTCAACTCTTAAGTTTGTGGCTCCTATCAGGACTCAGTTAAAAATAACAACTCGTGTACGTGAATTTACTTTCAAAATGAGAGGTGGCTGTAGTGCAAATATCCAATAACCCTATTACTACTGAAGTCACGCAATGTTTACCGCAATGCACTGCGGGATCGAGTGGGGGTCGCCGCACCGCGCTCGCTATAGAAAACAACTAGTGTTGTGTATTTTTGGGTCTGGATTATTTTACTTTGCGCCACGAAAGCTTTCGAAAATGACACTGAAAAGTGATAAAACCTTTTCTCAATTAATGTAAACTGTATTTCAGGTCGATGATTCGGAGAAACTATAGGTATTTTGGCACGCGTGACTGTATGCACTGTGTACAGCGGGCAACCCATGCACTTGTACGCGGCAGGAAGTTTCGGGGAAACACGCTGCTGCAAGTGCAAGCGGTACAACCGGTACAACCTCAATAAATAGTTAAACCAAATAATGTGACCTGCCAAAGCACAATGAGGAATAACCCCCACCTTTGACTTTTCAAGTTATATACATCATGTTAAAGCGCTTTCCAATGATACAAAATGTATTTCTGTAGCTGAATTTATTCCAAAGATATGCCGCAGGAACTTCAACAGTGACCCGCCAATCTTCGCCAACCTCATTTCGAGAAAAACGGCTTTGAAAAAAAATACGCATTGCGCCACCAACGGCAGTGATAAACGTTCTTCAGTTTTTCCACTTTTGGGGTATTTTTTTCCCCAACTTGCATAGTGTGAATCTTGGATACCTTGACTACTCAAAAATACAAAAACAACCAAAATCAATTTTGACATGATTTTTCTACTATATCCGACTTCGGGCGTCGATTACTCAAACAAGGTTTTGGGGGACATTCCTCATTTTGCCTCAGTAGTACATCAAAATGGAAACGTTTAACCACGGAAAATACATACACAAAAAGACAGATCGCGCAAGTTCTGTGAATCAATTTGCAGAATTGTTTTTCTCCATCTAATTTTGTTTGGCACCTGGGACCGAGTTGACTTGGGACCGAGTTGACTCGAACAGACTTGGCTTGGGACCGAAATGACTCAAAACCATTTTGGTCCGGGTCAACTCGGTCCCTCAACTCGGTCCCAGGTGCCAAACAAAACTATGGAAAAAAAAATTCTGCAATTTGATTCACGTTGCGTGATCTGTCTTTTTATGTACGTATTTTCCGTCGTTAAACTTTTCCATTTTGATGTAAGCAGCGTGTTTCCCCGAAACTTCCTGCCGCATACAAGTGCATGGGTTGCCCGCCCGCTGTACACAGTGCATACAGTCACGCGCGCAGGGGCACAAATCCCGAGGGATGGGGTATATATCCCCCCCCCCCTACTTTTTGACCGGGGGGGGGGGGGGCTATTGAATCGTCTCCCCACTTTTTGTGATGAGAAAAAAAATGCGGATTTTGAGTTTGCTCGTACCCCCCGCCCTGCAAACAGGACGCTGGGATACGCCGATGAGCTGCACAGAATCTTGTGAAGGAAGTGGCCTATGACCTATGTATAAAGCATCTGGCTGCACTGAGCTGTTTAAAGAGGTTGTGGAATGCTGAAAGTCGTTTTGTTTTTTATATTTTTTTTTATTGTAGAGTAGACCCATATACATCATAATGACAAACTCCCATTCTTTTGTAATGTGCGTTTATATGTTTATAAAACTGAAATTCATCGAGTAATTTGTTGGTCGGCGAGCGCATAATTGAAATCAACAGTCGTCGGGTTCTTCGTAAAATCAGAAAAATCGTGACGTAATAAACAGGACTCGTTTATACAACGCTGCATAGGGAGTCCTGTCACGACTTACTATGTTTTGTTTGCTGCCCCCAACGACAACTTTTACACAAATTGCACGTTCGGGTCGAAACAGGACCTGAAAAATAGCTCTCAAAAAGTACCTTTTGTGTTCATTTCATGACAGAAACGATAGTCGTTTTTATTTCATAACACCTTAGGCTACATAATTATACCCGAAAAATGACGGAAATGTCTTCGAGCATTCCACAACCTCTTTAAGACCGCAGTTAGCCGTACACGCAAATGCTAACGGATGTGATTTCCCCCATGTGGACAAATTTTGAGCGTCGCATTATGCTATCTGACCGATCGTGATTCGAAACGGAGCCAAAGCAAGTGACGAGAATTGAAAATTTACAGCACAGATACGTTTAACAGATTTTCCTGCATTATTACGCTTTTCAACGAAATAAAAAGCGTTTATGAATGGGAATAAAGAGTGATATGACTCAGTCTTAACGGCCGTTTCAAACCTTGCCGGCGTGGCCGTGATGACGTTGCAGGTCACAGGTCACGCAAAATCTATCCAATCAGAGCGTGAATTCATCACAGTATCCCAGCGTCCTGATTGCAGGGCGCGGGGTACCGGCGAAGATTTTGAGGTATTGTCCGAACGTCCCAACAACTAAAATGTATTCAATAGCACTGAAAAGTGGAGAAACAAAGTACAAAAGCTTTAAGTATACATATTGCTATACATCTTTATTCTGAAGTGCCCCTAGTGAAATGTGGTGTCCAGCCCCTTCCCCCCCTTTCGAATTTGCACGGCTGGACAACTATAGGATTTTGGTCATCCACCATCCCCCCACTCGCCGGCACAGATTTAAGCCACTGCACGCGCGCTAATACCGCGTGATATTATATGGCCATCGTGACTACTAGCGTATGCATACCTAAATTCTCCGTTATTTTAAAGAATCATCGACCTGAAATACAGTTTACATTAATTGAGAAAAGGTTTTGTCACTTTTGAGGGTCATTTTTGATAGCTTTCGTGGCGCAAATTAAAATAAATCAGACCCCGGTACATAGTTTTCTGGAGCGAGCGCGGTGCGGTGACCCCCACTCATTCAATCCCGCAATGCACTGCGGTAATCATTGTGTGACGTCGTAATTAAATAGGGGTAAGGGCCTTAAAGGAGCTTCTTGACATGGATTTGTAAGAAGCGTCATTTGACGCTAGGGGTGCTATTTTATTTCATTTTTTTCTGACCATTTTTGGGCCGCAAATAATTCCAAATTGTATTGTTCCATAACTAAACTGGTTGGATTTTTGTTTGTTCTATGGACAGTATCACTCTAAAGTTGATATGTTGAATTGCTAGAAAACTTGCATAAAACTCAACAATTGTGACGGGGGAAAGCACCTTTTAGGTCCCTTCAATAGAGTTTGTAGTGTACTTTATATTAAAAACTACGATCAGATAAAAGTTTTGCTTCGGGACTCTGGTTTATTGCATTCAGCTTTTTTTGGGGGGGGGGGGCATGAAGGTAGTTGAAACCCAAAACCCACCCTGTCCCTGTACTCTTGGTTGAACTTGTAACCGTCAAATGTTTAGCACATTTCTGACGGAAGAAAAACAAAAGTCCCCAGATTACAAGGTTCAATCCAAACAAACGAACACACCTTTCCGCACGTAAGCACATCCGTCACGTTCATAATGGTTGGTTATTTCCTTCTGACCCAGAAATCTCAAATTCAAGTCCTTCATCTTTGTATCTTGGTATCAATCAGCTCATCTCTGGTACAGGAACTAAAAGTCGTGCTTTTACGATGGCTTCCGTCCCTGTCATTTAGCTGTTCCCTGTCAGCCTGCATTTACCCCCCCCCCCCTTGTACCCGACCTACTAATTGACTGACTGACTGACTGACTCCCCGCCCCCCCCGACTCCCCGACTGACTGACTGACTGACTGATTGACTGACTCCCCGACTCCCCGACTGACTCCCCGACTCCCCGACTGACTGACTGGCTGACTCCCCGACTCCCCATCACTTGTGAATTAGACTGTTTCCTGACTCACTGACTGACGTTTCACCTGAAGGCTATTTTATACTGCGAAAGCGAATGCGAATTTCTGACGTCACGGTCAGTTGTCCCGCTGGTCGGATGTGATATTGTGTGAATATTCATGCCTTTTTCCAGGTTCCCAGAGTGGAATCAGTCATTTTGGAACAGCAGCGGCTATCGGAATATTCGCGAATTCCGCATTTGACTTCACCAACAAGATGATTGGTGAGGAAGGTACTCTAGTCGTCGAGGGACAACCACCCAAGGACTACAAAGTCATCCAAGACTACGCGCAGGTACACAAAGCATGATGTTGTTTTACTGTTTGTTGAGTTTATTTCATTTGATATTTAAAAAATTAAATAAAAGATTTTGACGGAAGAGGGGGCATGACCAAAAGAGCTAGCATCCCTTTAAATCTAGATAATTATATATACTGGCCTCCTCCTGTCACCACGAACACATGCGAGCGAAGTTCACAGAAACAAAAGAAAAGTTTTCACTCTCAACCACCCACAGCACGCAATGTGTACATAGGTTTCCAGCAAAATTTGTCCCCAAAAAAGGATTTTTTTTCAGTGCAGTAGCTGGCTTAGTCCGAGGATCAGCCATTCACGTGACAGTTCAAGTTCAAGTTCAACAATTTTAGCTTCAAACCAAGCACCAAACATTGTGTTGCAATTTTGGTGCCCTTCAACTTAGCAGTTCCTCACCAAAGATAAACCTATGCAGTGGTGTTTTGATGAATGTGGACGGGCACAAGAAAACTTAAATGTCTTATTAAGGAGCCACAGATCAGAAGACACGTGACTAGAGGTGAATACGTTGTGCAGCGCCACGGTGCGAACGTCCAATTATCGCAGCATGCTAAGTTTATGCGACCCAGAGCGCCAACCAATCTGAATCGACTTTAAAACTGTGACGTCATTTCGATCAGTGTAGAATAAGCTGTTGACTATTCAACTTGGAGCAAGTTCGGGCAAGGACCATTAGTCGACTAATGGTTGATTTGTGACGTTACTTACGCCTGCGCACTAATAGCAACGTGCGAACGTATCTAGTCAAACGCGTAACGCAGCTGGTCAAAATGTCATCGCAAAACTTCTGGGTCCTGGCTCCCTGCTGTACGTTATGAATGCGCGCGGCTATTGATTACCAGCGATGCAACCAGCCCCAGTAGACTGGTTCCAAATAGTCGACTAGCGTAGTCAACCATCGTCGACTAGACAGAGTTCGGGCTAACTTTAGTCGAACTATGGTTAACCATTGGGTCAACAAAGTTCTTGCGCGAACTTGACATTGGCCGCCATGTTTTTGTAATACGACAACGGGTTGCCGCGAAGACCCGATAGAAGGCGCCCACTGAATGGTCAGAATCTCGAGGTCAAGGCGCAATTAATCGGCATCGAATCTGCTCGCATACCTTTTCCGCGAAAACATGCAGCTGGCTGCGGTCTGAATAAAAAGGTCACACCACCATCACTTTGCACAGTTTTACACCAAGAAGGATCATGCATACATTAATCAAATTAGGTTTTTGCCCTTCACCGACGTTTAAACTGTGTATACTCAGTGCATACATTATTTTAATGATCCACGGTCAGGAACGTATTTTTCTGTTCAAACTTTTTTTCCGGGACGAACATGAAATTAAGCCCTTTTGATTGCGAAAGATTTGGAGTGAACGTTATGGACATGTTTGAATCAATGGTGAGAAATCGTCGCTCTAAAAACGAAAATTTAGATACGTTTCTGACTATACCTCGGGAAGTATGTGCACAACATCCAGGTACGCACCGCGCGTACTCTGCACCCTCCATTCAGACGAAACACAAAGGGTCGTAACAATACACCTTGGCGGATGCTCTGAGCACCGCGCACCGGGCACCGCGCTCTGCAACTGTCAGGCCTGACCCTCAAATCCTCCAACTGAGGAAGTTGGGCCTTATCAGTGAAAACAAGATCTCCGTTTTGGATATGAAATTGGGCAAAAGGTGAGTTATCATTGAAAATTGGCTAGGGCAAATCCTGGTTCATGAACTATTCAAAACATTGGGGTCTAGTTGAAGAAAAACAACCCCAAACATTCAGCCCCAAAAGCGGTTATATTAGATTTTTCTGATATTATCCCACGCATGCTTTTCTTGGGCTTTGACATTCATTAATGTTTTAGCTGGTATTTTGCGCATATATTTAACTTTACCGTTCTTCGAAAAAAGTCACATTTTTGAACGAAGGATGGAGTATTAATTAACACAGACGGTAAGTAAGGAACGTGCAGCTCTATATAATGTTCTATTGTGATTTAGTATAAGCCATTGAGGTTTATAGTGTAAGCGCCATTGCATAGCAGATAGAGCGGCGTAATTGGTCAAACACGTGCATGAGGTTTCAGGTTCAGGATTGGACCCTTTTTCTTCTCCAATTTTTTTTGACAGGTCTGGGGTCCCAGCTCTGTCACTGGATCCGCGCCTGGGGTGTCTGCTGCCCATGCAGCCCCACCCCACCTAACCCTATCCCCATCCCACCCCATCCCTAACCGCACACCTGAGCAACCGTGGCGCACCAAGGATTTGGCTGGGGGGGGGGGGGGCTCACAATTTTTGTTTCAAATTTTTTAGAAGTTAAATTGTTTTTTTTTTTTGGGGGGGGGACTATTTTGACGTTGGTGCCACTTACACCGTATTCTACTCGAAAATAGGCCACATACATATCACCAAGGTCAAATCGTGGGACTAAAACAAAAGTTAACCAGGTGCGCCACTGCTAAGCAACCCAACGTTGTTATATGGCACTGGTGGTCCGTGACTCGGATTAGGGCGGAAGTTGCAACCTCCTCCACTTGCTCCGTAAAAGCCAAAAGCTTTCCCCTCGTGTGCTAAACATGGTTGACAGAAGGATTGACAGGTTGTTGGTTATCGAGAGATGTTGATCTGAAGAACATTCTTATTACCCGGTAACAGAAAAAAATAAAGAAGTTGGGCGTCAAGAAAGAACACAGTTAGCACAGCAGTATAGCTTCCACAAAACATCCTACGGCAGGTTTGCACAGCATGTTATGTTTGTTATGCTTTGTATTTATTTTATTCATTTATTAATTATGTCTGACATCTGCAGGGAGTTCAGTACACCATTGATCGCGGTGAATCCAAGTGTGACAAAACTAAGTTGGCAGGCCCCATGCAACACTGTGTTCCCGGTAAGTGTTGAGTCACCAAAAATCGTGGACCTAGGACAAAAGGGTTAGGGCACAAACAATACTAAAAAGTTACAGTACCAAGGAATGAGGATTAGGAACAATTAACCTATTGTGGTAGAATCGCGACAACGCAGCTTGTGAAATATTGTCCAATTACATGATAGACGCGGAACGCGCAAAACCTGAGACAAACAAAAGTTAACTACAAAACTTCACAGGGTTGTTTAAGGGGCGTGGAATTTTCCGTCACTTGCTCAGGCTCCGTTTCGAATTCACGAAGGGTCAAAATGCATATTATGCGACGCCCAAAATTTGTCCACATGGTCCGCAGTGAAAAAGAAATCACATCCAGTATGGAATGTGTACATTTCTATGATAAAGTTTTCGGATAGCATTTGCGCGCATTGGCTAACTGCGGTCTTATAAACAGCTGCAGCCAGATGTCTTTATACCACCCCGCCTTCCTTCACAAGATTCTGTGAAGCTCATCAGCGTGTCCCAGCGCCCTGTTTGCAGGGCGGGGGATACGAGCGAACGGCCGGTTGGCCGATTTGCCCCTCAACTGTAAATGTGGTTCTGGATCTTCCATTTTTGGCTCTCTTTTCTAGGTGGAGCTATCTTCAACGCGACTGCTTACCTTGGGGACAAAAAGTTGAACATCGACAGCTACTACTATGTCATACTGACACCTCAGCAGCAAGGCCGATTGGCATTGTCGGTGACCCAGGGTGACTGCCTACCAAATAGTTACAGCTTCACTGGAAAGGCCGGACCAAGTAAGTGCATGCATAATATAGAGGCCTTTCACAACCTCGTCCCCGATTGATGTACGAACTCAAACTAGGTTTTGCCCTTCACCGACGTATAAACATTGTATACTCAGTGTGTTACCTCCCGAGTTAAAGTTGGAGACAAAACACTCGGATGAGACTCGAACCCACGACCTCCTGCTTTCTAGTGTATTCGTCTTACCACTCGACCACCGAGCTAACGGGATCGGTTGGCTGGTTTAAATCTGATGTACATAGCAGCGGGACCGCATTAACTATTCACAAGATGGAATGTTTGCGTCGGGGTGATGTACGATCTGCTTGCGCCAAGATGTTCCCCAGCAGCCGGTGCGCATGCAGTGACACCAGTAAATAAATTGCCGTAGACACTATAAATGATAAGTACTCTCACTTCCAAATGCGGGCCAATTATCTACAACTCTCGAAAGTGTTCGAACCACATTTTAAGCTGTATACTCACTTCCACCTTTTGTTTAATTTATTGTGGGTGTTAGTCGATGTCTCGATGACTTTTGGATGATCTTCCCTCCAAGGATTATTGTCACACCAAGGGCGGATCGGGGGGGGGGGGGGAGGGGGCCATGCCCCCCCCCCAAAAAAAAACGAACCCAATTTTTTATGTGACGTCGCAATAAAGGCAGGCACCCCTTACACTACCATATGCATCCTTTCCTACCAAAAAATGGTTAAAAATGGTCAGAAACTGCCTCAGATCGCACCACAGAGCATCTAGAATTAAAAAAAAAATCGGGGCCCTTAATCGCGCCCCGAACCTCACGCCTTAATTTTGGGACCCACTTTTTGGGGGACCAATTTTTTTTGCACCCCCCCCCTCCTCAAAAAAAAGTGTTCTGGATCCGCCCTTTTGTCACACGAAAAGTAGTCCTAAAGCCCGTCGCCATATTGAAAAAGGATCCTTCCGCTCTATTGAAAAAGAGAACGTTTCCCGTCCAGTGTTCTTCACATTGTCAGCAACAAGCTTAAAGTCTGGTTCAGATCTGGGACACCTCCCTGGTTTTGTTTGTTTTAGCAAAACGCCGATTAAGTGCCAGGACAAACAATACAAAACTAGGATAGGAAGAGATATAAATACACTGATAAAATCAGTTGCAGGTGCACATCCGTTGTGAAATGTAGACAGGTTTTTTCTCCGGACACTTGGCCTCTTGGCCTCCGGCTGGCTACGCCTATGCAGGAAAAAAGTAGCACCTGCCTGCTTCCCCCCCCCTTCCCCGCCCCTCCCTTTGACAACTACCCCTTTCCCTTGAGCCATTGGTGGATCATCAGGTTTTCAGGTTTCAGGTTTATTTCCAAACTTAAGGTCAGTTGAATACTGTATCGGGCAAATTTCCTCATTTAAAATGTTTTACTGTAAATAATTCATCCTTCCGTCTTTTTGGCGCTTGCACTATTGGATGATGTATAAAATAAATAAATAAATAAATAATCAGATGAAGCTTATTTTGATGGATCCGCCCTGGATGCAAACACAAACCCTTCTCATTTTGTTGTTGTCCAATTTGCTTCTGTACTCTCAGCCTCCATTCTTACCGTCACTGGCTATTTCAACTACGTGCAGGGCATTGCCGATCCTTCCGCCTTCTTCGATGTGCCTGACTACTGCCCTTCGGTAAACCTACGTTTAATGCTTTTGAAATACCTCATTTCCCGTCAGAAAAAAAAGAAAGTTCAACGATTCTTCAGACTTTCTTTTATATACTAGATTTTCTTGTAACTAATAGGCCTAGTCAGTGGCGAAGCAAGGATTTTGTCGGGGGGGGGGGACATCTTTGTTACAATAGAGGGCGCTGTTTTTTTCTTTCCAATTTATTTACAGTTCATAAAGCCGTATAGGGTCAAGGAAATTAAGGGGATTAGAATCGAGTACAAATAGTCAACTTCACTACACTTCTGTTTCATTGCTCAAAAAAGCAACTTTAAACAGACATTGTCTTGTCGTAGGATGCGGCAAATTTCATAATTTTGTGTATATGTGGGGAACCTGGGGAGAGGGGGAGGGGGGGGGCAATGGGAATTTGTAGTCCCTCCCCGCCCCCCCCCCCCCGGGCTACGCCACTGACAGTAGTAAGAAGGTCTACAGATTGGACATCCCCACTGAAGCAGCCAAAATCACCCAGAGCAGCTATAAAGCTATCTGCATTTGGCGATCGGATTTTGTGAAAGACACTTCTTTTTTTTCGAGTGGAACAACCCGAGCAAGACAGAAATTAAAATAGCACGAATATTCTATTTTGGTTTTCTGATAGTCTGAAATTAGAATGTAACCCTTGCAGTTGCATAGCGAAGCTCTTGAAATATTTTAGTCCCCCCCCGTTTAATTAACTTAATCTCTTTTGAAAGGAATTTGTTTATTGTTTTTCGATACTTAGTATATCACCGCAGAATCGGAGTTGCTGAAACAGCTGAAGTACCAGCGTGTCCAGTATTAAAGGACAACGATATAGTTGCGCCCGGTCGACCACAAGGAACTTGAACTGACAGTGGAGAGAATCGATGATTTTGTTGCATGGTGTTTAAAGATGCTGTATATCTTGTTGTTTATGAAACAGAAAAGCATCAATGCATGAATAAGCCCTTTTTAAAGGTAACGATTTAGTCACTTTAATGTAGGTCTATATTGCTTAGCATAATTATGGTAAAGATGTGGAATGGTCGGCGTTCGGCACTTGCAATCAACTTTTAAGTTGGACCGTGCGAATGCAGGGACAGTTGAGTTTGGCATAGCTATAAGTCCGATTCATATACATTTATGAGTGTCGTATCTAGCGCAGGGTGGGAGGGTGACATTCATTTTGCTCCCTATCATTCGTATTAAAAACAGAAGTGTTACTGAACGGGCGTGAACCATAATCGGGCTCATATAATAGCGCCCCCTTTGAAGTGCCCGGCCTCCATTCAACTTATTTTTCGTAAAAAAAGGGGAATTATTTTGGCATTTAAAGAACATTCTCTCCCCTGGGATCGAAAACTTGGATACTACACTGTCTGGGACTCGTGCTGGTGAATAAGAAACTAAAAGCTCAGTAGAACAAACTTAAAGCGGTATTATTGTCATCAAATATAAGGTACATAACTGCTGGTTCGTAATTTTGTGTCATATTTAAAACCACATGCTGCTTGGCCCAATTTCATAGCGCTGCTTAACAGTAACAGAAAGGTTGTTTACAGCAGAAAATTGTGCTAACCGTAAAGGGCTCATGCATTGTGACTTTCTTAATGATTATTATCACTGAAAATGCACTTTTGTGTCCCATTATTTGTACCTTGTTTTTTAATTTTCGTTTTTCCAATTTGAAGGGTCTTTTGATGCCTTTTTGTTTTGACAAATTTCCATATTCATGAGCCAAACTGTGATGTCATTCCGGGCAGAAACATCAATGTTACAGCTATTTTGGCACAAAAAGTTGCTGGCTATCTTGATATTTTGCTTTTATAAAGTATCTTTTCTTGGTTGGTTCGTTGTTGTGCAAGTACATGGCAGTACAGTAGCCCAATTAATGGGCAAACCTTTCTCACAATTAATGTTTTCAATGAGCAAATGTTGTGTTCACAATTTGCACAGAAAACCCCCAAACCGAACAGTGTCTAATTTCTGAAATGACATCTTAGCAACAACGCCCTCAGTTGACCTGAAAAGCATGGACAATTTAAAATGCTTAAAGAAGTGCACTTTTTAATAGAATTAACCAAAAATGGAAGTCGAATAATTTTCATATGTGTTCCTCAGAAAAATTCGCCGCATTAACCCCTATAGGCGCCATGTCAAGGCGTGAATGTGCCAGAGGTTGCGCGCGAAATTTCTATAGAAAAAAAATACGTCACTGATATCATTGGCTTTTGCTTTAATTTTCAGAAATGAACTATTTGAGGGGTTAGTATAATAGATCAAATTATTGTTGCACTGACATGTTTGAAGTTTTGTGTTCGGAACTGCTGGAAAAGCCAAGAAAAACAAAAATGTTCAAGTAGTCTGGTTCCCTGACTCCACTGAAAATTAAATGGATCAATAAATTTATAGATGCCGGAAAATTGTACGGTAAGGGAACCAGTCTAGCTGGCCTGCCCCCATTCATGAACATGCAACCAAATTGGACTGAAGAAAAAATGGTAAATTTGGAGCAGCAGTTGAAAAATAGTTTGGTTTTTCCAACGGTGGTCGACTGACCACCGTTGGAAATGTATACAAAAATACTATTCACTTGAAAATGACTTCACACCAGGTGCCGTAATTTTACAGGATGCTTTAGACTGTCATTTACCAACATCCTGTAAGGTATTTCGTAAAAAACTTGGTGGTTTTATTTTTCGATGCTTGCAAATGTTGTAATTTCCCTTTAAGCAAATTTTTCCTCTGTGGTTAAACGGGCTTTTGATGTGCTTACTGCTTACGGTCTCCATGAAATAAACGGAAGCTCTGGTAGCACAAAATCGGCAGTTAAGCGGCGCTATAAAATTCGGGCCAGATATCTAATTTTGACGTATCAACAAAATTACGGACTTTCCGACAATGTTATACGATATGCGTAGGCCTATAGCTAATGCTTGAATGTTTGTCGCTTGCTTTGCTATTTAGAATATGCTAAATGCTGAAAAACAAAACAAAACTGTTACTATATCCAAAAGTGTGTCAAATCAGGCTTTCCTATTGGGTTGTACCACCGACTTCTCGATCGCAATATTGTGAATAATTGTAGAATTACCAAACAGTGTTAGGTTTGGTAGTTCGGTTTGGATTAAGTTTGGTGTTTCACTTTGTCAGAAAAGTCATCATCGGTCTTGACTTCCATAAATGGTTTCACGGTCCTATAGAAATGCAGATCGTGTCAATGTTGCGTAGAAATAGGTTGAAAAGTTCGTTTTTCGACGATTACTTAATTTTGCAAACTCTTTTTTTATTTAAATGAGAAATATAAGTTGCAAAGTTACTATCACTAACGTTCATGAGCGTTATAGAAGGCAATAAATTGAGTAAAGCATCCTTGCGTTGTATACCTGTCTAAAATCATTTCATTTGCTTCACCGATCCGATACGAATAAACTTTCGCTCGTAATAGCAACGCTTACATGCCAAGGCTAAAGACCTCTGAATCTGTTTTAAACGGTAAACTGTTAAATGGGATGCTGACAGACTATGTTATAATTGGAAGGCGCTCCAAACCTCAGTTTTTTTTTCTATTTCTTTTTTCTTCTTCAAGTGTGGCTTAAAGTTGGTTGGCCTATACACCTTTTTTTTCCCTTCTATATTTTGATATTCGTTTCCGAACGAAATTGAAAGGAATTATTATAATGTCCCATACCAAATACATTTCCTTGTTTGTTTTGCCGTGGTTTATCTGGCGTGCTCCAGTTCAGAAATCGCGCACACTATTCAGAACGACTTAGGATGGTCCCGCTCTTAATTCAAAAGTTGAACATAATTAATTGATTACTTGTTGTGGGCCTCTTATTTTCGTGCGATGTCTCATTGTAAAGCTCTTTACTAATGTAATGCTAGGAAATTATCAATTCAATTTGAATTTTTTTTTTGAAGGTGCCACACCCCAAAAAGCACGTATACACCAACTTTAAAACATTAGGATATGTTTAATCACAACTGAATTATTCATCAAAGCATAATGGTATATTTAGGGCCTAATTGCTATGATTTTTTTTTATTTCATTACAGCTCCATGCATGTCTATATATACTCCAACTAGTGCCAAAAAATAAAGAGTTTATCTCGCTCTCAATTTAATATGGCCGACTCGTGAGTAAAGTCTATTTGAATAGGTTTTGTTTTCAAAGATCATCAGTTCCGCCATGCGGTCGATGCGTGCCATGGGCTTTGTTGCCAGCAGTTTTTTTTAAGGGGGGGGGGGAGGGGCAGATCCAGGATTGTTTGCAAAAAACAATCATTGGCCGTGGAATAATCCAATAATCGTGGCATGCACATCATATCACGATTGGGGGCGCTGTTAAAAAAAAATAACGCCACACGCAATGTCACGAGATCAACAACGCATAGTACATGCGCACGTGATAGCAATGCATGACCTTGTCAAGGCTGGTACCGTTGTACTTTGTGCAGCATTCCTTAGTAATATGGTGAATGGTATTCTTGTTGAACACGGAAAAACATGGCGGTGAAAGCAGTGTTGGTTTTGATTCTGGCTGTGGTGGCAACCAGTGTGGCTCAGAAGAAATGTTGTTTCCCTGATCAGTTTGAGACATTAGATGGTGAGTCCTGGCGTCTGCCTTTATTGGAGGAAAGGAACACAAACTTTCCTTCCAAAAGTTCCAAGATGCTGCTCCATGGCCTCATGCTCAAGGAGCTGAGGCGCATGGAGGATGGGCAATGGGAGGAGAAATTACCATGGGCTGGCATGGAGCATATTCCTCCATGGAAATTGGAATTAACTTAAGTTAAGTTAATTCCAATTTACAGCCTCTTCAATACAGTATTGTGAGCCACGGTCACATGTGATCTGTGCTAAATTTCCTGAAAATTGTGTTCCCAAATTTGAAATGTCGGCTGTATCTTAAAATTAGTTAAATAGACATCTAGTTTTTCTACAATTTCAAAACTGTTTGAGGGCAAAGTTGGAGAAGGTTTAATTGTCCAAATATGGAGCTGCAAATGCCAGTATAAACTAGATCATTTATGTAACTTTTCCTGATTATTCGCATCTAGGTTCCATTGAAAAACAAAACAGACTAGATTTCAAATTTGGACAACATGGACATGGTCATGGACCGGCCTAGCCCCATAAATGTGGCCTATTTACTGGACTGCCTCCGTAAACGTAGGCCACACATCCACATGTACAATAATCGTGTCGACTTTGCCAAATTTTGATTTTCACATTTAGGCTTAGTTTGTAGGTTTTTTTGCTTTAGAAGCATACTCACCCTCTTTATAGGCTAATCAGAAAGTGCTGCCTTTTTCAGATGTATATTTTTCGTGAAATTTCCAGATTCATTTTTACACGTTTGCGTATCAAAATTTCAAAATGAAATTTCACAAAAATTAGACATCTGAAAAAGGCAGCACTTTCTGACTAGCCTATAAAGAGGGTGAGTATGCTTCTAAAGCAAAAAAATCCTACAAACTAAGCCTAAATGTGAAAATCAAAATTTGGCAAAGTCGACACGATTTTTGTACATGTGGATGTGTGGCCTATGTTTACGGAGGCAGTCCAGTAAATAGGCCACATTTATGGGGCTAGGACCGGCCTAGTCCGAGTAACTTGGACCCAACTTATCGCCTTTTTTAACATTTGGATATGGTCTGGCGATAGTGGGGTCCAAGCTAATACCGCGACCTGGACAACATCATCCTGTCACTGTCCCAAAAACCAACATTTTCCAACAAAAAACATCAGATTTCACCTTCAAAACGGCCTCCAAATTACTAGATATGCCACCTGAGGTACAAGTAGACATCGATAATTAAGATGGTTGTATTGAAGTTTACTTACGATCCGGAAAAAAAGTGAAATTTTCCGTTCATATCGGAGAGCTCCCCTTGCGATCTTGAACACGTTAAATTTCCGATCGTGTTTAATGTTTGAACGACGCGATTTCTTCTACATGCCCAGCGTACATTCGATGGTCCCCGTATCCCGAGTGCGATTCCGTTACCGAGCGCGCGCGATGCATCGATTATGATAATGAGTCACGTTTGTAAACACATACATGTGCATTTCGAACTGTAAAAGGGAATCGGGAACCAGCTTGAACTGGTACCCGCCATAAAAGCTGCGCTAGTTCCCGACTCCCTATTATCGTTTGAAATGCACATGTAATTTACAAACGTGATCCAGTCTACTCATTATCATAATCGATGGTATTTGACCTCAGTTACTGATTGGATGAGATAAACATTTCCGAAAAGTGAAGAAAAGACAGTTTGCCTATGGTACATGCATTGTTTGGAAGAAATCAATAATATAGAAAGTGGTTTAAAAAGGTTTACACATGTGCTGTTGTTTTTGTTGTTAATTTCACGATATTAGTTAAATACTGGAAGAATTATCCATGGAACCTTGATGTGAGAATCATGTCTCGAGTGCTGATTTAGGGATTTTGTACATGAGAGGCTGCAATTCAAAATATGAAATGTCAACTTTTGATGGGACTTAAAGGGAAAATACATGTATAACATTTGCAAATATCAAAAAACAAAACTACCAAATTATCCTGACAAACTTAATGAATGACAGTCTAAAGCATCCGGTAAAATGTTGGCAGCTGGTGCGCTGTCATTTTCAAGAAAAGTGGTATTTTTGTATTGATTTCCAATGCAGAATTCCAATGCAGCCAGCAAAATTCTACCAAATTTTCATCGGGCAAAGACAAGGCCCTCAGTATTTCACCAACCAATTTTGAAGTCTCAATTTAATTTTTAAAGAAGACTTTTCTTCCATATTTTGCACATCAGAGGAAAGTCATGTGATTTCAAATTTGAAGCTAAAGAAAGACTAGACTGGTACATGTCCCACCATGGTCCAATCATGCCAACTGTTTAAAAAGACAGACCTCTTCATTAGTCTGGTGGCTGGCTATGGAGAAATATGTAGAAATAAAGACTAGTACCAGACATGCCGGATGTTTCCTTGGCACAGTTGATTGATGCAGTACTGAAGGGTTGTTGGACTGGTTGTTTCAGATGCCAGTCTATTTTCTTGTTTTGCATGTTTTCAATAGCTTCAGTTTTGGGATGCTCATACGCAGTATTGACAGTCCTAAATTTTTGGACTAAGATTCACTCTGTTTTCTCAAAACTTTATCTACAGAGCTGAAATTTCGGAAAGATTTCCATATAAGAAGTTCACTAATTTTCCTCTGTATTGACTAACAAGCCCCCAGATAGCAATTTCATGTCATCAAAGTCAATTTGAGCAGTGAGAAAATACAAACATTTTCTTAGAAAACACTTAGAATTTTTCAGTCCACTCTCATAGGGTTTGTACACAGGGTGTTGAGTGAACTTACCGGCTTCTTAAGATTTTGTTAATTGTGTTGCTTCCAAAAGCAAACTAAAAATGCACAAATGCAATGATACTATCATTAACTTATTAGTCATTCGCTGTTTCATCTCCGTAATTTTCAGGCCAGGTGGTTGGCACATTATCGCAAGGCTCATTTGTGGCCATCATCGAATCCGTCCAGCTGGCCTTTGACTACATGAACCAGAGAGCTGGCCAGATCGCCTTAATTCAGGATGGATCGATGGTCTACGAGTACCATATCATTGTGGACTACTCTAAGGTGAAGTTGCTTACCTAGTACCTACATGTACTTATTTGAAAAATAAATCATGATTTCCAGAAAGAGAAGAGAGATTTCTGTACATAAAAATCGATGCTAGATTCTAAACAATTGTCAGAAATAAATTAGTTACGATGACAAGTTTAGTCTAGGGGCTAGACGTTGTTATGGTTTGATACACCATAACCCGCTGCCGTGATAACCAGCCACGAGAGGGCGCTATCACGACCAACCACGGACTTGTCAGTAGCAACATCTAGGACATTTTCTAAAATCCCCCCCCCCCCTGAAAAATGGGGGAAACTAGGGCGCATGCGCGACTTCTGCTGGCAATAATGTCCATTTTCTGTCCCACGTATACACACAACAAAAGAGCTGGCCAGTGAAGTTTCACAAAAGTCTTGCTGCAACTTTTATACAACTGGAAGAAATTTGAGAGTTTGCTTTGGACCTTCTATGAATTTTTTTGAATCGTGTGCTGCATATTAGACCAAACAGGTGCGCGCGCATTACACATCCAATAGGAATTGGCATGGACGTTGTTCCGATGGGTTTGTGGGTGATATTGGTTGGTCGTGATAGTGCCCTCTCACTGAGAGTCTCAGGTCATCGCGGCGGCAGGTTATCGCGTATCATACCATAACAACGTCTAGACCCTAGACTATCACAAGTTTTGATTAGTACATCAGATATCCTCTTGAGCAGAGATGTTAAGAGGTTGGGAGACCACTAGCATGGTGCTCGATCAGTGAAGCACTGTTTCAGTATTCTGCCGGCTGATGGTTGAATTAATCCTGCAGTCAATTTTGTGTGTTCACCCCAATATTGATTTAAAATTCAAAGTTATGTTGATGAGAACTCTACTTACTCTATGTTAGACATGTTAGACATGGGGTTAACCTCCATATCTCCTACGCTGTAAACACCCATTGGCACATTCTTTGCAGTGTGCACTGGAACTTTCAAGCGAATTCAAGGTTTATGTTATTTTGTAATGCTGGCTTTACTCCACCTGTCTCCAAGGGTGGGTCCAGAACCAAATCTTAGAGGAGGGAGGGAGGTGGGGGGGGGGGGGGGCAATTGACCAGATGCCGCAAATTAAAAAAAAGGGGCTGGGGTGAGGGGGGGGGGGGGGAGCTGAACACCATTAGATTCTTGAATCTTGGGGTGCTCCAATTGCCGGATCACGATCAGATGGGAACGCAAAAGGTGGATCTGATCCGGCAATTTGACCTGTTAACATCCGCCCGGTGCACGAGTGGCGCGAAAATGTTGCGGTCTCATGAACGAAGAAACACGTTTTCAGGCGTGTAGCTCATGTGAACATTTCCAGCGTATACAACATGCACAATAAACAACCGCTGAAGTACGGGCTAGCACCGCGCATGCAAAAGCGCACGTGGTATCCTAAAACTACACTATAGGCCTTACTTTTGTTACGTGTTCGTCCATTACTAAACCTTTTTCATTCCTGAAATTTTACTTATTTTTCCATCCATAAATGACTCTGAGTCCGCACTCACCAAAAGACTTCACTTTGGCACAGAATCATTGAAAAGCTTACGAGTATGCGATGAGAATAGTGCCGATAACGCGGTACGTACGGAGGTGACAAATCTGAAGTATTGATTATAGAAAATTGGAAAATGATGTCGTAGTACATCATGTGACCGTTTCTAACCAATGAGAAGCTTCAGAACCAGGGAATCCCTTATCGATGCATTGGTTTCTGCCGTGATGTCACACGTGAGCGGCTCTGTTGGATTTCACCTTTTAATTTATGCACGCACGGATCCTCTACGGATCCGTGATTTATGTTGGTGAATTCGCGTAATTTTTGTCTGTGAATTCTGATAGTGCTGTTTGAAAACTGACCCATCCTGGCCTAGCATGCAACCATGCAACAATGGCACTCCCACAGAGCGCGCGTAATTCCGAACTCGGTGACCTTTCGGACCCAACATTTCCGTACGAAAAGGTGGATCAAGCATAAGTGGGAACGCGACTTGCGGTTTCGTTGCGGTAAGATAACGATCACACCAAAATGCCGGATCTTGATCTACCTTTTTCCAATTCAAGTGGGAACGCGGTGTATGTGTGAGTACAGCGCAGGCCAGGTATGCTCGGAATTTTCTGGGTAGCGCTGCCGAAATTCCCAGGACTTGGTCTGGTTGATCTTATTGATGGAGACATCTATCACTGTGGTGGCTTTACCGGGCTTGTCAAAGAACAGCGGTACTATTAGGGGAATAAAATCCTCTTATCCAGCCTTGGACCAGGACTAATAATAACTTGAGCTTGTGAATTTTCACTTGATTTTTTTGTGTGTGCTTGACTTTCAGCAAGTGGAATACATCATCAACACTCAGATCAAGACATGCCAAATGCTCCCCCTCCCTGCAGGAACTAACATGTCCCACTGTATTCCAGGTGAGTTTCAGAAGATTGGAAACGTGGACCTGGGTGAGCGTTCCTCATCATTTCTGATAAATTAATTTCACTTTTGCTGAATACGTATTTCTAAAGATGCATTGCATTTGCGGCAGCCATCTTTCACATGTATGTTTTTTCTTTGGTGTTAATTTTCAACTCTGTATACCCAAGTCTACCCTTGCATATACATGTACCTGTTGAGCAAAAGAACTCTCCTCAAATGTGGCTGCAGTAAAAGTAAAAAGTAAAGTCTGTCACGAGCCAATGTGGCTCAACAGGCCAGCATTTATCTCCGGCTTTGGTAGCATGAAAGCGAGAATATTTCTGTTCCACCTGGATGGGATGGTAGTCCATCGCAGGTTACTCCCCAGCTAATGCCGGTACCCATTTGTACTCCTGGGTGGAGAGAGGCAAGTGAGGATGAGGTGGCTTGCCCAAGGACACAACATATGGACAACAGCTGGATTCGAACCACTGACTTTCTGATCATGAATCTCAAACCCTAACCACTTGGCCACACTTCCCCAAATGGCTACAGTGCTAACAATCAATTCGGGCGATTCACAGTGCAGTGTGCCTTCAAGAGTTTGCCACGGAAAGTTCATTTTTCCCAGTGTATTGTGGGAGATGGTCGACAAATTCGCAGCGCGGGACATTTGAAATTGTTAGTTTTTCCATCAGTAGTTTTGTAAGTGTATGATTCGAGTATCTGTTTGCCCTTTTCTTTTCTTTTTATCAATATCATGTTTTTTGGAAGGCGGCAGAACGCCATGATTCAATCTATAACAAATTATCTCAAGTTGTCCACTGACGCTCATTAAAATGGGCCATGTTTTGTCGACTGTAATCTTGAAAAGTGGACTCTCCATGGCAAACTCTTGGTGGCGCACTGCATTGTGAATCGCCCGAATTGCAGTGAAAAGTGAATGTGTAACGTCAGGGTTATTTTTGGCCGAATAACACCCGTCTTGAAAGACAAAATATTTCAAGCACATTTTAAAATTAAGTCAAACACTCCGATTCCCTGCAACAAAGTGATATTTGTTATGATTACAGGTCGTAGCAAGCAGCCAAGTTCAAGTACAACACAGACTAGATCTGTTGGGTGCTCTGTTGGGTGTAGTGTCCCTCCTCTGCCCAATTCTCGAATTGGTCGAGAAAAGAACAAATCAGTCATTTTGTCAATGCTTTACTCTGGTTTTTGTTCTTGGTTTCCTAGATGATGCAGATTACGTCAGCACATATTACCTCGGGGACTACCTGATGATGGCAGACTCCTTCTCTTATGCCGTGAAGGAGGGAGCATTGGAAGGCACGGCCATTTTCTCTGTCTCCAAGGGTGACTGCATCCCCACCAGCGTCACGTTCATGGGTGCACAGCAAGGAAGTACGTCAACTTCTTCTTTGGATGCTTTCTACCTTTTTTTGTGACTTAATATTTTCTTTTATAATTTCAAGCAGTCTACACCTTTTATACATACCAGGGCCAGTTTTATAGTGCTGCTAAGCACACAATTTTCTGCTAACAGAGCCTTCGTCTTTTTCATGGAGAGTGTAAGCAGTAAGCACATTAAAAGTACGCCTAACCCCAGACAAAAAATTTGCTTAAATTAGTGATGTAACAATAGAAATCTCCATGCGCGTGCAACCGTTAGCACATCCAAGTAATGAAATAGAATTTGGATGAAATAAGTGAGCACGATATTCTGTTATAGTTAGCACAACTTTTCTGCTTGCTCTTAACCCTAACCTGCCCAATTCTTCAAAATACTCTTTGCAAAATGGAGGATTTTGCAGAATTGAGGCTATATGGCAAAAATGTGAGGCTGATTTTGAAGGATACACTTTGTCAAGGTCTTGGGTGGGAGCTTGTGTTGTTTATGCTCAGCTGTGCATACATTTAGGCCTACAATATAGATTACACTTGAAATCCTCTGCACTGCTCCAGGATGTCACTGGCTCTGCCTCAACATATTGACAGTGATTGCTGGAGGATTTTGTAGGATTGAGGAAGTGGTCACCCCTCCAAGGACCACATTCAGGGAATAAAAGAGGATTTGCAGGATGGAGGCTGTATGCAATTTATGGAGGCAGTTTGAATATTTTGCAAGATTGAGGTTGCATCTTGGCCAAAATGCCTCTAGAGGGAGTTAGGGTTAAGCTGCTTTATGAAAGAGGGCCCAGTCTTTTACTGATGTTATATTCTTTAACTGTTTCAGTCAGTTTGACCCCTTTCACACTACAACATGAGGTTATACCTAGGGTTGACGGCAAACCTGTGTTAACCCCAAGTTTAAGGGTTAAAGATAGCGTTTAGGAGCTGCAATCTGTAATCTGACTTGCAAATGACTTGTAATTGACTGCCTATATTGGCTTGTGATTAACTTTCGAATGAAGCGCGAGTTATGTGGGATTGACTTATGATTGACTTAACAGGGCTGTGTATCGGAACCGGGTTCCTAAATACCCGACCGTTGATGTCAGGAACTGGATTATGGGATTCGGGTACCCGCAACCAAATTTATAAATTACTTGCTAACTTCTCCGTCAATGAAAAAAAAACAAGGTTTTGCATGTCGTTTGTGGAGAATTTTCAAAATGAAAGCCAGGCCACATGGGAAAACAAATCATATTGCATGTTTATAACCCCCATTAAACATGTTAAAGTTGCAGTTTACACCGTAAAGCTATAAAGCTTACTGATACACACTTGTATCTTGCTGTGTTAACACACGGAAGTGGTAGTATTATCTTGTGGACTTTTATGAACAATTTCAACAGCAATTTCCAAGATTTGAATTTTGGGGTTGGGTTCTTTAACGGGTACCCGGGTACCCGTGCATCATGCAATCGGGTACCCAGATACTACCGGGACCTGTAAATGCACACCCTGAGATTGGCTTGGCATTGACTTGGCATTGACTTGTGATTGACTTTCGACTGAATTGTGATTGACTTGCGATTGAATTGTGATTGAATTGTGATTGACTTGCGATTGAATTGTGATTGACTTGTGATTGACTTGCGATTGACTTGTGATTGACTTGCGATTGAATTGTGATTGAATTGTGATTGACTTGCGATTGAATTGTGTTTGACTTGCGATTGAATTGTGATTGACGTGTGATTGACTTGTAATTGACTTGCCAAAGACTTGTGATAGACTTGCGATCGGCTTGTGATAGACTTGAGAATGGTTTGTGACTTGGCTTTCTATTGATGAACCTTTGATTGACTTGATGATCTCAGCTTATTCTTTCCCCTCTCTGTCCCCCTTGGTCTGTCCAGCACCAGTCCTGGAGGTCGCTGGCTTTGTCAACTACACCTATGGAATCCAAAACCCTGCCAAGTACTTCACCATTCCTGACTACTGCTCTCAGGTGAGACTCACTTACGTTGTATTTCATCCCTCCAGCAGGGCGGATTGGGGGGGGGGGGGGGGGGGGGGGGGGCGGACGGACAGTAGCTAACTACTCCTCCCCCCCCCCCCCCCTTGACAAACCAATATTTAGTTATTTATATAACTTGGGAAAAACATTCCTTAAGTACCCTGAATGTCATCACTCAATATTGCAAATCCTGACTTTTTCTTCAGGCCTTTGGTCTTTATTGTATGCATCGCCCAATCTTCCCCCACCCCATGAAATAATCATGGACTTCAGCACCCCAGCCACCACCCTCGGGGAATCCTGGATTTACCCCTTTTTCAGATTCAATAATCATGCATGAATAACACCCAGATAGAGTCACACCAAGCCTAACATTTCACAAGTTTTCAGGGTTCAAATTTAATAGCAGTAGCCCGCTAGCCAAATGCTAGTCAAAACAGCGGCGGGCTAGTCAAACTATTCCTTAAGTAGCCCGGCTGGCGAGTCAACAATTATTGGGCTACGGCAACACTGAAAGGAAGAAATAAATCTTTCAGTTCAGAAAGCAAACCTGTATCAAAGAAAAAAATTGCGGGCTAGTGAAAATGCCCGCGGGCTAGTTAAGAGTCTGTTGCAGTTGCCCAACTGGCTAGAGAAAAAAAAAGTTAAGGTCCAACCCTGCAAGACTTACCTCTTGGGTTGACATTTTTTTTCAAGTGGAATTGTCCTTAATGACAAGTTTTAATTGTTTCCTGACAAGTGAGGAGGCTGTTGCTTTAGGAACACACTCAACAGTTAAAAGGGATTTTGCACCCACAGTGTACAATGTATGTGTAACTCTCAGAAAACATTTGTGCATAAGTTTGCTCAGTGGCTGGATGTCATGTACTAATCAGCAAAAGTACATCCCCTGAAAAAAAGGAGATCATTATAGCAAACATTTGATGTTGAAGCTGCTGAAATACTGAAGTTACTGCCTAAGATGACATCATTTTTGCGCATAAACATGATAAATGTGGAAATGTGTAGCAGCCAAACTCTACATAGGCTCCAAAAACTGCAAAGCCCCTGAAATGCCCATTAACATGATAAATGGCAGTATGAAAAAAAGACAATTCTATTGAATGGATTCAGAACGGCTATTCACAGGAATTCTGGCATGGGTGGCTAGTGCTTAAAGCGCTTGCTTCTCACCACTGTGGTCCGGGTTTGATTCCCAGCTCGGACCACATGTGAGTAGAGTTGTGCGTTGGTTCTCTCCTGTGCCACGAGGGTTTTCTCCGGGCTCTCTGGTTTTCCTCCCTTTGAAAAAAATCAAACACTTTTGATCTCTGGCTGTGCTCTGTGGTCATACATGGGTCCTATGGCGGCAGCCTATATGGCACCTTTAAATGCCTTCAATTCGACCACCTTGTAGCCGCGTCCTTCGCAATTCAGCTTCTCAGCTGCGAGTGTAAAGATGATTAGCCTCCCAAGTTTTTATTGTCATACTCAATGGGTCTGATTTAACTCATTAATTGGCGATTCTGGGTAATCCTGTACGATAGCACTGCCTGACTCGCTTCACCCATCTTCCATCCACTGTCAGTCAGTCAGTCAGTTTATGAGTCAGTAATTGAGTCAGTGAGTCAGCAAGGTACACAGCGGGCACTAGGAAGGTCCTCTGGGACCGGGAGATAAAGTACATGGACCTTTAATGTAAATTTTGTTCCTTGTATGTACATGGCCCTTTAATGTAAATTTTGTTCCTTGTATGTACATGGCTCTTTAATGTAATTTTTTTTCTTTGTGTCAGGTTGTGTGTACGTGTCCCTTTAATGTAAATTTTGTTCCTTGTGTGTTTTTTCAGCAGGCGTCCAGTCCAGAACCCAGGCAGTACAACTCGTTCATCCACCGATTCTTTTGAACGTGAAGGAGCAAGTTACGTTCATTCCCCCCCCCCCCCCCCCCCCCCCCCCCCGAAAGCCTGATTTTAAGAAACCGAGAATGGGCAGTTTAACAAGCGAATATTTTGGAGTTTATAAAACCATCCATCTCCCATCCGTCTCCTATTTGTATATTTTGCACTTTTACCTACAGTGGGATTTGTAGTATAGTACATGTATAGGCCAAATGCAGTTGTGATTGTCTTGATTTTTCGACAATGAATTTGTTAACTTTTCCACTTTGCAAATATTGCAAACATTGCAGAGAAAAAGAGTCTTACCTCAGTCATGACTACATGTAGGTTTGTTTTGAAAATCTCACATACACCCAATATTTGTAATCATAGCATATTTGGTGATACAGTAATTTTGTGCATGTACATCAGACTATCTGTAATTGAGGGTTTAAAAAAAAAATGATTTTCATATACTATAAAACATTGTTGGTATTTTGTATCAGTAACTTTTAAAGTGTCTTTTTGGTATGTGATTGGATATATACTCAAGTTTTCAAAGGAATCTAAACATCACGTTTTAAAAGTATTGGACACCATCTGCAAAAAAATCTGGAGCTTTTTGAGAAAATTCAAGGAACAACGTTATAAAACTGAAGCAGGTAATTAAAAAATTAACCCGTCTAAAATTTAGCTCATTAGATATCGCACTTTTTGTGACAATTTCGAAAACGCATCTTCATTTCTCTAAAAGCAAAGCATAGGTTTCCATTGTCAGTGATGTGGTTTGGTCCTAACCATCGCAAGAAAATGATGGTAATTTTTTTTTTTTTTCCAAAATTACAGCATGCCAAGTATTTCACAGGAGGCTTGATCCTATTATTTATTACAACCAAGTTAGATATTTCATGATATTTTGACAGTTTCACTTTTGACCGTTTGCAAGTGGTGTTCACTACCTTTAATGTAGCAATATTGCAAATCTCACTCAAGTACTAATTTGTACCCTTTTTTTTTTAAACAATACAGCATATAACGAATAAAAAAGACATCTTGATAAAATATTTGTAACAACGAATTTAATTTTGAGAAAAAGTTTGCTCTAAGTAACGACAGGGTTTGTCCCAAATACCTTGTGAAATTGCTCTGCTGGATTGCATCATGGCAGTTTTGCAGTTGGTCGTGGGACACTTCCGATAAGCAACTAGTCACGAGACCAAAAGCATTGTGCATATGATGATGTTTTTTCTTCAAAATTTATGGAAGCCACAGAGTTGCAACTTCCTCGGGTTAGGCCAAAAAAAAAAGTCTCCAGTTTCTGGTATGCGCGCGCGTCGCCGTAGCCATGCGCGTCGGCAAAATGAAAAAGTTTTTTTTTCAATGAAAGATGATGTCTCAAAACCGCCAAACTCACTGGTTGGACTGGAATCCTGCTGCTGCACAATTTTAACGTGTTTTTAGATGGGGTTATGATCGAGAATAAGCTTTATGTGGCCTCTCTGGACTCCCATATATTTGCACTAAGTTTAGTCGGGCACCATTTGCAGTCATCAGCCGACATTTGAAGCAAAAAAAATCAGGTAAAAAAAAAGAAAAAAAAAGCCGCGTCGCCGCACCACTTTTTGGACAAGCTCCATACCAGAAACCGGAGACTTTTTTTTTGGCCTTAGTTGTGCATCCGAATTTGGCCAATTGTGTTGCTTCAATCGAAAAAAAAATATATGCACAAAAAGAAAATGATCCGTTGTACCTTGGGTTTTTGCTCATCAGGGTTTTCCTTCTCCCTGCCGAAACCTTGAAATATCTCCCCTTGTTTCTCTTAGTTCAAGGATTCAACTAAGAGTGGACAGTGGGGGAAATGAATCAAGGAGGACAAGGGCTAAATTAAATATAAACAATTAAACCGAGCTACGATCCAGTCATGGGGCATATCACATGTCAAGTTTGCAGCCAAAAAGTTATCAAAGATCGTCTCCAAATGGGGAAAAATTGTTTGTCAGCCAAGTATCTCGCATACCTTGTTTAACACTTAAATCAGCAGAATAAACAAAAGTACAAACCGTTACCAGAACTAGTTCAACTGCAAATGTCCGACTAACAAAATAAAAAAAAACAAGGAGAAGACGTATAATCTTATGTTCCATCTTGCATTTATATATTTTTATTTGAACTAAAATTTGACGCAGCTCTTTCTCCTGCCCCAGGCTCCTTCCCCTAAAAAGAGAATATATACATGTACAAAGAAAGGAACTAAAGACAATTTAAAAATAATGATCAAGAAACATTGCGCACTTTTTGAAACTTCAGATTTATTAATAATTTTACTATGATGGCCAAAATCAAAAGTTACGGACACCGTGGATTCGTCTTCAGGGGACACGTTTTTTACAGGTAGCCCTTAATATACATGTGTAAGTAATTATGAAAAAAAAAGGAAAGACCAATTTATTATGAATTATACGTTATTTGACTTCAAGTGAATATTCTCAAGTATCCTGTGAAATGTTACCGGCATCCATAACCACCATAAAATACTAACCGTCAAATCCATACATTGATCAAAATTACAGCACCTGTTGTGAAGGTCTGCCAATGAAAAACATATTCAGGATGAACAAAAACCGAGCGAAGTTAGATAACCGTTAAAATATCAAAGACAAATGTCCTACTTGAAAGACTATAGAAATAAAGTAGAGCAGTAAAGAAAGTAGAATAGTTTTACATTCGTCTGCGAGCGGTCTATAGGCCAAATTCAGATTGTTCTATTTGTTGTGGCTGTTGTTCGACTTCAAGTTTTCAGCAGATTGTTGAGAGCTAGTGTACTCGTATGTCACAGCTCAACGGAGAATCCTACGAAAGCCCATTAGCGCCACTGCAAGTATATATGTTGCGGATTATTTAATTCGTTATTACGGATTATTAATTCGTTATTACGGATTATTAATTCGTTTTTACGGATTATTTAATTCGTTATTACGGATTACTAATTCGTTATAACGGATTATTTAATTCGTTATTACGGATTATTAATTCGTTATTACGGATTATTAATTCGTTATTACGGATTATTTAATTCGTTATTACGGATTACTAATTCGTTATTACGGATTATTAATTCGTTATTACGGATTATTAATTCGTTATTACGGATTATTTAATTCGTTATTACGGATTACTAATTCGTTATAACGGATTATTTAATTCGTTATTACGGATTATTAATTCGTTATTACGGATTATTAATTCGTTATTACGGATTATTAATTCGTTATTACGGATTATTTAATTCGTTATTACGGATTACTAATTCGTTATAACGGATTATTTAATTCGTTATTACGGATTACTAATTCGTTATTACGGATTATTAATTCGTTATTACGAACTATTTAATTCGTTATTACGAATTACTCATACGTTCTGAGTCATTACTCGGCAAGTATGGCACAGGAGTGCAAACGTTGTATGCAAAGATAGCGCCGCCTAGCGGCGCTATATACACAGGCCCCTGGTCACGTGCTCTCCACGTGTGAGAACTTCAGACCTAATTCGTAATAACGAATTAATAATCCGTAATAACGAATTAATAATCCGTAATAACGGATTAAATAATCCGTAATAACGAATTAATAATCCGTAATAACGAATTAAATAATCCGTTATAACGAATTAATAATCCGTAATAACGAATTAATAATCCGTAATAACGAATTAATAATCCGTAATAACGAATTAGTAATCCGTAATAACGAATTAATAATCCATAATAACGAATTAATAATCCGTAATAACGAATTAATAATCCGTAATAACGAATTAAATAATCCGTTATAACGAATTAATAATCCGTAATAACGAATTACATAATCTGTAACATATATACTTGCAGTGGCGCTAATGGGCTTTCGTAGAATCCAACTCGAACCAGAAATGTCAAAGCTTCATGTGAAACACAACTGGTTAATCCTGGTCAACATCCTGGACATGGGCGTCGCGAGGGGGGGGGGGGGGGGGGGGGGGGGGGGGGGGGGGGGGAGGGGGGGGGGCCTGGAAAAGCAAAAAAAAAAAAGCAAAAAAAGAAAGAAAAAGAGGCGCGCAGTTATAATTGGTTCAAATTTAATTAGTGGGGGGGGGGGGCAAAATGTCCATAGCCCCCCTCTAAAGCTGATAAATCAAGAATATGTTGAGAAAAACAGGAATTTTTTGAGAAAAATGTTTTGCCCCCCTCTAGAAAACAATCCTGGCGACGCCCATGATCCTGGACACATAAAACCCCGTGCAATCATACACTTATGACCGTGTCTGCACTGTTCGAGTACGTGTTAAAAATGCTGGCTGACGCAAGGTTATGATGCAGAAAAGGTCGAGACCGACATTGTTCCGTCTTGTACGAAATATCCTTTATTTGGCATATGACGTCAGCAGGTAATGATTGATCATGACCACGGGACACTGTTTACCTATATTAACAGGTCACATGGTCGGGACGGTGCATTGTGAAGTCTATAAAATGCTGGCCCCTTGCTAAATTCGTGTCAGCTTCGAATCGACGCAGATAATAAGAGCACAAGAGGAGTTTCATTTCTATCCGCAAATCCGGCCAGGCAATTCGTCGTATATACAACATGAGCATCAAGTCGGTTGTGTTTCTTCTGCTGGTTGTGGTGGCAACGAGCTACGCTCAGACAAAGTGCTGCTGCCCTGATCAATTTGAAATGAATGAGGGTAAGTTCATGGAATGGGTTAATTGCATCATGCAGGGTGGGTCGGAAAGAAAGTGGTCTAGCCGTAGCTGGAGCATATGATTCATGATCGTGAGATTGTGGGTTCCGAGCCCTGCCGTGATGCGTGTTGTGCCCTTGAGTAAGGCCACTCCTCTCAACCCATAGGCGTTAAATCATGGGTACCGATATGCTAGGAAGGTAAAGGACTCGCTGTGGAGGAGGTGTGGCAATCCCCCCCCCCCCCCCCCCCCCCGCAGCGGGATTCGTGGACTCGAGTCTGGCCCAATCGCGCCATTAACATTTCGGGAAAAAGTAGTTGACTTAATTGTTCCTCGTATATGCAAGACAAAAATTTTGACAGCAAATTTAATGAATGTTTCAGCCTTTATTCAAATGATTAAAATCTCAGTTGCAATTGAATGCGTGCGTGCCTCTGCTAAATATAGCTTCTTATGACATTTATGAACAGCTACAAATATGGGTAACGGATATAGATCAGTTTTAGTAATTTTTCTTTCGAGCTAAGTGGAAGCTGCTTTTTTTCAGATACTATACGTCCTAAAGTGTTTCAAACTTGAATTCTGTGCTTGTTTTAAGAAAAGAAAAAATCATTCGGTCAATTTCTTGTAACTTACCATGTACATTGAACGTCAATTCTTTGCGATCTTTTAAGCCTTCATTTTATTGTCTCAATGTATTTATCGAGTTTCAATGTGTTGTGAGGTATGTATCAAGGCATGCTACAATTAAGCTCTCCATATCGTACCTTCATCTCATCAGGATTTTTTCTACAGGGTGAGCCAAAAAAGCGGAGCCCAATTGTCGAGACTATTGTTTTAGCGAAATTTTGAATGTGTCACTTTCAAAATCTAGGATATGAAGGCCCAATTCATAAGTATTCTTTTAGTACAGGAATCATTCAAACAACTTGTGTACTTCTCAAGTTACGAAATTTTAAACACAGTGGACAGAACTTTAAAACGGTGGTAGTATTTAAAATTCCGTAACTTGAAAAGTACGAGTGATTTGAATGATTCTTGTACTAAAAGATAGCTTATGATTCGGGCTTATATAATCCTAGATTTTGAAAAAAAACTACATATGCAGAACTTCACTAAACAATAGTCCCGACATTTGGGTTTCGTTTTTTTTTTTACTCACCCTGTATTATGTTGTGGTTATTTGCTGTGGAATAAATGTTACTAAAAATGGAAAGAAAAAAAAAGAAGGAAACTGAAGTTCACGAATGCTTGCATATTGTCGCTTGGATACACTCTGACATACATGATATTAAGCACTGAGTGGGTTTCAAGTTCATTCGTTTCACACTTGCTGTAT